CAAGCAGACACCTCTGCACCATTTATGTGCAATGGAAAAAAAACAGTAACAGGATAGCAGAATACTTACAGATTCCTTTTCTTGGGCGTTTATTTTAGCCGTTTCAGTATCCGCAGGCAGAGGAATCTGCAGGGCCTTAAACTGTGAAAATTGAGGAAACGGTAATTGAAATGTGTAGCTTCTGGTTTTCCAAACCCATACCATATGTACCTTCTTCCTTCTATGTTTCTAATTCAGTAGTAAAGTACATACTTTCCAATGTCTCTGAATCCAGAGACACTGAAAAGTATGTACTTTACTACCGAATTAGAAGCACAGGCTCTTGTGCATTTATTGCCCTGTTGTATAAACCTTTCAACCCTAGGATCCTAGAACCACAGCCAGTTTCAAAGTTTAGGAGCTCTCTAATGGGCAAAATCCCCAAAATAGTAGCCATTTTGTTGCAAGACAGATGTTGCCAGTTTTAAAATTTAGTTGATACTGCCCCAGGAGATCAGTCAGTTTACAAGAAGAGATAATAAGGTACTAAGGCTAATTTTAAAAAGTAAAAATCTTGTGATATTGTAAGTCTTATACAAATGCGGTAATCTCACACACACTATTTTACAAAAATTGTGCTTAAATTTCACCAGATTTGCAGGTTCAGAGTGATTTTGATGGTTTCTTCTCCCTTATTATATTGGGCAGCCTGTCATCTGGAGCCCAGGCTAGAGTAGCCAATTCCCTTCTAGGGAAGGGACTGCAGCTGGATCTCCTGCCTGATTGTGTGACCAATTTGCCCAGCACTTTGCCAATGAAATTGCTAAGATTTGCCTAAGTCGTGACTCTTCATAGGCAAAGTTCCCTGAGATGACTGCAGCAATGTTGTGTCATATTATCCGGACTCCTGGCTTCTGAAAGCTATTGAAATTCTCATCTGGCACACCCCACATGATCACCCGACTCTCGCCTCTCTAGTTTCTTTGGGAAATCCAAGGGACCATGGTCAATGTGTGTCTTAGGGAGAAGGTGGTGCTGGCACCCTTGAAGAGGTTGGCGTTCATTCCCTCCTACAGATGCCCTCACTAGCTCTTTCTGCATTTGACAACTATTGCCCTATATCTAACCTTACTTTTTTCGAACAGTATTGAGACTATAGTCAGGATATACCAACAGAGCAAACTTGAGTACCCTTTTCTGTGAGGTTTTAGATCAAGGCATGATATTAAGACACAGTAGGTCACTCTTCTGGATTACCATTGTAAGTCCTAGGCTTACAACAGCTTTTGGGACCAGAATTTCTGTCATTAAGTGATTCAGTCCTTAAGTATGACATCACATCACCACATTGCTTAGTGATGGCAATCTTGGCAGTCCCGGTTGCCGTCATAATCCAGAAACTAACCAGTCATTAAGTGAGAACCTTACACGATCAGAATCCTAGGTAAGCAGGGTCTTCCCAGCTATTACTTCATGGGCAGGAAGAAGCCATGATCAGGAGAGCCTTTGCCTAGCTTCAGCTGGTATAGCAGTTGCATCCCTACTTAGAACAAGATCTTGCAATAGGGATTCATTTCCACATCCTCTTATTTGAACAGCTGCACCCCACTTTGCACACAAATTTACTTCTGAATATCCTTGAAAGTTTCAGTGGCTTGGTGCTGACAGTTGCTTGATATGAATACAGTACTTTGCTTTAGGCTTTCTCATGAATGCAGTACTGTGCTTTAGGCCCTGAACTAGTTTCCAATTAGCTCCTGAGTGCAATTCAAAGTACTACATAACTTGAGATGAGAATACTTATAGAAGTACCGTAAATGCCGGCGTATAAGACGACTTCCGTGAGCACTGAAATCGGCGCCAAAGATGGGGGTCGTCTTATACGCCGAGTCGTCTTATATGCCGGAAATACTGGTAGTTTCTGGCGTATAAGACGACGTTCTAGGAATGCGGCCCGGATATAAAGACGGGGGTTGTCTTATACGCCGGGTCGCCTAATACGCCGGCATATACGGTACTTTTTCCATCCAGTTTTGAACTGCCAGACTTGAACGTCTCAGAAGTACCTGCTTATAAGTCCCATCTTTTGCCAGATAAGAAATATGAAGGTTTATAGCCACATCTCTGTGGAAGTACTTTAGAATAGCATCCTCTCAGAGATTTGATTTGCCCACCACACTACTTGCTTTCTGTAAATTGTTAAAAGAAGAAATAGGGGTAATTTCAAAGAAGCTGAGAAGGATGAATTTTGGTGCTATCAGCTTGAGTAACACTGGTATAGTCTTTAGTTTTTCATCTTTTTACTCTGAAAGTTTTTAAGGGTGTTTATGGAACTGCCAAGTCTCTTTGGATGCAATGGAATACACCTCAAACAACCAAAAGTTTAAAAGTGCCTCACCTTCTTTTCAAATTCATCCACTAGGGTAGAGTTTGCAACTGTAGTCCTGTAGAAAGTCCAGTCAATGGCTGGTGGTGTCTCTGGCAAAGATGCAAGCCTATTTAGATACATAAAAGAACATCAGAACTACTGGATGTTTCAGACTGTTCGTTCTTCTAAAGTCATTTTTTTATTTTTGATCTTCACAACAAGAAAAGTCAAACAAATGTCTGGATATTTTGTTTGTTATCAAGATAAAAACTTGATATCAAAGAATGTTGTGTTTAAAGATCTGTGGGATGGGCAAGATTACTGCCTGTACCAAAATTTCTCATACCTAGTGTAATCATATTTACTAACAATGATTGAGAGACAATCAATATAGCCTTGCTGTTATTTAGCTATTTAACCCTTTATTTAAATTAAATAGTAAGATCATAGGAACAGTTCTGCCTATAGATTTCATTAGATCTCAAAGCATGTCCATTTCAACAAACTGTACACCTATACCTTAAAATATGTCTTTTGTTGCACTGATATAAGAGGCAAGTGAACAGTTCTGCAATACAGTCTGGACACATGTATTTAATAATGTAATCCATTGATGTATTCACCAATCACAAATATATTTGGTTTAATGTCATTCCTTTTCTTTCCATGGTGTTCTTTACAAACTAAGAAATATACTCACTTGGCTGCAATAGCATCGCTACGTGATTTGAAAGCATTAAACATAGGTTTCTGATCAACTGACACTCGTTCAGCAAATGCTGCCCAATCTATTGCTTTCACAGCAAACCTGCGGCCAGCCATTGCTATCACCTAGAAAATGGGAAGAGATAAAGAGTAAGGAACAAAGTAAATAAATAAGAAAATAATATAGCAAGTGAGGGATGAAGGAAGCAGACAATGGACATTAATAGAAATTTTCAACCAAATGAAATCAAGAACTAAAATGCACCATAGATTTATTCAGAAGTAAACTTGGTGTTTGGTCTAGTCGTTCAGGCACCAGGCTAGAAACCAGGAGACTGTGAGTTCTAGTCCCACTTTAGGTAGGAAGCCAGCTTGGGTGACTTTGAGCAAGTCACTTTCTCTCTGCCCTAGGAAGGACGCAATAGCAAAACACTCCTGAAATCTTTGCCAAATTGCCAGAACTCAACAATGAGGCAAGGCAAAAACGTACCTACAAAAAAATTGATTGGTTTTTTTTCCAAAATCATGCAGTTTCGATTCCATTTTTTTAAAAAAGATACATAGCTTTTTAAAAAGCTAATATTAGTATTAGCTCGTTTGCTCCAAGGTATCAAGCAATCCTTTTTTCCCCGCAATTATCCTAAACAAAAACAGCCAGCGAAATAGTTCTCTATTTTAGCATCTAGTTTCCCAGCCAAGGGGAAACCGTTGCTGGAGAACAAATTTCTGTCCTCGGAGGCGCCATCCAAGAACCCTTCAACTCACGCCCATAACGAAACGAGAAGCATTACAGGCAAAAGATCGAGGCGGAAACTCGGTTAGCAAGCAGGGGTTATTATTGCAAGACTAGCAACCCTCCCAAAGGACATCGGCTTCTCACCTTCAGCCACCCCGGCTAATTGCACCGCCGGAAAAGGCTCCCGGAACCAAAGCCTGACAGGGGACCAACAGGCCCAATCGGGACGACTCTCTCCGGAAAGAGGGCGGCCCTCGCCATCTCATAGAGAAAGCAAAAGGCAAGAGCGCAGCCTGCTCTGCTCCAGACGGCAAGGAGAGCTAGGCAAACTGATGGGAGTAATCAGAGGAGGGGAGGGGGTTTCCCTTCGCGCGGGCTCTGGGGCGGCAGAGGCCAAGCAGTTGAACCTTGCTGCGAATTGAAGTTTTGGGATCTCCAGATGCTTCGGAGAGTAAACTTCGTCATTCCCACGAATTCCCTTAAAATACCTTCCATTTTTGTCCTTCGCAGAACTGTGTGCTTATATTACCCAACCCATCATCTCTAGACATGACCGAATCTCCATCTTCTGCTCTATTTCTGCCGCAAAATCGGGTCTCCGCCCTGTTACATTTCATCGATGACAACTAGTAAACTGTTGCTTTTAAGAAGCTTTTATTTAGAATTAAGATCATAATATGAAAAGGTTGCACATACTATTCGGGGAGGAGAATAGCCCAGACCTCTGTGGAGGCTTTTGTAAAACCAGTCCATTTTTTTAGCCCTCTGTATTCCCATCCCTCGGCCGCTCCCGCTGCCCCCGTGATTGCAAAACAGGCATATAGTAAACTTCTCTTTTCTCTCTCAAAAGGACGGTCCAGATTATATTAAAACGATTTTTCGCTCTTCTCCGTGAAGCAAAGTGGCAGGGCAATTTCTAAACATCACCTTTTTGGCGTCAAAAGCTGTTCGTTTCACTAAGAAATGAATTAGGAACGTCCAGCACAAACCAAGAAGTGCCTAGGTCAGGGGTAGGCAACCTCGGCTCTTTTATGACTTCATAAAAGCTATGCTGGCTCAGGAATTCTGGGAGTTGAAGTCCATGAGTCATAAAAGAGCCGAGGTTGCCTACCCCTGGCCCAGGTAAACTGTTAGGATTTGTGGCACGGCTGCCTATTGTATTTCCTGCCGGTGTCTCTCGATCACCTTTCCGAATGTTATGTTCCATTACTCGTTCCGATTCCCTTTAAGGGTGGAACGCTTGGAACGAAACCGAGGCCACGCACGGGGTCAGGCGCGGTCATTCGACTCGGTGAGCGCTTGATGACCCGGAAGAGACTCTTCCTCCCGGAAGTCCGCCGTTCCCTGTCAGCGGGGACTGAGGGGATGGCTGTCGAGCTTCGACCGGAGCAGCTCCAGCCTTTCCGCCCGGGCTGCTGACTAAGAAAGGGACCACCGCCCGCCCGCCCACCGAGTCAGCCAGGGGAGAAGCCGCAGCCGAGCATGGCGGAGTTGGTGGCTGGGGAGGGGCCGCCGCGAGGCCGTACGCCCAGCCCGCTCCCGATCTCGGGGCCGCCGAGCCCTCGCCCAGCTGCGGCTCCCGCCTGCCCCGCGCGCAGCCCGGAGCCTCCGCCGCCCGAAAAAGCCGCGGCGGGGAGCGGCAGCGGCGGTTCCAAGTGGGTCCGGCTCAACGTGGGCGGCACTTACTTCGTGAGCACCCGCCAGACCCTCTGCCGCGAGCCCAAGTCGTTCCTCTGCCGCCTCTGCTGCCAAGAGGGGCCCGAACTGGGCTCGGACAAGGTGAGCGGGCGCGGCGGCCGGGCGCTAAATCACTCTTCCCCCCCCCCATGCCTATAGCCCGGCACACCCAGACTGAAGGGCGTGTGTGCGTCTCCGGCGATATTAGTTTTCGCCCTTCTTGTTCGCTTTCCTAGCCGCCTTCCTGTATTTTTGGTGTAATGGAGTAATCGTAATTTCTGGAAGGAGGCCAAGTTCCTTGCAGAACTCCAGTTTTACCATAACTATAGATTTTAGCCCTTAAGTTACCTCTGATGAAAAAGTAGGGGAGGGGACAAGGGATGTACAGCATAGTGACACTTCTAGACTACATCTAAAAATGGGGAATGGGCTATTTGCGCGCGCGCGCGCGCACACACACACACACACGCACACCATAGTCCTTGATTTGCTGTGCTGTTCTTTTCTGTATTGATGGTGTTTACAAAAGATGTTGAGCCATTGTTAATAAGCAATACTGATTTATAGTACACAGCATGTTAATATGGTTGCGCTTACAGCATTTAAGGTATGATGTGGTTTGTAATGACTTGGTTTAATTATTGTGGCTGTAAACCAGGATGTTTAGCATTCTATTTAAAGTTTAGGATTAGCCTGAACACAGAAGACAAATTAAAAGCACTGTCTTTGTATAGCTTTTCTCTCAACCAGTATTAAATGGGAATATTAATCTGTAATCAAACACTTCAACAATGAAGGCATTGTCAGTAAATAACTTAAATATAATCTATTTACCTTGGGGTAATAATGCAATTAGAAATGGTTAAAATATGCATACACATATTTCTAATGTTATACGTGTATTTATAATGTCTGTATAATGTATTATATCCTATATCCTTCAGAATCAAGACTAATATCTTCATCCTTTGTAGCCTTTCAGTACTGCAAATGCATTGAATTTGAATTCAGCCCTATTTCTGTAGAGGAAAGCTTTATTTATTAATAGCTGTTCAAAATCCCATGGTTCCACTTGCTAATTGTTGCTTGTTCCGCTAGAAGGATTAAAGTGAGGAAGGATTCTGATTGCCAATTCAATGCCCCCCATTCTACTTTTTCTACCCCATCTTACCTCTTCTTAACATGTGCTTTTTGTTGTCAGTATAGCCGTAGCATAAACCCATTGAAAGTTATGGGTAACAAAAAGGTACTTTAACCCTAAGCAGTAAAAAAGGGACTCAATAGATAAATTATACACTGTGCTTGAGACCTAACTTTTTCTCTCATACAGCTTTTCAGTTTCACATCTATAAAATAAGTAATGATTTTTTAAAAAAAAATCAATATCTGTATACAAAGCAACTTCTTTCTCCAGTACTTAAAGCTGTGTGCCAAGATAAAGTATATTTAGAGTGGTTGCTTTAGCATATAATCACTTATAATGTCAATGCAGAGGATTCTAAATGTCCTATAAAAAAACCTTACATAATTGTATTCCTTAGAATTTAATTTTAAATATAGTGCTTTAGATTATAGTGAAAAGGTATAATAGTTATAGAGAGTTATCACATTTGTGGTCTTTATTACACTTCTGAGTGATACAGTCCTTGTGTGTTTACTTAGTAAGTCCCATTGAGATCAACTGTTTTCACAAGAAATAAGCTGTACAAATCTTTACAGATTGCACATTTTTGTTAATGGAGTTTTGAGATCAGTCTCCAAGATAATTAGCTAAGTAGGTCCACTAAGTTCAGTAGAATACATTTCCAAGTAAAATCTGAGCCAATAGATCAAAAAAACTAAATATTCTGGATGTGTCTTTGTGAAAAATATTTTTACGCTACCCAAAAGTGCTGATGTAATTTATAACTCAGATTTGTTAGATACATAGAATGAATTATATTTCAAGTGATAAAAATAGGATATAGTAATAATAATCAGTACAATTATGTTTATTTTTTCTTGTGCATTAATTTAATTTGGAGGAAAGCTTGTGACATAATTAAGAGCAGATTATTCCAAATAAATAAACACATAATTTTCTAATTAATGAGATACTGCCAAGATGGATAGGCCACAGTCTATCTTTTTTTAATTATGCCACAGAATCATCTAACACAAACAAATGTAGAATAAGATATCCACTGATGCAAGAATTTGGCTTCTTTCTCAGAGAACCATATTCTCAGATTCATGACAATTGGTTCCATGTCTGAATGCCATTGGAATATCTTTCTTGAGCAGCAGACTATAACAGAATGATATCTCCTAACAGGATGAAACAGGGGCATATCTCATTGATAGGGATCCCACATATTTTGGTCCAATCCTGAACTACCTCCGGCATGGAAAACTCATAATAAACAAGGAATTGGCAGAAGAAGGTAAGAAAAATGTATAAATCTCTTTTGAAAGTTAGGGATGTTTAATTCCAGCCAGAGTTGTTGAGAATCGGACAGCATATAAATTTAATAAATTAGTATTACAGTAGTAGTATTAATGAAGGTTGGTCTTGCCTGAGCCCAGAATTAAATGTATTTAATCTCATTGATTTCATGATCTATGTGTCTTTAAAATATAATAGAAAGTTTATGTTACTCAGATTGTACTGTGGAAAAACAATACAAAATCAACTTGTTCAAATAGGCATGTATTTATGACTATGCAGGGAGGTATCCTTGATAGTGCTTTCATTAGAGCAGTGGTTCTCAACCTTTCTAATGCCGCGACCCCATAATACAGTTCCCCATGTTGTGGTGACCCCTAACCACTTATACATCACCGGGTGCCAGGGGCGTGGCCAAAGAAAAGGGGGAAAAAATGGCGGACAGCGTGGTTTGGCGACCCCCGTGAAATGGTCGTTCGACCCCAAATGGGGTCCCGACCCACAGGTTGAGAACCACTGCATTAGAGCCTTATTTTAGGGACTATTATATTAGCATTTGCTTTCTAATGGAACATAGCCCATAAAAACAAGCTTCTTTTCATAAAGGGAATCAAAAGAGAAAACGTTTCTTGAATCTCCAGGTTATCATCATAAGGAGTTTTATTCACGAGGTGTTTTTTGATTTTTATTCAGTTTTGCTGGAATTGTGCTTAACAAAATATTTTTATATCATTTTGTTGATTTCCAGATTATTTGTTGAGTTAAATAAGTGCACAGCTCATGAGTGTCATTTGGCCGTCAAATGGCATATTTGTAGCTTTTAGTGTTGTGGAGACTATGCCTTTAGAATTTGGCAGCAAGAATTATTTTGAGAAATTGGAAAAATGGTAACATTTCTAATATTAAGATTTTGTTTCAAGAGGTATGTAATATCTATTTTTTTAAAAGGCAATTTTATCTCCCAGTCAAAAAAATAGCTCATTAATTGATCCTTTGGCATAGATTTTATGATGTTTTGTAATGTTAGGAGACCATGATATTTTAAAATACAAACCAGAAATTGACTAGACATTTAATGAAAATGTGATATATATCTGTACAGTTTTTCACTTGTTTTTATTTTGCTGTTATATTGGCTGTTGATTTTTTTTCCCATATAATTGTCTCTTTCTTTTTTTCTACTTCTTTCTGTAAAACCTGCTAAGATAAGTAAAGCTAATTTAAAAAAGAGAATTTGCCACTAAGATAATCAAATAACAAGCAGTGCAGTTTTGCCTCCTCCTTAAAAAAGCATATTTTTTCAATATTTTGGTAGCTTAAAGATTATGTTTCCATCCACATTCTTAGATTTTCAAAACACAAGCTGAAAAAAATTCATCCCAACATCTATGGCTGTTCCTCTGTGGCTTTTCAGACAATAAAAAACCTGAGTTGTGGCACACAACTTCAAATAAAGAATGTCCTGAATTAAATTATAAATTATATATATTCTCCAATTTCAGACATGCAGCAAGATCAGATCTGAAAGCTTTCTGATCAAGAGATTTTGTAGTTACAAATACTGAAGCCATGTTCTGCATCCTTATTTGCAGGTGTCCTGGAAGAAGCTGAATTTTACAACATTGCATCTCTAGTGAGGCTGGTGAAAGAGCGAATACGAGACAATGAAAGCAGAACTTCTCAAGTAATTCACATTAGAAAGAAAATAAATGTATTGGGTCCCTCATATCCTAACATATGTTACCACTTGATATGACAGGCTTGTGTGTTCTCTGTGGCATAAGAGTTGTGTTATAGGGATCTCCTTCACAAGATATTATTGGTTTCTTAAGTCTTTCACAAAAACATCCCCTTTCCCTTTCCCTTTCTAGGTTTTAACAACTATGGTGGCTAGAAGCATGCTTTTAAACACTTTTAAACATGTTTGTTTTTTTATGAGCTTCCTCCATCTTAATATAATAGTATTACCATCATTTCAATGAGATACTATTATTTAGAAAACTCACAATCCTGATTTCTAACTTGTTAGTTTCCCCTCTTTTAACCCAGGGACCTGTCAAGCATGTTTACCGAGTTCTGCAGTGCCAAGAAGAAGAACTGACCCAGATGGTGTCTACTATGTCTGATGGATGGAAATTTGAACAGGTATTTCATGTTAACAGGTTCAGAAGTTGGGCCAACTCACTGAATATATTATGTCATTTTGTTTGTTTGTTTATCATATTTATATGCTGTTCATCTCACTAGCCAATGATGCTGGGTGGAAATGTGCCTGTTGTTTGCAGAAGCCTGATTTTTAGTCACCTTTGCATTCTTTACTTAGTTTTAGTGTAACAGTTGATCAGTGCTATCAGTTTGTGCCAATCTTGAATTCTCATAAGTATACATCTAATGAAAATTCTATATGGTAGCCTGATTATTAGGTGTAAAAAAAAGGTAAAGGTGAGGAAGCTTCTTGGATGAGAAGCAAAATGTCTTCAAAGAAAAAACAAGAAAGTCCAGTTGCCTCTTGAAAAAAGCACCTTTGGGATATTGATAGTTCTGTTCCCTACAATTTAAAACATTCTCCTGATTTTGTTTCAATTTGCTATAACTGCTGGATTTCTGTTTTGATGATTGTTGTTAGAGCTGCACGAAGATCTGACTTCAAGGAGCAAAATATGATTAAAAGCATAAAGAAGCACATATGTAGCATCTGTCAGGAACTTCATAAAAGCAGCCCTTCACAGCTGCCACATGATCTCAGGAAGATACATTTATTCATTTATTTGAAGGTGTTTTTAACTGGTATTGCATGAATGACTGGTGCTGCAGCTTTAGCTAAATCTGCAAAGCCTGGTTTCTATATTTTTTGAACGCTAGAATACATGAGCAGCTATTCACCCCCCCAGCATGGAATAGTCCTAATATTTGGTGTTTTACCCAGCTATCTCTGGAGTTCCTAGTGACATAATTCTTTATTTTACATAATATTGATACCATATTGCTTAAATAATAGTAGAAAGAAGGAGAGAGTAATGAATATGGAAGTGATTGGTGCTGTTTCTGCAAATAGAATCAACAGATATACAGGGTGTACCATTTGAGCCCTATAAACAGTTTATTATATGAATCATATTCAGTGATCAAATTGGTCACCATTGTCTCCTAAACATGCCTTTTTTTATGCATGAGCTTTGAACATTCCTAAATACAGTAACACTTTCTCTGAAAAAATATTAATTAATAAAACATTGTGATTTACGTATAAGACCTGACATCTGGCACACCTGTATATAGTTGCATAACAAAACTGAAAATCTGTTCGTATTTTGATCTGACAGGGAAGTCACATGGTACATCATACTGTTTTTAGAGTTCAAAGGCATAACATGAGCATACTTTTTCACCTTCTAAATGTTAAAGGAAGTTAAAAAGTACTTCTCTTCCAAATCTGTAACTCTCAATTGTTGGAGATGAGAATAAATTTAAATAATACTTTAGAATAAAGTTATAAGACTGATCTTATATTCATCTCATGTTGCTATTTTTAACATATCATTTCCTTTTTAACAGTTAATTAGTATTGGATCTTCATACAACTATGGGAATGAAGATCAGGCAGAATTTCTCTGTGTTGTATCAAGAGAGCTGAATAATTCGACCAATGGCATTGTCATAGAGCCTAGTGAGAAAGCAAAGGTGAGAAGCCTGTTGTGATTGGAATCCTTCAATTTCTCTATTTATTGAATGGCATAAAAATAGATAAGTGGATATTTTTATAATAATTTTATTAAACATATTTAAACAACACAAAAACTACAAAAGATAAAAGAATAAAAATTAAAAATGGAGAGTACAGGAAAAAAATATAGATAGAAAAATAAACATATAGCAAAGGGGTAAATATATAACAAAATAACTTTCTTCTTTGTTGTAACAAGTATAAACAATTTTAACTTCTCTTCTCTTAAAATGCCACCAAAAAAGTCACTTCATCCCATATCTCATCTTATGTCTATAACCAGATCCTTACAACAATTTCATTCAGTCCTGGTCAGCAAAAGTCCATTAAGAAATGCCAAAAGTAACAACATATGTATTTTAACCTTGATCGAATAAACCCACTTTATATTCCTTTCTTTTACTTAACAATCATAATTTTTAACCCTGATAATTTCCTAGAGCTGGTTTTCTTTTCATTTCTTTCAGAATTTTAACATGTCTTTTGCAAATCCAATATTAGAAAATTATTGAAGACATTTTTTTCGGCCTGCCAGTTGCACATCCTTTTCAATTATTAAAACATCAGCCAATTTTATTTGTATACTCAGTGTAACATTTTTTTCCATATTATTCTTGCAGGCTGTCATTTTGAAATCAACTTTCAAATCAGTCCCAGTCCTCTTCTGCAATGTCTCTTAAAAGCCATCTATCTATAATGGCAGACACTTTTAAGATTAACTTGCGGATCCATTACTCCTTGAATATGTCCAGTATTAAAAATAATTTGTTCCACCCTATGTTAGTAAGCCAACATTAAATGTTATTTTCCTTTAATTGTAATCTATAATTACCTCTTGTTCCCCCGATGTCCAGCATTCAAATTCCCATCCTATTGTATTTTCTTTCAGAATTTAAAACAAGACTCCTATGGGAAGGATTTCTACAATGAAATCTTATTTCAAATCTCCTAATCCATTTATAACTTTCCAAAATCAACTTCTAATCATTCTTTTGCTGCTTCATTTAAAAAAATATTTTTTTAATGTCCTTAAACAGCTCTGTGACCCTAAATTTGTTGATTAGAACTCTGCCATTGCTGGCAGCTGCTGCTTGAAACTGACCAGATCTTAATCAGTTTCACTCTGAAAGCTTTTGTTGTTCTAAATGCCCACATTGGTCAAAAAAGGAAATTTCTATTAAGGAGTAACTTGCTAAATGAGGACTATTTGTATATAAATTTGCTCAAGCCGGTCAGAATTCTAGTCCCCCTCTTGGCATATGACTCATTTTAATCTATAATATCAAATTTTGAAATACCAGCCATTTTTTATTTTTATTTTTTTTGAGTTCTTGATTAGGATGGAATTTGGAGGCACTTTTATAATGGCTTTGCTTATTTTTGGAGGAGCAGTTTTAGAAGCTGGTGCTGAGAGTTTTTTTCTGGTAGAATCCATGACTCTAAACTGATGACAAATGTCATTGTTAAACTATTTTGTTAAACAAAATGATGTTTAATCCAAACAATACAAAGTATTCCTGATCATTTGAAAAGCAAACCAACTTGTGCTTTACAAGGTATGCCTATGAAGGCTTGTATTCAAAACTCAGGTATCTTTCTGCATGCCCAAATTTTGACAGTAGGCTAGTATATTTTGTATGGTTAAAATATCAGTATCAGGCTGCAATAATATATAATTTAACTATATCCTGGTTGGAATACTGTGATACTCTGTTGAATTTTTGGGATTTCTGTTCACAATATGCTAGATATGACATATAAAAAAACCCCTCTTGATGACTTGGAATCAATGTATTGGAAGTACAATAAATTCTTATAGAAATGTGCCTGTACGTCAGATCTTGAGAGAGGTAGCATGTTTTCCAGCTTTCTTTTTTAATGTTGCAAGAAATGCTTCTAAAATGAAATGCTTCTCTTTTTTTCAGATTCTTCAGGAGCGAGGATCACGGATGTAATCCAAGCATTTAACTTTAAAACTCCCAGATGTTAAAAAGGGCAACTTAGCTGGGCAGAGAATTTCTCCTGCAGTCCAACCTTGCTTTTGTACAGTAATAAAACTAACACAAAGCAAAGCTGAGCCTGTCCTGCCAGTGGAGAATTAAATCCTGGTAAAAACCAAAGGCTCATCCCACCCCCGCCACAGAAAGCTATAAGAGAAAAGAAGAGAATCTTCCAGCTGGAGAGCACCTAGTTACAGTCCTTCAGGTCCAGGGAGAATAGATTTGAAAATGAATAATTAAATATTCTTCCTTCATTTTCACTCACCAAGCTTTTTTTTTTTTTAATATGTTACTCATTCAGAACTGTTAAATAAGAAAGTTGAGTGAGGGATGTGGTATTAGCTGACGGGTTTTTCTTCCAATAACACTACAAATCTAACTGTAGGCATTTCTTGCAGTACAGTTTGGTCAGCGCCCTTCATGCTTTTAAAAGGTGTCCAATTACCTGTGATATTTAGATTCTGTTGTATTGTTTCCTGTCCTCTGTGAAAAGAAAAGGAAAAGAAGGAAGCTTATGCCCCATTTCTCCCACCAAATCTAGAATGTGTCCTTTGGGTTATTTCAAAACAGTACTTCGATATGGAAGATTTGTTCCTGCCAAGTTCAGCTTTGCCTTGTCTTCAATAGCATGAAACTATTCCCTTGTTCTCTTGATGTCCTGCATTAAAGCAGGTTTTCATTTGTACTCTAATTACTTTGGTAGGCATTATCAACTCTTACCCAATACGTCCAGGGATAGAGAGCCTTTTATTTACACATTATGACTCTGTGCTTGAAATTTCTCACCCCTCCTTGTGTCCTCTCACCCAAAATGACTAAAGGGCATTGCACAGGTTGGGGTGGGGGTGGGGAAGGGAGGTGTAAAATGATGACAGTTGCCAAACTATTGTGATGTTTCTTGTCCAAAGTGATTTGTGAACTTCTGTATTTTTTTTTCTGTTGGAATGCCTTGAATGGAAGTAACAATGTTGTGCCTCTCTGAGTTCTAATCTTAGACAAATGGGACTTGCTGATTTTGTCAAATTATTTTGTGCCATCCCTAATCAGTGAAATGTCCCTTCTAGTTGTTGGTAAATGGAATTCCAGAAGTATTTTCTCTACATTCTGGCTTTGTTTCTTGTTAGTCATCTTTAGCTTCTGGGCCTTTGAATTAAGCTCTGAGCATAATGAACCAAAGTATCAAAAGAAACTGCAGTGCTTTGGTTTTCCCTAGGCAATAATTGAAACTTCCACATTAGTCAGTGATCGGAATAGGATCCCTTATATTCCAATTGGTTTGCTTGGAATTTCTCAGTAAGGAGTTGCACTCAGTGTCTTTTTCATGTTTTATGGTGTGTGGTAATGAGGCTTCCCCTTTTATTTCTTCCTAGTTACAAAAGGAGTGGGAACAAAGAGGATAGTGAATGGTTACTGAAAGCATGGAAAATATAATGCAGATGAAGCAAAAATGTTTTAAAATGAAATTTATCAGGGTACCAAATTATCCTGCTCCACATTCTCCATTAATCTTCAGTATTTGTGTACATATATCACTGAGCTTCCCCACCATTTTGCCAACATACCTCCAATAATATTTTGATGGGTTAGATGCATTATTCAGTCCCTGTAGCAACAGACTGTACCAAAGGTCTTGAGGTCAGCTTCTGGCTGCTAAACTCAACCAGCTTCATACTCTGTGGAATTCAATCAACTTTCTTGTCCTTCAACTTTCCCGTCTATAATACATGGGTATTGGCATGGTCAGACAGTGTATGTCATGGCTGGATTTAACTAACACTGTGATGTGTACATAAATCTATGAGTATCTTGTTCTTTCAGCCGTTGTCAGTGTATGTCCACAGCTGAGAAATAAGCAGATGTGTTTGTGTGTGTATTGTGAGGAAGTATAAGAACCACAGAAGTATCCTCATAATCTCTCCTTCCAGGGAAGGGAGATTATGGTGTCATGAACTAGTTGAAAGAAAAAAATCAGAGGATGCTGCAAAGAATAGCTGCCATTTCCAACTTGGTCTAACCCAACTGATTCCCCACCTTGCTGGGCACGTAGCAGTGTTAGGTTTGCTTGGAAGCAGATCTTTACTGTGTAGCTTTAGTAAACTAAAAGAAATACCTCATTGATTTATGTTATGATCACCAGAAACACCACGCACCGGGAAGCTACATTAGAAGAGTGCCTGAAGTCAAGATAATGAACTGGTAAAAGTAATCTCGTTTTGTTGTACATGTAGTGCCATTGAAAACAGCTCCATTTAAATCTGGAATAAAATCAGATTTGAGATGAGGCTGCTCTGTTAACAGCAGGATTTGAGCTAAATGCAGAGAAAAACTGTGTTTCTGCTGAATAAATAGGGCCACCCTCTTGTTCCCTTGCTGCTGACAAGTTGTGAGAGGTTTTCAGCAAATCTAATTTTTTTGTTGGAACATGAATACCTTCTCTTTTCTTTTCCTTGTTAAATATTTCTAGTTATGGTTTGGGGGAACCCTCCCTGAAATGTTGAGCAGTTTAGTTGGAGACAGAAACAGTATTAGGGATTGGGAAAGCTCTCGGCTTTCTTAATATAAGGGCTTGAATTCCAGCTACAGCAAGACACTATTCTAGCTCACCCACCTGGGATGTTCTTTTCTCAAGATGAGAGGCCACCTTCGGACCCTGTTAAATTCAAGAACTGGCTTTCATGTTTTCCACTAGTTGTAATTTTGCCTTCTTTAGCGACAGGGCTCTTCCTTGCATTTGCCTTTATGTGGTTGAGACTGAAGTTGGAACATGAATACAGATACTGTTTCCCCATGAAAGGCAACAAATGGCAAAGGAAGCCAGTGGTGGGATGGCTTTTCATCTGAGCGATGTGCATCTCTTGAGGTTTTTTTAAACCATTAGCTAGCCCCTGGGGACCAGTACCTGGTTCAGAAACCCAGCGGCCCAATTGTTCCGTTACAGCAAGGTTGGAGCTAATCTTCTCTTAAAAGTGTCTTTGTTTCTGCACATTTTTAATCAATTTTTCTCAGGGGTGACTGAATGGTCCGAGGGGGAGGGGGTTATCCACGAAGGGGTGGGGGTGGCTCCTCGGACCTTCACAGCTGGGCCGTGGGCTCCTCCCCCTCAGGTTTTGCTTGCAAGCCTAGAGGTTTTGTACAGTTTGTCACATGTCGGTGCCCTTTGCTACTGTTTCTCTTGGTTTATTAAATGTGTTTGAATAATAATGGAGATGCTGTGATTTCTTTTTCCAATAAAGATTCTGACATGATTTGTGCTTGGTTTTTTTTTTTTCTGAATGTATTTTGTATCTTGCTGCTTTCCTGATATTAAAGACTGAGGGTCTTGTACACAGAGGTTCTCTAGATCAGTGTTTCCCAAACTTGACAATTTTAAAGCATGTGGACTTCAACTCTCAGAATTCCACAGCCAGCAACGCTGGCTGTGGAATTCTGGGAGTTGAAGTCCACATGCCTTAAAATTGTCAAGTTTGGGAAACACTGCTCTAGATGCACCTATGATCTGCTTTTGCTTTTAATTACAAATTCTTGCTATCAAAGTAAGGGTGAAGACTTACTTTTGCGTGAAGACTTACAGCTTCTTTTCACTGAAAAGGAGAACGAAGCCATTATTTAATAGTAATCATTTGTAGGTTTCCCAATAGCATTGTTTGTAAGTGGGGTCTTAAATGCAAAAACTTAAAAAATATATATCTGCATGCTTGGGTTTGTGTGGTTTTGGGAAGATATTTTTTATAAACATTCTTCAGATAAATTTGTATGATGAATTTAGTGTATTCCTTGGTAACATAATAAAATCACTGTTGGGTGTATTGTGGGATTAGGGATTCTGTTTCAGAATAGCCATCTGTGGTGGCAGTAATCCTGATTCTACAGACAATAGATAAATATGTAATATGGCCAAGCAGGCCGATAAACGGGAGCTATCAGAGATACAATATAAATAACTTTCTAAGGCAGAATGATAAATCCGTACAAAAAGGGCTTTTCCAATAAAAAAAATGAATGAAAGAAACCATGGCTTATTTATCTCTTGTCTTTTTGATACCAATGCAACAAGATGTTGGGGTCTGTGCATGCTATATTAAAAATCATGTAGTACTGTTTCCTTTTATCATGGATGCCTATAATCTTGAAAGGGCACAGCAGATAGGTCCTAAATATTTTTATTTAGATGAGCTTGCCAGTGACATCATAACCAAAGGACTTTACTCCCTCCTCCTTTGTAGTTTGAACTATGATGTCACCTGACAAATTCAGATCCCATGATTGGCTATAAACAGGTGGAAAGTCAAGTCAAGGAGTGGGACAACCAGACCACAGCTGAAGACCTTTAATCACTGGAGCTGTAGTAGAGTACCTATTGCTAATTTATCAAGTGCAACTGACTTTTAACAGGTAAGTACAGATAATAGCGCTCAGAGAAATCTGCAGAATTATAGTATCACATCTTAATGATCTAGATGGCACACCCATTGAATATCTCTTTTTTTCCAAATAATTTAATTGTCTTGAATGTTCTAGTCCAGTGATTCTCAACCTTTCCAATGCCGTGACCCCATAATACAGTTCCCCATGTTGTGGTGACCCCCAAGTGGGTGTGGCCACCAATAAGAGGGAGTAGGACAGCTAGGGAAAAGGGAAAAAAATGGCAGACAGCATGGTTTGGCGACCCCCGTGAAATGGTCATTTGACCCCAAATGGAGTCCCGACCCACAGGTTGAGAACCACTGTTCTAGTCTCTGCTCATAACAATTCCGAAATAAATGTTTGCTTAAGTAACTACTCTGAGCTTATTTTCTTGTCGCAAGGGGGGTGTGCCTAAAGTAGAAGCCTTGTCAGTTGTAAGAACAAAATATACTTTCATACTGGGAAAGGCCATAGCTCCATGGTAGCATACATGATTAAAAAACTGTAACGTCATGCAGATACATAAAATCATTCTGGCTTTGCATCCTTGAGCAAGGTTTTGCATTCAGTTAGTGACAACAGAGGCAGTGGCAATATGTTCTGAAGTTGGGGAATGTTACCATCAATCCCTTGCCACAGACAGATAAGCTCCCTGTAGGCTTTGGAGGTCTCTGATGTTGCAAGGAAGCAAGTCCTCTGTGTATGGCCTGCCCAGGCATCTAATAGACGCTGTTGGATTCGAAGGAAGCCTGGGGTTCTTTCTGGTACGTGGTTTGAAGCTTCAATTGTTGCTTGAAATGAGAGAGTAACCTTTGCTTGGATTGGATCGCACCTATGTAATCTCTGTGCATATGGATCCTAGAGGGCCCCTTGTTTTTCAGAGGCGTTCCACGTGATAAAGCAGCGTAATAGTCACCTAGAATGCCACTGGAGAAAATGATGAGCAGAATCAATTGAACATAGGTAAGAGCCTGTCAGAGGTACCACCTCGTGGCGGGGCAGCAATACAGTTGTTACAGAGTGCCAACTAGTGGTTCTGTTCAGAGGTTCAGTTTCTAGCTCAATAACATCAGTACCTGGGCCAGGAGGCTTTGCTCACAATGACACATGCCTTCTTAGTCACCTCCCATTTGGATTACTGTTCTACATGGGGCTGCCCTTGAAGAGCATTTAGAAGTTGTAGCTGGCCCAGAATGCAGTGGCACAGGCAGTTTTGTGTGTCTTAGTCTGTTAGACACTGTTAGCCTTTCGTAAGACCCTGAAGACCTAGCTCAGTGGTGGCGAACCTATGGCACGGGTGCCAGAGGCGGCACTCAGAGCCCTCTCTGTGGGCATGTGTACCATGCCCGGGAGATGGCAACTGTCCCTCTTCAACCAGCCACCTGCTAACTCGCCAAGGTCCCATGTGGCCGGATGCATCCCGGCATGACTGGTTTCCCTCCCACCCCATCCCATCCCTCCTGGCCTCGCATGCTCTCCTTTTCCCGGGCACGACCCACTGCATCGCCTCCTCAGCTGTCAGCCAACCATCCAGCTCAGAGGCAGCTTCTTTGAACTGCTGGCGGCGGGCTGCGGAGCCCCAGAGTGCACCAGTTGAGAGGCCAGCAGGCTGTGGCTGCTGACGGACACCGTCAGCCCCCATGTGCTCGCTGGCCTCTGTATGCAGGGGCCAGTGGTGTCAGGCAGCAGCCGCTCCAGCCCTTGCCTTGCCCCATGGCAATGGCACCCCTGCCCTGCCTCACCACACCTCGCAGGATGAGCCTATTGCCCCACCTGCCAGAGACTCCCTGGATCTCCCCCAACCCTGCCCACCCCCCACAGGCATCCCTCCCCACGAGCAACATTTAGGTGACCACACCTACCCTGGCCACACACCCCAATCTGCCATGACCACCCCAGCCATGCCCTCCCAGTGGGCCACGCCTACCTGGCCCCGGCGATAAATAAGTGGGCTTTGGGTTGCAGTTTGGGCACTCGGTCTCTAAAAGGTTCGCCATCACTGACCTAGCTGTTTCCCTAGGGCCAGAAGATTAGGCAACTACAGTTCTTGAATTTATAATTGGAAGATATCCTTTACCTTTGATGTCATGGCTTACTGTTTTTAATTGATAGGTTTTTAATCTTTGTACTCTGCCTGAAGTCATTGTTGTGAAATAGGCAGTCATATACATTATTTAAAGAAAAATAAAAGCTACGGAGAAATCTTCCACTGATTCGTATACTATACTGCATTAGCAGTACAGACACCAGCTGAAGGATTATGGATTGTTAGAAGGCTGAACACTCCCATATTACTAAAATGTAAAACTTTTTAGTTTTAAACTGACAAAAGCACAGGAAAGATAAGAGCTCACCTCTACATAAATGAGATTATGGTGCTATTGCTAACATTGCCATTATGGAAAGGAATAGCACAAAAGTGTTCTGAGCAATAGGAGTGACCAAAGCCAAATTTACATAGAGAAAAAAAACTGTGATGTTTTATTTCCTCTACTGAAGATGTTTATAGGCAAATAAATATTAATTATATTTAAGGTGATTAATAGTGCTGGGAATGGGTAGCTAAGCTCGCAGGTGTACTTTAAAAATGGCTTGAAATCTTTATTTTTAATATATGTATAATGTCTTTTTTTAATTCACTTTTTTAAATGTTTTTATTGTTTTATGTTTAGTGGGGGGTTCCTTTTGTCCTTTTGGGTTGTTGTTTTTTTTGAGTTCTGTATTTTGTATTTTAACTTTGTTTTGAATAAAATAAAAACAGGTTAAAAAAAGAAATCTTTATTTTTAACCCAAGTTTCAGAAATAATAGGTAGAGAGAATAAGTTATTTTTCAAAGTGTTATAAGGATTCAACAGACCAAATTCATAGTCAGTTGATCCAGGTCAAGAGGCCTAGTTTGGATCCTGCTATTGACAGTGCAACCTGATACAATTTCTTATAATGTATTGTATGTACAGTGAGATTTACTTGTGAATGTTAAATAGTAGATTTTGGATTGAACCATTAATGTTGCACAAAAAAGTTCATGAATAGGTGATTAAATTAGCAAATAAAGCCTATTCAGATCTGTGTTTTAGAAAATACATTTTTATTATATGATTTTAAATTACGTTCTTCAGATTGTGTTGATTCCATTTTCGGTAGCAGGGATGGACTGCCTAGGACCCAAAAGTTCATGAAGTTCTTAGCCATAAAATATGGTCTACAGAGGTAACCAGAATCAAAGGAAAGAAGCTTAGGCATTTCTAGCAATCCTATTGAAAGCTACTGGTTTACCTCAATAAGCACCGCAGGATCAGTTAGAAGATTTATATGTTCCACTCTGAGCATACCTACTCATGACCATTGGAAGAGTAGAAGTAATGATTATATATATTAGATGTAAGATTGGAGAGCCACTTGGGTGTAATGGTTAAGGCACCAGGCTAGAAACCGGGAGATAGTCATTTCCAATCCTGCTTTAGGCATGAAGCCAACTGGTGATTTTGGCCCAATCACTTTCTCTCACCTCTAGGGCCTAAATCTGAAAATATTTCCAGGAAAACTGCAGGGACTAGTTTGCCAAACGTAGAACGAGAGAGAGCGTGAGAGAGAATGCAAAGTAAGAATAAGTTTGAATGGCATCTGAATGCATAATTATAAATTTCTGAGTCTCATGGACTTAAAAATCATAGTATGTGCCCCTTGAGGGTCAAACGTCCCTGTTTTACAGATTTTTATTTTAATAGGTGACTGACTTGGATATATCTGAAAATTGTGTGAATGGAAGCCAAGAACAAAGTTTCCTGTTTCAATGCAGAAGATTGGCTTTATTTTCCTTGAAGACAATATAGTGTGCCCAATATGCCTAGAGATATTCAGAGACCCAGTCACTACAGCCTGCGGGCATAACTTCTGCATGGATTGCTTGCAGGTTTATTGGGAACACCTAGCACTTATTGGAGAACAGCCTTACTGCCCTCAGTGCCAGGAACCCTTGAGTTCAACACCTCAGCTCCACAAAAATATAACCCTGGGAGAAATTGCAATGAGATTTGCACAGGAGAAATCTCAAGATCCACAGAAGCTGGCTAGTTTCAAGAATGTCCCATGCGATTTTTGTTTCACGCGAAAGTTAAAAGCAGTCAAGTCTTGCTTGCAATGTATAGCTTCCCTATGTGATAACCACATTCAGTCTCACTACACAGACAAGATTTTCAAGAACCACCAGTTAGTGGAACCTCTCAGTGACTTGAAAGGCAGCATGTGTTTAAAACATCGTAAGCTGCTAGATCTATTCTGCAAAGAGGAAGGCAAATTTATTTGCCAAATCTGTGTCCGGGAGGAGCATAAGAACCATGAAGTCATTTCTCTGAAGCAAGAAAGAAGCAAGAAAGAAGTAAGCAGTTTTTGTATATGTGTTTGTGCATCAGTGTGTGCCCTCTCTGTTTTTATGGAAGGCAGCTTTGAATAGCAGAAGTGAGTCAGGTTCATATCTCATCATTTTAGCCTATAAAAGTAGCCCATCGCAGATAGAAAGTTTTTCACATACGTTACACTTCTCAATTGATATGGACTGGAGGTTGTAAGAGAGATGTCATTCAACTGTTTGATGCCCAGGATCAGAACTCTAATTTACACACTGCTTTCATTGTTTCCCTTTCATGCTTACTATTTCTGCTCTTTTCTGCAGCATTTCCTTGCTCTGTAAGGTTCATTCACATGCCAAGATTCCTCTCACACTTTGTGGATTATAGATTAGTGTTTCTGTTTCCACCATATGTTCATTACCAGCCATTCTTATAAGTTGTTCAGCCACATTGGGGAGTATCAGAATTACTGAAATGTGTTCTATCTGTGGCACAGGTTTCAATCTCGATCACATTACATGATGTATCGTGACGTATCGCAATGTTTTTTGCCTTTACGGAGCTGGGGTGAGCGTGGCCTGCACATGACGTATCCGGCCCGTGGGCCACCAGTTTGACATCTCTGATCTATGGCATCAGCCATATTTTCTTCCATCCTTAGGCCATGATTTCTATAGCCTTATCTTGTTTCTGTACCCAAACACAGTAGACAGGGGGGAAAAAACCTCAAGATAAAAAGTATTCCTTTAGCTTGTTCTGTTGCTACTTCTGCAAAGAGTTGCTAGTGGATTTTTTTTTTCTTTTCCTAACCTTGATGTCCTTAATATATATGAAAAACAGTCTTTGCTAGCCTGGTGCTAGCTGATTCTGATTACAACTTCCTGATCTGGAAACCCATTTGGAGGATCCCAGGCCAGGTAAATTAAAACAACAAACAAAATGTCATGGTACTTTGAAATAAGCACACACAACCTGCCCCTTAACAATAAATAAGAGTTTTTAAAGTTAGTACACATCCCTCACAAGAGAAAGATTTATAACAAAAAAAGGCAAAAATTTATACAGAAGCTGTGCACAGATGAGATTGGAAGTGTGGGCTTTGACAGCACGTGCAATTGATCAAATGCAACTTTGGGGAAATATTTCCCACTCTGAGAACATGCCATGAACTCTAAAGGAAATTGGCTGCCACTAATTTCTTGCTCAGTCAAAATAGCTGCCTTAACAAGTAGGGGTCCCAGACTCACATTTACCAGATGAGGTTGTTTATTGCCACCTTCTCTCCTTTCCCCCCTATGGAACTACTAGCAGCCCTCAATTAGTTTGCTCTTCCGGGTGGGGATATAGGCATATTGATTTAAAACAAAAACCACTGAGCTATGCAGAATCCATGGGTATTCTTGGAAATAAATAATACTGTATTCTGAAAACTGGTGCTAGTCAAAATATGTATTTTGTTTAACATTAAAAAAAAGGGAAAGAAAGATGGAAAAGAGTTTGTGGGTGTTAAGGAAAGTTTTTGCCACCACGCTGAGCTCACAGATAACAAGTTGGTGTGCTTGGTAATACTGTATGCTCTTTGTTTGTTTTGCAATAGAAACTTGAATTGAGACAAAAGGTTTATGGCTGTTTGGCAAAAACAATATTTTAAAGAATGCCACTCAACTGATACTTTAATATATGAGCACCCCCCATTCTGTGTCCAATGTTGGCACTTCCACAGGTATCCGTGCATTTGGCAGGAATTTTTATAGGAAAGAAGGCCTTTGCGCAAGAAGGCCTACACACTTAAAGAAACAGATTCTGCATATCTCTGAGGCTGTCTGATTACAAAAGTGTTCTGTATTGATTTTGACTGGGGGGCATTTCTTTTCCAGGTGGAGATCCAAAGAATACATGCCAGTGTGGAAAACCAGGTCTTGATGTTGGCAGAAGACCGTCAGAAATACAGAGCAAGAGTGAATTACCTCATGGTGAGCTGCAAGTGAGAAAAGTGGATGGAAGAAGTTTGGAGCTTCTTAGTTGAGTGTGGGGGCAAAACAACTTCCCCAACAGCAGTAAATCGGGAGATAGTAGCAGACAAGACTGGAAGTAGCATCTAGATCAGAATTGCATGTCCAACCATTATTTATTTATTTATTTATTTATGAGACTTATATACCGCTTTAAGTGCAAGCACTCTCTAAGCGGTGTACACCAGTAAGCAATGTATATATATATATATTTACATTGCCCCCAACAATCTGGGTCCTCATTTTACCTACTTCGGAAGGATGGAAGGATGGGTCAACCTTGAGCCGGTAAGATTTGAACCGCTGACCTGCTGAACACAGTCAGCTAAAGTGGCCTGCAGTACAGCACTCTAACTGCTGCGCCACCTCGGCTCATTAGGATGCCTGCTACAATTTTCACAGGCCTAGTATTGGCAGATGGGCCAACCATGTATGGCAGTGTTTTCCAACCTTGGCAGCTTGAAGATGTGTGGACTTCAACTCCCAGAAATTCCCAGCCAGTATGTCTAGCTGGGTTTTTCTGGGAGTTGAAGTCCAAACATATTCAAGTTGCCAAGTTTGGAAAACATGTATTTATAGTATGATATGATGACAGTGATGATGGTTTAAGTATGGCAACTTTTTTAGAAGGCAATGGTATTTCCAATCAAAAGCATTTAGCAGTTCAACTGGCACATTTTCTTTTGACAAGGGTTTTCCCCCCCATATCAGGGAATATAGAAATATGTAATGGCAAGATTGGGGAGAGGAAAAAAAGAATAGCGAATTTTCATCCTGAAGTCAGGAATATGGTTGTATAAAAAGGATATTTATTAATCATTCTGGCTCTAAATCACCTAACTACATAAATAAAAAAATAATGTCAAATAATTGTGATCCTCATTTCCATTCAGTATTGTCTCTTTTCCTGTGGTGATATCTCCTTATCGATTCTGAAGTCACTAGCTTCACAGGTACCTTTGGATCCTGTAGACAAGACTCTTAAGTAATGATCTTAAGGCTAAAAGCCAATCCTGAATATGTTCTACCTTACTCTATCTGTAACACTATGAAAGGTAAACTGGTACTGCCTATATATTTTGGTCTTCAACCCACATGGCTAATAGCAAACAGAGAATTAGAGTTTTAACATATACTTGCACCTATTTTAACACTTGTCTGTCTTTTATAAGAAATACAGTTTTTTTTTTCTGAAAGAGCCCTAAATCAAGATAGGAAATAGATAGAAATATACTATATTTTGTTTTTTTCCATTCTTTACAGAAAGTGGTGAAGAATGCCAGAGATGAAGTTAGCTGGGCCTTTACAGAGGTAATAAAAGAATTCAAGAGACTGCAGACTAAGGTGATGGACTTCATTGATCAAGAGGAAAAGTCAGCTTTACTTGATATGGGGAATTCTATTAAACGCAGACATGAGCAACTTGCAGATCTTAAGAAGCAGAAGCTGTGGTTGACAAATCTGATGGACAATCCAAGTGACTTTCAATTCTTGCAGGTAAAAGTTCACTTTTCATATTGTAACTGAGACCACATATCCTGTTAAATTAGTAACACAGTTGTTAAGTGAATCTGGCTTCCCCATTGACTTTGCTTGTCAGAAGGTTGCAAAAGATGATCACATGACCCCGGGACACTTCAACTGTCATAAATATGAACCAGTTGTCAAGCATCCAAATGTAACTCACGTGGCCATGGGGATGCTGCAATGGTCATAAGTGTGAAAAATGGTCATAAGCCATTTTTTTCAGGGCTGCTATTAACTTCAAACAGTCATTAAATGAGCTGTTGCAAGTTGAGGATTATCTATACAGTAACTAAATCCAACATCCTGGTCAATTTAATCCAGACTAAAGCATCCCCAACAGATGGCTGACTACCCTCAATTGGAACTTAATCAGTGAAGGGAGGTCCAGCACCTTAAGGAACTGGTCCCCCAACTACTCATACTGTTAGGAAGTTTTTGCTAATGTTTTTTTGAACTCTTTCAGTAACTGAAAACTGTTATTCCTGAAAAAAACATTTTGACCACTTTCTGTGCAACATCAAGAAGCTTATATACATTGCCTCATTCATCCATCATCAGAATAGACTGGCATCTATTTATGGGAGGGTAAAATAGGTTATATTACCTTCTCTTAAATCCCCATGCAGTTTTAAAATAATTTTAGGGCATATTTTCTGGTCTAGACTTTCAATACAGACTTCCCATACTACTGCATAGTAGTTTGTTTTCAGATAATGCATCTCAGTTTATTGCAGGATAACCCCAGTTACTCATTGGCTATTTTGCAGAGGCAGCAATTTCCATTCAAGCAACTCAATGTTTATCATTCTGTTTTTAATTACTGCTTTTCTTTCTAACAGCTTTTTCTGTATTTCTTGTTAAGTCCGGTGATCTAGCATTTCATTTTTTGTTCGATCATGTTAGATATAAGTTCCCAAGTAACCCAGTACAGTTTTTCTGTTTGGCAGGCTATGGAAGCACAGTTGTCCCATTTCTGACTCTAGGTATTAGAAAGTGGAAACAGTGTCAAGTAGAAGGATCATACACAAAGGAAAAAAAGCTAATCCCCATGCTCCAATATCCAAATTGACTGTTATGAAAAGATTTTGCTGAACTGTCAGCTCTCTTCAATACTGTTTGTTACTATAGGAATTCCCAAAAATAAAAGCCATATCTGATTGCTCAGAAGCTTTGATTGGGCTGAAATGTGAGGAACTCACCAGTTTTGCGGGGATTAAACAGACACTGAGTGACTTGAAATCCCAAATCTCAATGATTGGACTCTGTTTCATCAATAAAATCCTTCAAAAGGGTAAGTAAACTAAAGTTTGAACGTAATCTTCTTGCATATTCAAATGAATTTCTTCTCATCACATGACTCACACTTCTGTCTCAAAAACAGGAAATCCTTCCAGATGATGTTAGTGGGAAGAAAACATTTGCATGAGGGGCATTGTACTTCGAACACTTTGCTTAAAATAATGCATTTACTCAAAAGGAAAACAACCCTGACAAGAAATAAAAATGTGGAGAAAAATAAAAAATAAACACAGGCAAAAATAGAAGAGAATATATGTAGCTCAAGATTGAAGTGTGGAGTCCTTGGTGCTCTCTTGAGCTTGGTTATTTGCTTGGTTCCTTGATTAGGATATTATTTTCTGTTTCATTTTTCCTGGTATTAATCCCTGTTTATTTTGATGTAGGCTGCTGAAGGTGTGTCTTGATCTTTTTGTTTCCCTCTTAAGTTTTTTATTGTCTGTTTTGAATAGTATGTAAATGTGATTTATCCCTACCGGTAAATATCTAATGATGGCTGATTTATCTGAATGCCAAATTTTCAGGATTTCCCTAGCATTTCTAGATTTATCTTGGCCTAGAATGCTCAGTTTCCCAGTTGAAACTATGGTTGAATCTGTCCATGTGTTGTGAGATTAAGGCGTTTTCAAAATGTCTTCTGATTGCTATTTGATGTTCATGGATGTGCTCTGCTAACCTGTCTGTCCTACCTATTAGTTGTTACAGTCTTTATACTGTATGTTGAAGATGAATCCTCTTTAATCTTCTTCAGATCTTCTAGAGGGATTTAGTTGGTTAGTCTGCTTCGATATGCCATGTGGCTGTATTAGTATGCTTGTAATTTCTGAGATGTTTTTGATGTATGGTAGTGTTCACCTTTTCATAGCTCATGCTGGTTGTGCTGTAGTGGGTTCAGTGGTCAGGCATTTTTTGATAAAGTTCCATGTGTATCCATTTTGCTGGAAGATGTTGTATAGGAGGACCATTTCCATTTCTGATCTTCAAAACTGCTGCAGTGTATTTAGACTCTTGTGATCCAAATAATATTCTTACACAGCTCCTCTTAAAGAATGTTGGATTGATGTTTTGATAATGGAGCACTTGATTAATATGGGCTGTGCTTCAATAGACTAGCGTTTTTAATTTGCTATCATTTCTGCTGCTGCTAAGGATATTCAGGAAGTGTCAATGGAGATTCTCAGTCATCCAGGTCATGGTTGTCCCAAAGGTGATTTTTCAAGAGGCAACTGGCCTTTCTTGTTTTTCTTTGAAGACATTTCGCTTCTCATCCAAGAAGCTTCGTCAGCTCTGACTGGATGGCGGGGAATATTTATATTCTAATGCAAATGACCAGTTGCCTCTTGAAAAAGCACCTTTGGGACGATATTCAGGAAGGATAGTGTGCTGTTATTTTCTTCTTCCCTTGTGATTTTTTTTCCCTTTGAAGATGTTGTTTGTTTCATGTGCCTTTTCTAGTTCCTTTTTTATTATGATGTTTTATTTATGTTGTCTACATACCACATCCATACTTTGGATTGTATATGTGGGACTGCTAGTTTCTAGACACTGTTTTGCAGCCTTTGTTATGAGTTCTGAGGGAGAGACATTAAAAAACAACTTTAGCCCTCTCTCAATGGGTTCACAAATATTTTTTATTTTTGGCCTATTAAAAAAGCCAGAGCAGAAATGGAGCAAACAGACCTCTGGAGAAGAGTATACAGGAAGGACAAGAACAGTAACAAAGAAGACATAACTCTGGAATGGCAGGAGATGGCATTGCTTATTTGAAGGGGCCATAGCAGGTCCACCCTTATGGGACAGGCAGAAACATTTGGAGAAAGGTGCCATAGAAGATAGCTGGGCCCTGAGCCATATAAGGCTTTAAAATTGTCACCAACCATCTTACCTTTCACCCAGAATCCTATTGCTAACAGCTCTTCAGCAAAGCTGATAATCTATGAGGACCCCCAAATTGCACAGAGGTTCTGTCTAGAGCAGTGATGGCGGACCTTTTAGAGACCCAGTGCCCAAACTGCAACCCAAAACCCACTTACGCATCGTCAGGTGCCGGGTGGGTGTGAACAATTGAATGGGTGTGGCCCATTGGGTGGGCATGGCTGCAGTGGTAACGGCAGATTGGGTGGGACTAAAAAGTTCAATCAATCAATTCCAACTTTGCAAGATCTTTTTTTTCCCAGCAAGAAGTTGAAATTGACTGATTGAACCTTTTTTTTTTTTTTGCACATGGCGGCGGAGGCTAAAGCGAAAAGGTTTTATAAAACCCAGCTGAAGGCCTAAGACTGGGGCGATGGCACGCGTGCCCACAGAGAGAGCTGTGAGTGCCACCTCTGGCACCCGTGCCATAGGTTCGCCACCACTGGTCTAGAGAATTCAACACCATCAAGAATTAAAGATGCAAAATTCCTGAGCACAGCAAATCCTTGTACCCAAAGCCAGTCTTGCTCAGGTTGAACTTGAGCCTATTCCTCCCCATCTAGATCTAAAGAACTTCCAAATATTGGGAGAACACCTCCATGAGGGAGGAGGCTCCGTGGTATCCTAAGCAGAACATCCAGATTCAGTCATAGTTTCATTCCATACAGTATTAACCTTGTGAACTCTAAAGCTTTTTCTTTCCTTTATGTATTCAAGATGGATAGTGATTAATATTTATAAGTTATTTATACGCAGGGCTTTTTTTCTCATAGAAAGCCCAGAACGGAGTTCCGGCACCTTTTTTGGATGGAACCTTGTAGAGTAGGCAAGGCAGGTTGTATGACGTGTGTGAGTTCTTGCACCTTTTTTTTTTTAGAAAAAAAGTACTGTTTATATGTAAGGGTGTAGGTTTATACATGTTGTATATAGCATGTTTAAATGTGTTTTGTATGTGTATATTTAGAGAGCAAGCAACTAAATTTCATTTTTAATGTGTGCCAATGTGCCCACAGTAAAAAAATGACAATAAACATTATCTATCTATGACTCTCTCGGATGCTTCCCCAGATAACTCTCCAGATGTCAACTGGGAAAAGGATGAACCAGTTCCGGGCAGGTCTGGAGGGGAGTTAGTCAATGGCTTTGAGCAGCCATCTAAGAGGGATTTGGCTGAAGCTCAGCTGCAGCAAGACAGCCTTGAGGCTTCAGGTGGGAAAAGCACACAGCTGCAACCACTCAGTGATGAGGAAGAGGAACAGCCTTCTGCACCTGTTCCGAGAACAGGCAGGGCAGAGGAAAGGCAAGAGCAGCATAAGTCAGCCTGATTACTTGTGAGGAGGCAGCCTCGCCCTTCTTGATGGGCTGCCCCAGAAGCTGGCTATTTAGCACAGCACGTAGATGAAGATGATGCTGGGAACAGTGTGTTCATTTCTTAGTTGTGTGTTTCCTGATTAGTGTGATTCCGGCCTTGCTTTGGATTGACACCTTGACTTGGATTGTGCCTTGTGAATTCCTGACTTTGCTTGCCTCATGAACCTGCTTGTATTGGGGATTTAATTTTGCCTGGTGGGTTTAGCTTGATTACGGACTCATTGGCCATTGTTCTGTGGACTAGCATTGGTGTGCTTTTTTGCTGGACTTAATTAGGGACAGTTTTTGGGGTTTTGATGAAGGGAATTGCTGGGGAATACTAATAAACCAACTAAACCACTGTGTGTGTATATGTGTGTGTGTGTGTGTGTGTGTGTGTGAGAGAGAGAGAGAGAGAGAGAGAGAGAGAGAAGGGCAGCACAATGACTTCACTAGGACAGCCAGAGATCAAAATAAGCCATTAGGTCTTCTGGTGGTACCTGACTCCATGTCATCAGATGGCCTCCCTAAGTAGCCTCATGTAGATATTATAGGAATGGAGACAGCTTTAAGGAATTTCACAGAGCAAGGATCTAGAGTGTGATCTCTCCAATACATACCAAGAAAGACTGATTTCAGAGAAAAGATATCCACTAGAAACAAGTACTGTACCCTCTTCCTGAAGGAAAGCTGATCAGTGGGCCTTTCCTTTAAAAGAAAAACAAAGAATTTTGCTAGTGAAACTACAAAAAACATCCTACAAGATTGGACTTTTTAAAACAAAACCAAGCAAAATTGACTAAGGTTTTGCCACATTTCTATCCCAAGCAATAGGAAGAATAGGAAAAACTGGGATTTTCTTTTGTGTTTTTTAAAAGTCAAGAACAAGGAGAAATCAGTGAAGGGAGACTCGTACAAAAGATTAATAGAAATCACATGTTCTCAGAGACCCATCCACAGACAGGAACATGTTTTCCTGGCCCAAGCAGGAGAAGTAAAGATGCCGGGAATCTATTAGTTGAGAGCCATGGGATGGTTAATCAGGCCATCATCGTGCCCAAAATGGAGGATGAGATTGATATACAGAAGGGATTTCTTAAGCCAGCTTCATTTGCAGCCAGTTTACACACGGGAGACAAAGCTTAAGCCTGCAGTGCTGAAAAAGCCCTTTATCTTAATTTCTAACTAATGAGACGTGATTATGTTTCTCTTGCTAAGTAGACTACTTTTCAGGACTGACTCCTGGGAATTTAGCACTTTAATGAACACCATCTGTTCAGATAGCCTTTCCACCCACCATAGCAACCCTTGGTGGAACCCAGCTTTTGCTCTGTCAGGTCTCCTGAGTCTTGCTGCCTTCTTTCAGTAATTGGTACTGAAAACAGCAGGGTAAGACTGCATGATTGAAAAAATGGACATGAAAAATGGCCAGTATTCTGAGAACAGGAGTGTAAAACTGAAGTTGCCTCGCAGCTAGTTCATTCTTGACATGCTATAAGTAATGAGGGTAAACCTTCACCCTCATCCTACCCCCCCTCCCAGCTACAGATATTTGTCACTATTGCAAATGTCATAAGTAAGTCAGGAAGGAAGACTTTTTTTAAAAAGTGATGGCTCTTGAGCTGAGCTTAGCTCCTAATGACCATATGGACATAGAAATTAAGGTGGCAACAATATATGTGATTAACCATTGTCACTTTTTGGTTTGTTGGTTTGTTTTTTTACACCCCAGTCTAATTTATAGCCTTGGTATTCCCTGCTAGTTTGCTAGGTCTTTTTTTCATGTCCAGTTCTCACACTTCTCAGATGTCACAGCTGCCCTATAGAAAAGCATTCTTTCTGAAATTCAGATGGTCCCACGCCTATCTTCTTTCTGAAAGGCTCTGAAAACCTGGCTTTATGAGACACTCTCAATGGTTTCAGTTGTCTGAATTGACTGTGGCTCACTGTGTTTTATTCTGTGTTATGCCCTGTTGTTTGTTATTTGTTGCTTTTAGTTGTATATATATATGTATGTATGTATGTATTATGTCTTTGGTTATTCGGGTTTTCTCCCGCGTCAAATTGGAAGTGTCTTGGTGACGTTTCGACGAAGTCTCATTCGTCATCTTCAGGCTGGTGTTTTCGGCTTCGTGCTCCTAGAAGCACGAAGCCGAAAACACCAGCCTGAAGATGACGAATGAGACTTCATTGAAACGTCGCCAAGACACTTCCAATTTGACGCGGGAGAAAACCCAAATAACCAAAGACCTACATACAAACGCCCGGGAAAACCTCAGAAAACATACACATATACATACATACATACATACATACATACATATACATACATACATACATATGTACATACACACCACCCTGAATCATGGATCAATTGCTGATACATACACTGAATAAATAAATGAATACATTTTAAAAACAGGTACTAAATAAATAACTCAAATATCTTTACTCTTTCAGGAATCACAATGGTGCCATATGAACTGTTACCCACACCCACAGATCGGAAGACTCTTCTAAAGTGTAGGTGTTTTAGTTGTTTCCCCAATATTGTTTCCCCAATATTGCCCTCTGGAATGCTGTTGACTGTCAGATCTTGGCAAGTAACCTTCTTAACAATAGTATCTCTTCAGATGACCAGACCGCTTAAGGCAGATGAACATTGTACAAGGGAAGCCATGTTAGTCTATGGCAGGAGTAGGCAACCTTTGGCTTTTTTATGACTTGTGGACTTCAACTCCCAGAATTCCTGAGCCAGCCATGCTGGCTCAGGAATTCTGGGAGTTGAAGTCCACGAGTCATAAAAGAGCCAAGGTTGCATATCCCTGATCTATGTTAACCAAAATTCAGATTTACTAATTTTGTTTTTAAAATGTAAGCTTTTGTAAGCTATTTTATGCCTTTTAATAATATTCGTTTGTCTGAAAAGATGCCACCAGACTTCTGAATTTAGGATTGAAGGAATCTTCTGGGAGGGTAACGAATGTGTTCTTTCACAGAATCTAATTTCAGGGTGCAAAAGATAAAAGAACATGGAACGTGAGGGAAATCAGTCAGCCCTAGTTTAATCCTACCAGAAATGTAATGTTTATTGTTAGGAAACATGCTCATGCTTAGTGAAACCTGTTCTGATTTGTACTGCTTCTAAGGCAAAGGAAGGAAACATCAGCGTGACTGAGGTCCCAAAGGTACTTTAAAAAAGGCAACTGGACTTTCTTGATTTTTCTTGAAGATCTTTCACTTCTGACAAGTTTGTACTCTAATTATATGCCAAAGTTTAAATTAACATTCTAATAATCCTCTCAAGACAGAAATTTTGTGAGACAGAACCATAAAATTTACTCAGCTTTGTGAATTCTGAAAAAATGTATGAAACGTTATCAGAAGAAACAGGAAAACAATAATGGGCAAATTATAATGAGTAAATGGAGACTTGTAATTCTGATGACAGAGTTATCACTTTGGGTAGTTCTTTAGCCCTTTAACAGTATATGGATTTCATTGCAATAATCAGCTACTCTCATTTTAGTTCCTCTTTTCAAAGATCAGCATTTGGGATGTAAAGTATTTGAGGGACCATGATGCAGACAACAAATCACCAATTTGGTATGGTGGGCTGGGCATACAGATCAGAACAATATGAGTTCCAGTTCTCTCTTCAGCAGGAAAGCTGTCTGGGGGACTTTGAGCCAGTTACTCTCTCTCACTCCAACCCAACTCTCCACAGAGTTGTTGTGGAGAAATTAAGAATAGGAAACATTATGTATATCATGTCGGCCAAAAGAAAATCTAATAATATATTATCTGCCAAGTGATGTGCAACTAGGTATTACAGCAGTTCCTCCTAACGTGATAGTTCAGAATAAACTATAGGGTAGGGTAGTGACAAGGGTTGGATTCTTTGATCACTGTTTTTTCCATCTTGAACTGCACTTGATTTTCAGCTGGATCTAGGTGTAACTTAAGGTCACCAGACTTCAATTCACACATTACAGGTAGTCCTTGACTTACAACCATTCATTTAGTGACCATTCAAAGTTACAGTGGCACTGAATAAAGTGACTTATGACCAGTTTTCACACTTTACAACCGTTGCAGCATCCCCATGGTCACATGATCAAAGTTCAGACGCTTGGAAATTGACTCATATTTATGACAGTTGCCATGTCCCAGGGTCATGTGATCACCTTTTCTGACCTTCTGACAAGCAAAGTCAATGGAGAAGCCAGAATCACTTAACAACTGTGTTAACTAACCTGGCAACTGCAGTGATTCATTTAACTAATGTGGCAAGAAAAGTCATAAAATAAGATATTTTGGGCTCAGTTGTGGTCGTATGTTGAGGATATCTGTACATAAAATCTGCCCAGCTACATGTACTGTACATTTACATAGGCTTCTTCTGAACCTATAGTCCTGCTGGAGCCTTCTATCTATCATCTAGCTAGATAGCTGCTATCTAGCTATCTAGCTAGATGATAGATAGATAGATAGATAGATAGATAGATAGATAGATAGATAGATAGATAGATAGGTGAAAGTATAATAACAATAATAGTTCTCAAGGAGAACAAGATAGATTTCTGTGTTTGGAGTAGAACTATGTTGGTTACAAAACAGAATAGAGCAGTGTTTCTCAACCTTGACAATTTTAAGGCATGTGGACTTCAACTCCCAGAATTCCACAGCCAGCAATGCTGGCTGTGGAATTCTGGGAGTTGAAGTCCACATGCCTTAAAATTGTCCAGGTTGAGAAACACTGGAATAGAGAAAAGACTTTTTTTCAGAAGTCCTCCATCTCTCTCTCTCTCTCTCTCTATCTATCTCCTGTATTTTCAAATACTGGCGAGGAGACAAAGTCAAATATAATATTGGTTTTTGGTTCTCTGGCTTCCTTCTCCTGCTTAAGTTGATACCGTAGTCTTCCTAATCACCTGATGTGCTTGCTATTTTTCTCAGCAACAATTTTTTTTTGTTGTTTGTATATGGCACACAAAGTCTGTTGCAGTCCAAAATATTTTTATGGACAGCTTGCTTAAACTTGGTTTAAGCTGCCTGCCTTTACTTGGAGTGAAAGTCACCTCTGATTTATTGAGTATTAAAAGAGGCTGTTTTTCTGTAGTGCTGGACAATAAACTTCCAGGAAAAGCTATGTCCTTAAGTAGGACATCTGGTGCTCTTTCCCTTTAGATGAGTCCTTTTCCTTCCTCCAATTGCTAGGACAATTTCTCAAAACTCAATGTCTTCTCAGAAGCTCTACTGAAATGTGTAAGAGTTTCAAATGTGAAGGAAATCCTTTCTCATCTTGGTGCCCTCTGGATCAGCTGGTTTCACAGTTCACAGATTTCCTAACCCACATGAGGACACCAAGAGCCACACTGTCCACTGAAATTTTATTTTGTTTTCCCTTTCCCTCCTGCCAACTTTTAAAGGTTATTTGGTTTATTATGTTGTATCACGGAACCTTAATATGATACCTTGTTTTTGTAAATTGCTTTGAGATGACTGCTGTGCTTAGGAAGTGGCATAAAAACCCATTTAATACCTTTGCACTTCCTGAACTCTGAGCCTCTGAACTGGTCTTTTATCAGGAAAGGCTGGACAATATAATTCTATATGGTTACGGTTTAACTTGCTTAAAAATTGAGACTTGGTCAACGTAATTGTATTTGTACTGCAATACTGTAGAACAGTTTGGACATTTTGCTTCTGTTTATATTGAGCTTAGTTTTAGCTTGTTTGTTTTAGTTTTTTTAACCATTTATATTCTGTTTTGTATGAGCTTACATACTATGGATCTTAAAAGTTTGGTTATAGTTGTGGGCAAAGCAAGCCTGCTATTATTTTCATAGGTTTGCACTTTCTACTTCTACGCATCTTATCTGCATTCAAGCAAACTAAACAAATGGCTAACCAAGGAATTGAAAGAAGCAGGACATAAATGGCATGTCAGAATGCATTTTCTCATCCCATTACATACATCAGTCCTTCATGAGCCCTAGAAGGTGTGTGCATATTTATCTCTAACTGCCCTTTGCAAATAATCATGATGGCTAATATTAAAACTAAATTTCTTAACCATGACCCCCTGAATGAGACATTAATATATAGTTTGCCTTTAACAGCCACAATGGCTGGGATCACAAATTACATTTGACCACATGATCGCTTAGCATGATATATAAACCCCACCAGGATCTAATTTTTTTTTTAATTATTTCTAACACTCCCTGTCTACTTCCCTCCACACATACACACATTTATATATGCAAGAGCCAGTATTGTGTAGGGATTAAGGTGCTGGATTTGTGATAGGAAAAGTGGTTCTACTTCAGGAATTCCCAAACCTTTCAGCTCATTGACTCCTTCATGAAATGTCGGATTGTTCATCAACCCATATATTTTAATATGTGCGAATAATACTACATTAACTAATAGTACTATAAATAATACAAATAATATAATAAAATAATAAAAAAAAATCTTTCACAATCCCATTGACTCTTAGGGGTCAATATTGACCATTTTGGAGATCTTTGTTCTAATCCTTGCTTGGGCACAAAAACTGTCTGTGTGACTTTGGCCAGGAACTCTGTCAGCCTAGACTGGGAAGATAAAAAATATGTCTCTACCAAACAGCACTGGACTAACATGCTACATAACAGTCCATGACTTTCAATGAAGAGTCCGTCATCCTGCAATGGTTTGATTTAGGCTGATCATAATTATTATTCCTGCCTTTCTACTCAGAACAAGTTCCAGTTTTCATTTCTCAGTGAGGCCCTGGTCAAGTAGGGGCTTGATCCTTGATTTTTTCTGTGTGTAGTATTCTAGCTGCTACATTGCACTGGCTGCTCACAGCTGGCAAAAATATGGAATACGTTATGACTGAAGACAGTATGTCTTATTTCCCAGATTCATCAATATCTGAGGGTAATATTCAAGAAGAAATGGAGGTTCTCTGTGTTAGAATAAAACTAATCTTACTTCCTAGTCTATTCAAATTTTCCTGGCATTCTCATCCTTCTTGTGGATTGACCTAGACTGACAAAATGTAATCTTTTCTTTTTTCCTTTCCATGAAACAGACTATTGTATCCTGAATTTTGATGCCAACACTGCCAACGAAGAGCTCTTCCTATTTAAAGAGACTCACTCTGTGCTGAACATGGGGATTTTGTTGGAGACCTATTCAAAACCCACCCCTGGATTTAACCACTGGCCCCAGCTGCTCGGTACCCGTAGCCTCTGTGAGGGCTGCCATTATTGGGAGGCTGAGATTTCAAATGGCTGGCTATGCCTAGGCGTTGCCTACAGCTACCAGCATAGGACTGAAAAATCGTGCATGTTGTATCTGATTGGCAGGAATAATTATTCGTGGTGCTTGGAGTGGGACTCAGTGAATTTCTCTGTCTGGCATAATAATATGCAGACTGTGCTGCGTGGTGACTACTACAAGACCATTGGGGTTCTTTTGGACTATGCTGCAGGCTCCCTGACCTTCTACGGCATCACCAGTTCTATAAACCTCATTTACCGTTTCTTAACCACATTCACTGAACCACTGTATCCAGCTGCCATGGTAAGCAGCGGGACTTCTATTACTTTGAAACAACACCCTGAATAGAGGCCATAAAGAGGAGGGAGGGGAAATCCCATCTTAAAAGCCAAGAGAGCTTTTACGGTTGCTGATAAAATTAACTTTTATCTCACGAGTGCTGCAGCAAGATTCCTTTTTTGGGTGTTCTTCCCTAGAACATTCTGGGAATGGCTGGGCAGGTGTTGAGGATTCTTTCCTGATGCTCTTCTGTTCCATCTCAAGAATGAAGAAATTAAACTAGTTATAGCTACAACCCTGGAAAGTATCCCTCAAATCTATAGAATGGATTGGATCTCCTTATCTTAGGGCAGAGGAGCCTTTGATTGCAAATAGGGAGATCCAAACACAGATGCCCTTTCTCAGGCCCTGTATTAATATTTATAAATATTATGCTATACCTGTGTTGCAAAAATACTGATAACCATTAGATGGAAGATTCTAAAACTTTTCGGGTCAGCTACATTTTTTTTGGACAGATTTATTAGCCCTATGTGTATTTTTCCAACTCTGGAGTTCAAATTAAATTACTTTAATCTGACTAGTTTATACAGGCTGGCTTCCAGGAAGAACATTGGATTAGCTACACAGAACATGCAAAATCTTAGTTCTTTTCCTTTTTTTTTCGTCTTCAAGTTAAGACTTGATTCCGGATGACTATATGGACAAATCCAGAGAGTTTTCTAAGTAGCATTTTTGGAAGTAGCTTACCACTGCTTTTTTCCTAGAGTTGGGAGAGAATGACTGTAGGTAGGCCTCAATTTATGATAATTGGGATTGGAATTTCAGTCACTAGAAGCAGCCATTAAACAAGCCATTACATGGCTGGGCCTGATTTTTGCCATCATTTTTACCACAGTTGTTAAGCAAATCACCATGGTAATTAAGTGAATCACCTGGTCATTAAGTGAATCATGTGGTTGTTATACAAATCCAGCTCCCTCAATTGATTTGTTTGTTGGAAGCCGACTGAGAAGATCACAAATCATGATCTCGTGTCCCACAAGACCTGCAACCTTTGTAAATATGAGCCAGTTGTCAAGCATCTAACTTGCAATCATGTGATCACAGAGGTGGTGTGACGGTTGTAACTTCAAGGATGAGTGATATGTCATTTTTTCTGAGGCCGACATAACTTTGAACCATTATTAAATGGTCATAAACTGAGGACTACTTGTGGCTAAGGTCATTCAGCTGAACTTTGTACCCAAAGTAAGACTAGAATTCAGGTTTCCCTATTCTTCGTCCAGCTAGTCTTAATCCAACTAGTCTTAGATTTTGGAGGTTTCCCCAAGCTTGTGGGCAACCAGACTCCTAAAAGCAAATGGCTAGTCTGAAAATCAGAACAACAGTCAGTCTTATATTTTTTGTAAAGACAGAATGAACTTCCCTTGGTTATGTAATTAATACGCTTCCCTGAGTAACTGGATGAACTTTACAGTCATTAGAACCTCTTGATGGGCTATTTCAAGTTAAATTTTAAGACTCTGTTATTGTTAAAGATTCTCTGCTGGCAATGACTGTCCATAATTGGTCTTGGTTGACAACCCTGGTAACTACACAGAAACTCCCTCATGCAGCACCAACTCCCTAACTTGCATGTGGCCTGCGCCGGTGCTTCCAGACTCTTCCCCCAGCCTCCTGCAAATTGTGTGAGGTCTGCATTGGCTCTTCTGTGGCTTCCTTCCCCCCCCCCCCCCGCAACACCCCCACATGCCTTACCTGGGACTCCAGCCCTCTTCCTGCTTAAAGATCTGCCCATCTTGGGATTACCATGGCTACCGGATTCCCTGGGATTGCTAACTGATGACATCATGCGTTATATGACTGTATCACTTAGCAACAACAATCCCATCCTGACTGCTGTCATAACACAAGGGCTACCTGTAATACTGATACAAATGGCTTGGTTTTGATCCTGTAGCATATTTGGTGAAACCCATCTTAAGACACACAAAACATTTTTTTAAAGACTTTATGATGTTTATGGTCTCTATGGTCGCACAATGGCAAAAACACAAGCCACCTTGTGACGTGTCATGTGTGAATTAAGTGCATAGTTCTGAATAAAAAAGGAGCCTTTGTTTTAGATATGAATGCCCAAATCACAAATTCTTTTCTCAGAGAAGTTTTCCTGACTTAGATGAATTAAAATGCTAACATTATGAATTGGTCACAGATATTATTTTATTACAGGGAGGAATAGGTAATTGAATATCTTTTTTTTTCTTTTGTCCCTTTGAATCAGTGATGACTCCTGGCAACTGCAAGATTTTTTAGAAGTGGTTTGACGCTTCTTCCTTCCTAGGGCTAAGTGACTGGCTCAAGGTCATCAAGTTGGCTTTGTGCCTAATGGGACAAAAACTCACACTCTCCCAGTTTCTATCTGGTACCATAACAACTACACCACACTGACTCTCTTATATATCATTTACATGAGTTAAAAATCCTACTTCATTTCACATGAATCAGTGCAGACTTACTTCTTTTGTGTGACTGATGTCATTACAATATTGCTATGTCTAATCCCTAGCAAACCACATGTAGTCCGCAAGTTACAACAAATATGACAAAATGGGACCTTGAACTTTGTTACTAAGTGATGTGGTCATAAACCATGACATGTGATGCATCGCTTCACAGTGGCAATTCCAGCAGTCCCTATTGTTGTCATTAAACCAGGACTGTGCAGGTCATTAAGTGAGGACCTCACATGAATACAACTTCCAACTTCCTGCCGGCTACCCTGTTGACTTTGCTTGTGGGAAGCTGGTGGGGAATGTTGGAAATTGCAATCACATGACTGTGGGGATGTTGCAATGGCAGGAACACTGAGGGTCCATCATAAGTCCCCCTCATTCAGTGCAGTTGTAATTTTGAACAGGGCTGTTGATTAATGGTCATAACCCAAGGATTACCTGTACTTCTGAATCCTATCGCTCTGTAGAGACTTCCCTTAGATGAGATTAAGAGCTGGAGCAGCCAATTAGAAAATGGCCTGAGAGCTGGATACATTCTTGACTGCTGAAAAGGCAACGGAGAGGCAGGGTTTTTAGTTAATTTAGTCCAGATGTACCCAGGGGCATTATCAGTTGCATATCCAATTACTGTTCTTGGCTACAAATAGGGGAAAAATCATAAACATTCTGAAAACTCATTGTCCGGGAAAGTAAAACCAGCTTTTTTAAAAATGTTCCCTGAATGAAAAAGGACCTGTAGAAGAATAGAATAGAATAGAATAGAATAGAATAGAATAGAATAGAATAGAATAGAATAGAATAGAATAGAATAGAATAATAACTTTATTGTCACTTTGAATGTACACTAATCGGCATACATCAAAATGAAATTTCATTGCATACAGCTCTCAAAGGGTCACCACCTCTGATATACACTACATAAATATGACAAAAATAAATAAATACTAGAATTATGTATATACCCACATATATTATATGACACAGAGAAACAACAGTCTAGTTCAGGTTATGTATACATTTGCATGGCGAGAAAAACGAATCTTGTGTTTACCAGACGGATGGCATAGGGAACAAAGCTATTACAGAATCGGGTGGATCTACCGGTATCTAAGTGGTCATTAAGATGGCACAGAATCTATTAAAAGAAAAAAGAATATCAAACCCCAAATCTGATCCTATCTGTTTACTGTACTGGTATCTGCCATCAGAACACTGGAATTGTTTTCTGAAATGCAACAATTGGAATTGTTTATAATAAGTAAAATTGATTGAGGGGTTGGAGAGAAATAAAATAAATTAGCCATAACAGAACAGATCTGCTATATGCAGTGATATTCCTTAGTTCTACTGTACAATGGCACACTTTTTAAAAACAGAGCAACACAAACCTTAAGGAAGTTGTTTTCAAACATGGAATCCAAATCATTCATCATCATCTGGGAGTGAAAATAAATTAAAAGTCCACCAATATACCCCTTCTTCCAAGAGTTTCCTTATAAAAGATATTGGCTAAAATTAATCCTGTTATAACCTTCCCTGTTTAACTCTGAGCGTCTGACCCTTTCCATCATGGTGAATGCATCACTTTTTTTTCATGAGATCTATATGCCAGATGCTTTAGAGAGCGCTCTTGGTCCACATGAAAAACAAAGAGATTTTTCATCTGGTCATATCTGAGGAGGGAAAAATGTCAGATCTCCAAGCTGCTTAAATGGTATTTAAGAACAAAAATTATAAAGATGTTTTTTCATTAGGCCCTGCTGTAACAGAGGGTTTGTGTTTTCCAAACTTAGAAGGAGATATACACACACCAATCTGATTAAAGGCAGAACCTATGCAAGTAAGGTTGCTCACTGCCACAAAGCACAAGAACACTGTTATTAAGACATATGCTGTGTTTGTTCATAACAACATAATACAGAAGGTAGAGGTTTGTCTGAAGTTTTGCACTGCTAAACTAACTATCACAGCATTTCACATCTAAAGAAGTGTGCTCAAATACATCAAATACTTCCCTTTTGTAAACATATAATTCTATCACAGAATGTGATTTATTTTGATATTGGCTTAGTTTGGGAAGCCAGCTATCATGTGTAAATTATGACTAATGACTTATCACTTTTGGTGAATTCAATTCAGTAAAGATCCTTACTGAAGAATCGATGGACTGTTGTCGCATTGCAACACTGATTGCAAAGAGAATGCTTCCTTTTATATAAATAAGATTATAGATCAAACTGTTCTTCTGTAACATCCTTGGAATTAATAGACTAATCAATGAAGTTACTAAGTATGGAGAGAGAGGGAGGGAGGGAGGGAGGGAAGGAGGGAGAGGGAGAGGGAGAGGGGGAGAGGGTGAGGGAGAATGAGTGAGTGAGTGAGTGTTTTCAATCTCCTATGGCTGTAATCTGAATTCTGTGAAATTACTGCTTGGCTCAGCACTACCCTTTTCCCTAAATTGCCTAATAGCATTTGCTGATCTAGATTTACCTTATTCATGGAGCTGTCTTAGCTGCCAAATATGTGCAGTTAGTGCATGCATGTATAAGGGTAACACCTGGTTTTTCCACCTATGATCTTTCAGATAATTATTGCTAGCTGAAGAATGAATTCCCAAACAGTGTACTTGAAGACCAATAATAAAAGGTTAGGCTATATCCTTAGTTCAGGAACAGAATACAGGTAGTCCTCGACTTACGACCACAATTGAGCCCAAACTTTCCATTGCTAAGCGAGACATTTGTTAAGTGAGTTTTGCCCCATTTGTTAGGTAAATCACTACAGCTATTAAGTTAGTAACCCAGTTGTTAAGTGAATCTAACTTCCCCATTGACTTTGCTTGTCAGAAGGTCACAAAAGGTGATCACAGGACCCTGGGACACTGCAATTGTCATAAATTTCCAAGCATCTGAATTTTTATCACATGACCATGGGGATGTTATAAGTGTGAAAAATGGTCATAAGTCACTTTTTTCAATGCCATTGTAATTTTGAATGGTCACTAAATGACCTGTTGTAAATCGAGGACTATCTGTACTTTTACAGATTTTTTAGGGAGAAATAGACAAGTCAATATCCTTTACAGTTCAATGGATAATGTAGACCTTATTAGCAATATATAGATGCTCACTGAGCCATATATTATCTTTTTTTTCTCACCAGCCAGATAATCCACTGGTTGATCAGTTAGTGGAACAAATTAACAATTATTTAAACTAGCTAGAGATAAAAGGAGTATTAAACCAAGGCTGAAAAGATCACTATAGCAATCAGTTATCTCTAGAATTTGATTTGGGGGATATTAGATATCTGTATACATTGCAGAAATTAAACTCACTCATCAGACCAACTGATTTCTTGCTTCTTACCTCATATGACCTCGAGAAAGATATAAATCTTCAGGACATCCAAGTGTACCCATAAGAATCCAATTTCCAGTCTTAACCCTGTGCCAGGTAACCTTATGATTGAGCAGCAAAGGAAGCCAAATGTATAATTTCCCTCTCTTGTAGAGGTATTTAGAAAGGAAGGACTTATACCGTTTACTCTTCTAAAACTGAATAGTATTTATCAAGGAACATTCATTTTGCATTTAGCAAGATTTAATATTTGATAATTTTAAAAGAAGATTAACTTCTCTGCCAAATAATTGATATGTTCTAGGTGGCAGGTGTTGCCTGTCACTTACTTGCCAAACTGTTTTGTTGCTGATGTTATTTCTTTCTCTACTTTATGATTGTTAATTTTTAAATATTCAGTGATACTTAGTGCACATTAGTTAACCGTATTGTGCACATACACACTGTTATACAGTCACAGTGGCTAAAACAAGATTACATTTTACATCTTCTTCTCATTTAATGACTGCATGCCATTCCAACAACCAGACTGTTAGGTAAAATGGTGGCTAAGTGAACATGTGACAAAGAGAGAGACATTGCAAAAGTCAACAGGTACTGGCATTTCATTCAGATGAAGTTCTCTTGTAGCTATGCCAACATTACTTTCACTCCTGTGGGCCTTGTCAAGCACATGAAATTTGGTCATAAATGTGTCCATTGGTTGATTTTTTAAAAATCACCATTACTGTCATATTTGCAAATGGTTGCTAATCAAAGGAAGATGCTAAACAAGGAGTGAATGTAAAATCTTTTCAGGATCTGCTAAAGAGGGGAATATTATGCCATGTTGTCAGTCAAAAACAGGAGGTAGTAATTATTCTGGATTGATAAAATTGACAACAAAAGCATTTTCTTATTGAAGGATAAACAAGTCTAAGGCTAAAGCGGAGTTTTTCTAGACACGGATGTCAAACTCGATCGCGTCACGTGATGTATCATGACGTATTATGATGTTTTTTGCCTTTGCGGAGTTGGGAAGGGCATGGCCTGTGTGTGACACATCCACATCCTGTGGGCCGCCAGTTTGACACCCTTGTTCCAGAGCATATTCTGCTTCCAGTTTCTAGAAAATGTTTCAGATGTTCATATTTGGAAATAACCTGTTTCTGATTGCAGTGTAATCTGCATGTACATTGTGTGGGAAAGCTATGATGCCATCTCTGATCACTCCTCATGCAATATGTACCTCTGCATACACACCATGACTAGAAAGCTGGTCAAACGTCTGGCCCAGGCCTCCCAGTTTGAGTTCACACAGCAGAATAATCCGTGCATTCCCCATCAAGCAAATTCTTAGCTACAATAATAAAACATGAAAAATTTCACCCAGATTGTGAAATATAATACACAGCTGGAAGTTTGGGAGCAACACACAAAGCATCAGCTAATCCCCAAGCTATCAACTCAACATCAAGAGGGCTGTAGCAATAAAATATGTTTGCAATTAGGGTACAGGGGTCTGTTCTCCATCTTTAGAAGACACTGTAAAAAAAAAACTAGACAAATAATTGAAAGAATTGTGTCTTAATGAGAAGGCCTTAAAGTATCAACTACAGTGGGTTGCTTTTGGCTTGTTTTGGCTGGTTCTTGCATTTAATATTTGAGATGGGAAGTTAAAAGTCCAGAGTCAACTTGGAGTCAGATAGCATCAAAATCACATCAACCAATTAATCAATCTCTGGTTTATGGTTACCACAAAATGATAGTACAGGTGACTGCAGGTTGCCAACTCTGAAAAACATTAAAACAAAAACGTGGATTTTTTTCAGTTTTTACAACAAACAATAGACCTATATTTGGGCTGCATCAATTCAGTCACAGGTGAATATGTTGAATACACAACCTGTTCTAAGTCTTTCCATATTTTTTTTAAAAAGATGCTAGATGATTCATTCCTGATATGCACAGCTTCTATATTTTCTGATTTGGAAATCCAGGGAAATGCAGTGATTAGTACTGAACTATATCTAGGAAGACATGGGTTTAAAAGTCTCATCAGCCACTTGGTCAACTAAATGACTTTGAGCCAGTCATTCTCTCTCGGGCTACCTAACTTTTATTGGTGAAGAAACTAGAGCAGTGGTTCTCAACCTGTAGGTTGGGACCCCATTTGGGGTCAAACGACCATTTCACGGGGGTCGCCAAACAACGCAGTCCGCCATTTTTTCCCTCTTTTCCTTAGCTGTGCTACTCCCTTTTATTCTATTGGCTTTTGAAAGTCAATAGAATAGACTCTCTTGAATAGAGTCTAATTCTATTGGCTTTCAAAAGCCAATAGGAATTGTCCAGGCTGTCTCTGCCCTGCTGAGCCCGCCAAAAGTCCCATTCTGCAAACGGTGCTGCGCCAGTTGAGTAGTCCTCGACTTACAACCGGTTGGGTAGTCCTCGACTTACGACCGGTTGGGGTCACGGCATTAAAAAGGTTGAGAACCACTGAACTAGAGAGTAATAGTTCATCACGTCATCCTAAACGAAAGTGACAGAAGGCTCAGAAGAAAAATACAACCAATATATCCATTTAGACCAGTGGTTCTCAACCTGTGGGTCGGGACCCCATTTGGGGTCGAACACCATTTCACGGGGGTCTCCAAACCACACTGTCCTCCATTTTTTTCCCTTTTCCCTAGCTGTCCTACTCCCTCTTATTGGTGGCCACACCCACTTGGGGGTCACCACAACATGGGGAACTGTATTATGGGGTCACGGCATTAGAAAGGTTGAGAACCACTGATTTAGACCCACCTGGAGCCTGAAAAATAACGTGTAACACCACTACATTAATCGCCTCAGCAGGAACCTAGACCTTGGAAATAAAAAAGCCGATCCCTGATACATCATGTTCCAAAATGAACCACATCAAGGTGTGGAAGAGCACCTTTGCTCCTCGATCACGCGGTCTCCGGGAAAGAGTGCCAACTCTTCCCTCGCCTTCGACAAAAAAGGCACCTTGGGAACTACGCAGAGACTTCTCGATTGACCTCTGTCATCCTGGATTGATCGAGCAATCAGAGATAATCTATGCTTTCCAAGCGCGAGTCTCCTCCTTCTCCTCCGCCTCCGTTGCTGTCTCCGCCGCCGGCAGTTGCGACGGCGGGAGTTAAAAGCTTTTTCACCCGGCGGCCCCGCTGGGAAGAGGAGCTGGAGAAGCGAAAGGAAGGCGCCCCGGGGACTCCCTGCCAGGGAGGGAGCCGTCAGTCCCGCGCTTCTCCCCTTGCCCGGGCTGAGCAGGTAAGAGGCAGCCGATCGACGAAGTTCCCGAGCCGGAGTCACTTCGGCGAGATTTTTTTGAGGGGGGCGGCGGGATCTTAAAACTAAGATCCATCCCACTCCGAGTCTTTTCCTTCCTTTTTCGCTTCTCCAGCAGTGGAGCCGGCAGCTTGTAATCAGCGGGAGAGGGGTGGGGTGGGGAGAATCCAACAACACGTGTCTGGGACAGCAGGCTTTTCTTTCTTCTCAAAGGGCAGGCAGCGGAACTTGAGCTTTCAGTTTTCACACGAGAAAACAGCTTCTCCCGCTATGTTTCCTGGAACCCGGCCTGAAACCTAATCAGTCTCTGCAAGTTGGCCGACTGTCCAAGACCGTCGCTTAAGACGGAGATGGGAATTCCCAAGATACAGTTAGATTGTGACTGAATCAACCTCAGGCCCCGAACCGTGTTTTCCGGAGAGAAGGGCTCCCACCTTGGCGCTAAAACAGAGGCCTATTTCCATCATGTCCCCGTGGTGGGCTCTGAAAACCAATGTACAAAGATCCAGACTAAACAGGAATGATGATTGCCATTTTATTCTAGGAAAGTCGAAGGCGACACAGATCTCTGTAACAACAGGAAACTAGTGCTGTTTCTGCTCTTTGGAGAGGCAGCTGAGTTGCGAAATGCTGTCATGGGGAGAGTGGTTGAGAGATTTGTGCACTTGATACTCCATTCACCCATGAACTGATTAACTCATCAAATGTACCGGTCCCCAGGAGAACTTTGTAGGGCAGTGGTTCTCAACCTTTCTAATGCCGTGACCCCATAATACAGTTCCCCATGTTGTGGTGACCCCCAAGTGGGTGTGGTCACCAATAAGAGGGAGTAGGACAGCTAGAGAAAAGGGAAAAAATGGCGGACAGCATGGTTTGGCGACCCCTGTGAAATGGTCGTTCGACCCCAAATGGGGTCCCGACCCACAGGTTGAGAACCACTGTTGTAGGGCTCCATGAAAAGTTGCAAGAGCAGGGGGAGAAACATTCATTTGAATGCAGTCTGCATTCTTTGGCTAAAACTTTGCTTCTGGATCAGGGGAATTCTTTTAGTTACAGAAAATTTTTCCTTAACCATTCTACAGCCTGAAAAAGTTGAACCCCTCACCCCAGCCTTATAAGATTATGACGCAGACACTAGGTGCTTCCAAATGAAAACTTGTGAAATCATTGACAAATTATTGCACAATTTTATGCAATCAAGAAATTCATTGAAAATCCTCATTTGTTTTTCCAGCATGTTTTTGCCACTTTTGTTTTTGTTTTTTTACTATGGGAACATCTAGAGTTTGTTTTTAAAGGACAGAGTAATATAGCCTCCAAAAAAGAAGCTTTTTAAATGTCAGAGAAATTTGTCATTGTTTTCTGCCTATTTCCCTTTGTAGGTATCAGCACTTTTTTATCTTGGTTGTCAGGAATTTTTGTGGTATTAAAACAGTACATTTGCTTAAATATTAAAGGAACAATTAAACATCAGTTGAATGAGTGTGTTATAGAATTATACTTGTATATATCTATAACACACTTTACTAAAGTGAAAAAACCCTTTCTCATTTTGTTTTAACTACAGTAAGAGAGGTAATAAACATGACCAATACTTTATGATAATAATGATAAAGTTGGAAGGGACCTTGGAGGTCATCTAGTCCAACCCCCTGCTCACGCAGGAAACCCTATACCATTTCAGACAAATGGCTGTCCAGTTTCTTCTTAAAAACTTCCAGTGTTGGAGCATTCACCGCTTCTGGAGGCAGGTTGTTCCACTGGTTAATTGTTCTGTCAGGAAGTTTCTCCTTAGTTCTAGGTTGCTTCTCTCTTTGGTCAGTTTCCACCCGTGCTTCTTGTCCTGCCTTCAGGCGCTTTGGAAAATAGCTTGACTCCATCTTCTTTGTGGCAGCCCCTGAGATATTGGAACACTGCTATCATGTCCTCTCTTGTCCTTCTCTTCGTTAAACTAGACATACCCAATTCCAGCAACCGTTCCTTATATGTTTTAGCCTCCAGTCCCCTAATCATCTTTGTTGCTCTTCTCTGTACTCTTTCTAGAGTCTCAACATCTTTTTTACATTGTGGTGACCAAAACTGGATGCAGTATTCCAAGTGTGGCCTTACCAAGGCATTGTAAAGTGGTATTAATACTTCACGTGATCTTGATTCTATCCCTCTTGTTAATGCAGAGGGATAGGACTGTGTTGGCTTTTTTGGCAGCTGCAGCACACTGCTGGCTCATATCTAAATGATTGTCCACTAGGACTCCGAGATCCCTTTCACAGTTACTACTATTGAGCAAGGTACCCCCTATACTATACTTGTACATTTGGTTTTTCTTGCCTAAATGTAGAACCTTACTTTTTTCACCATTGAATTTCATTTTGTTAGATAGCGCCCAGTGTTAAACATCAGTATTATAAAGGTCAGTACTTGTAAAAAAAGAATTCATTTAAGTTGTGATTTTTATACTAATGACAACATAATAAAAGAAGCCAGACCGGGTGTTAACACTATTTTAAAAAATGTGTTTGTTGTTTAAATAAGGTGATAAATGTTGCACCTATGGCAAAGGGCACAGGCTGTGATAGGCTAGAAATAAATTAATGCCTACAGTATATCAAAAGGATATTCCTTTAAATAGTTGGATAAGGGTTGGGACATGGCTAGGATATAATGAAATGCATATTCAAAAAATGCATACTATTTCTAAATAGTAGGGAAAGTCAGTTACAATTCTACTCATAGCTCTTTAAGGGCAATTTTTTGTATTAACCCAGGAACTCTTTAGAAGCCCCTGATGGTTCCTTCACTATACTATACTAGAAAACTTCACTTGAGTTATATAAAATTACTCAGGGTAAGAAAAATCCAACTGTAAAGCAAGAAGAAAAAAAATGTGCAGAAGGCAGTAGCCTTTTTAAAGAGTTGCTGCAGAAGAAAGTAAGGCAGCTTCCTGAGATAACCCAAGAGATCTTATGTAAAGGAGGTCCTCAGAGCACTAATTAAGGTACAGTGGCCATAGCAGCAGTCTGTGCAGGCAAATGCCACAGACACTTCATATAGTGTCTTCAGCATGACACGCCCCTCTGGGCCCAATGAATCAGTTGCTGAGGTAATAATTGGGGGGGGGCTGCAGGTGGGCCCCAGTTCCATTTGTACTGGATTAACAGTTGGAGCAGCTGTTTCGCTGGGCCTAACTGAAGGGCCACTCACCCCTGCTTTAGTCTTGACAACTGCATTCTGATGCTCTAAAATTATGATCACAGTTCCTTTTTTTATATTTTATTACTTTATTCCTTACATTATTGACCTGAAATATTATCCTGGGCATGAAATATGTAGGCGTGTAGCTGCAGGTGGGTTGAGTAAGAAGTGATAAAAAATGCAGGAAGTGTTATTTACAGGACCATTCATAAAAACGCTTGCAGCTGATAGTAAAAACTTGCTGGCAGTAGTGAGCTAATGAGTGTATGTAAGTAAGGATGGTAAGAAACCTTTATCCCCTTTTCAAGGTGCCGGAATAACAAGTAATGTTTTCCAGTTAATTTGGTGGCTTATTGCTCAACTCCCCTTTGAGATTTGGTCAAGAATGGACTCTTTAAGGTCAGTCACAGTATGTCCTGGCATAGAAAAGGAAGTGTTCCTCAACTGATTCCTTAATAATGCCCTTACTGATGTCAGATTAATGTCTGTTTAGTCATTGATTCTGCTTAACCAAAAAATGCTGAGCAAAACAAGGAATCTTTTTGTGGCCTGGGGTGCACTTCATACAGTGATGGGATTCAGCCAGTTCGTACCAGTTCGGCAGAACCGGTAGCTAATTTTTTGTTGCCCAGAATGGACTTCCGGAAGCAGCATCCACACAGAGAACTGGTTGTTCACATATTTGAATCCCACCACTGATTTCATTATATGTATTTTGAGTAGCCATAGGTAGCTAGGCAATGTGATAATTATCCCACATCTGTGTATAAGAATCATTTTGGGATCGGGGCGAGGGGTTAGGGAGATGAACTCTATTCTTGGTGACAGCATCCAGGCAATTTTCTGTATTGGTTTGCCTTTTGTATTTTTTTCTGCCTTTTTTTTAACTTCCTAGACTAGAAAACAGAAATACTAATCAAAGCCACCTCTGCTTGGCTCCTAAAATAAATCTGTATAAAGATTTGGAATACTTTATGGGATTTTAGGTGGTCCAGTCCAATCTGAATTCTGGATCCTACAAAAAAAGATGTTTGGAGACTGTGCATTTACAGACGGAGGGTTTCAACCATTGTCTAAAGATGGTATCCTTTGTCTTATGTTAAATATTGAACAATCCTATTGTCATATATAGAAGATGTCCAGATATCTAACCTGAGATTGTGAATGACATTGTAAAGTTCATAGTAGTACTGGGAGAGTAGAGGGCAGTATCTTTTGCTTGGTTATAGAGTCTGGATCCTTATACCAGTTAGTCACTGCTTTTGCTAGTGGTTTATATTGAAGGTTGTCTGTGAGCAAGCACCAGATTATAATCCAAGTCTGATGAAAGGGAATAGTTTTTATTTCCCATTAATAAAACAGAGTATTTTCTGTTATATTTTTTGTTAGTTTATCGAAATATCACATACAGAAATATAAAGAAAAATGAAAATAATTGGAAAATAAGGAAGGCAAAGCGGAAGTGGACAAAATGTAGGGTAAAGGAGAAAAGAAAAAAAGCAATTGATTTCTAACTCCTTTTGCACAGTAGAATAAGGTAATAATATACAATTTCAACTTTTTGCTTTTACATAGTGATATATATTGACCATTTCTGTAACAACAAACCTATCTAATCAGCAAAACCCAAAATCAAAGTTTCATTTTTTTTCCACCTCAAGTACAAAGCAGTTTCTAAATAGAACCCAAATAAACTACCTAAATCAAAAACATCATATATTAATCTTCCTGCTAATATATTGTAAAGTTGTAGATCACTAATTATGCATGTGTATTCTTGTATGAATCTAGGATGATTCAAAAATAATGATTTAGGATCAATATATTAAGTATGACTATATTACTGAAATGGATTGCCCCATTGCCATTATGATTTATTCTTGTAATAATGAGATTGTCCTGTATTTGTTATGATTCCTCCATTCTTTCTATAATTCTAGATTGGCTCTAAAGGTTACCTAATAAGCCAGTTGCACTAATCTTTCATGCAGAGCCCACAACACATGTTCTCCAATCAGTTTATTCAATGAATTTGGAGTGGAAAGTGGTTTGCTGGACATGTACAGATTCAAAAGAGTTGCTTTTGGTCTTCATGTTGAAACTTGGATCCTGCAGTTACATATTCTTTGTTCAGCATTAATCTGAACAAAGATATGCAGCAATAAGGAACATAGCAAATTTGGCATGGGATTTTATACCAAAGTATAAAGGAAAGATAAAAAGATCAGCACAGTCTTAATTAATGGAATTCTCTTCCAGAGCCAGGAGATCAGTCAAAAGAGACACATGTACTACTACTACTTTTGATAGGATTCATGGGTTTGAAAACCGACTGCTGTCAGCATGTCCCCCATTAGCCCTAGTTGCCTAACAGAAGAGGCATTGGGCTAAGATTGTAAATTCCCACCTCAATTGGTGTGGCAATGGCATTTGAAGCAAAGAGACTTGCGAATGGGAGCATATTTAATTCCAAGCTAGCCTTCATCTGGCTTTACATTCTCTGTATACAGCTTAATTATGCAAGAATAGTTATTTAATTCTAAGAAAGAATATTCAAGTTTACTAGTTCTCTCTCTCTCTCTCCCTCCCTCCCTCCCTCTTCCTTCCCCATTTCCCCCCCCCCTTGTTTGTGGGCAGGGACTGTTTTAAAAACTGTTGATTCCTACCCTGAAAAGTAGGATTTTAAAAAGCCCTGATGTCAATGCTGCTAACATCGGATGTTCTTGCTTGACAATATAAGAAGATGCAGGCATTTTCTATTTAACCTGTGGATTACTTTTAGAGTAAAAACTAGATGGTGCTGGAAGGGAGGGGGGAAGAATATGCTTGGGGACTAGTTAGCCACAACAATATTTCAGCAGAGTATTCTTCAAGGCTAGTTGTAATAAGAGGAGATAAGTGCTGGCGGGTTATGGAACGGGAGGGAAAGTTCACACTTCAAACTAATTGGAGAATGTGACTAATGACTGTTAAATGAAGGAGTGAGTTATGCTTAGATACTGTGTGTTGGGGGAGGAGAATTCCAGATTTTGGCTTCTCTATGTACATGCCAAAGCTATGTTGCTAATTAAAGATTCTTTAAGGTAAACAATGCCTCAAGGTTCTTTGAAGAGCTTCTTCTTTCGGAACCATGATACCTTAATTAAATAAACAACAAAATAAAGACATGTCTGAAGTATAAAAGAGCTGTAGAAGCTAATTTATCTTTCTTGAGAAAGAAAAGAGGAGGAAGGAATACTGACACTGTCCTTGAACCTGTGAATTATTTCCTGGTGAGTTTTTCAAGAGCAGCAGTACAATCCTGTTCCTGACAATATGTATATTTGCTTTTCTTGGCTATTGGTGGCTGGCTAAAATGACTGCCCTACATATTTCTCTCTACAGAATAAATATATCTTATTTATTCAGTCAGATTATTTCTTTGCCTCTATTACACATAAAATAAAACAGATGGTGCCTTGGTCTTATGAACTCCTGTAGCCTGACAAATTATATGTGCCCTTTATGAAATCTTAAGTCTCTCTTTAGATATCTTCACAAGTAACACCAAAAAGCATTGGGAAGGGGGATTATACCCTTATACTTTTTAATAGACAGGCAATAGAAGATATCAATAACACTTTTCAATCATTACAGATTTTTTATGGAGGGGGGTACATACATATGTGAATATATCCTTAAATCCTTCAAATCTATAATGGCATAATGGAAGGGATTTGAAATTTAAATCCTGCTATTCAAATACCTGAAGTTACACTCAGGAGCAGCAGAAACTTGTGCCAGAGCATTCAATGCAAGTCTGGTTTAAAAAACAAATAATTGAGATTTACAAACTTTGCCTTTTCCTGACTCAAAACATTTATGATTCTCAATCGAGACAACGAAATGGCGTAGTAGAAGGGATGTGAAATTTAAAGCCTGCTGTTCAAACATCTAAAATTACACCCAGGAGCAGCAGCACTTGTGCAAGAGCATGCGTTGCAAGTCTGGTTGTGAAAAACAAATAATTGCCCCCAGATTGTTGGGGGCAATGTAAATATATATATACATTGCTTACTGGTGTACACTGCTTAGAGAGTGCTTGCACTTAAAGCGGTATATAAGTCTCATAAAATAAATAAGTCTCATAAAATAAATAAATAAATAAAATAATTGAGATTTACAAACTTTGCCTTCTCCTGACACAAAACATACATGGTACTCAGTTGAGACAATGAGGAAACTCCATAGGCCAAAAACAGGTGAAAGGTAAAAGCAGTGAGAACCCAGTACTAAGTAGTGGTCATTTGCCCCTGGAGGTGTGCCCAACCCATTACCTACAGTCATTCACAATCTTGTGACATAAAGCAAAGCATACAAAATAAAAGCCTGCCAAATAGGTTGGTGTGATTCCAAGAGATTGTGATTGCAAAGCTCTCTCTTAAAACTGAAACGAACTACTGTCTGCATGGATTGTAGGGCAGTAGCTCCATTGCTGTTGCCTTAGCACTGATCCAGCTATGGTTCATTTCCCCATTTGTCTGCTATCTTCCAATTAGACACTTTACAAAGATGCTCCAAGAAGGAGAGGCATCCCCTAGAATCTTCAAAGACCAGGATCGAGGATGGGCTTGGATGGTCTTAATTGCCACAGTGCTGGTTCAAAGTCTAACACTGGGTTTTCCTTCATGCATTGGAGTCTTCTTCAAGGATCTGCAGCATGATTTCCACGCTACCAATAGTGAGACATCATGGTTTCCCTCCATCATGACAGCTGTCCTCCATGCAGGTGGTGAGTATTTTGTTTTTATTCATAAGCTTTCTTCTTAAATGCCATTGTGGTCTCATGAAAAGAGCACAAGAAGATCAGTTGCTAACTAGCAAATAATGTACCAAAGAGAGCTACCAAAATTGGAATGTTTTTCTCCTCAAGCTTTGCCATGTGGTTCTATTTCTAGACACAGAAATAAATCTTTCTCCCTATTCTCCAACAGTATCTTCCTTTTTCCTCCAAAACCACTTTGTTTCTACCTGACATCTATAATGGCATTAACAATGGAAAGGATTTCCTAGATAGATTGTGGGTTTTTCCTGAGTTCTGTCTATCTGTTTATCAATTATCTGTCTGTCTGTCTGTCTATCATCTATCTATCCATCCGTCTCTTTGTTTCTATCTCTATCATCTATGTCTACCCTGCCTTTATTATTTTTATAAATCTCAAGATGTGAACATACCTAATGCTCTTTCCTCCTCCTATATTCCCAGCAACTACCCTGTGAGGTGGATTGGACTGAGAAAGTGACTGGCTCAAAGTCATCCAGCCAGCCTTCATGTCTAGGATGGGCCTAGACCTTGCAGATTCCTGGTGCCATAACCACTAGCCCATACTGGCTCTTTTTAATTGCTTAATTTTAATTACAATTAATTTTAATTGCTATTTTAATTGCTGCTTTTTCAAGTAATGTTAGGCTAGAAAGCTGATTAATTTTAATTGCTTATTTTTTTAATTGCTGCTTTTTCAAGTAAGGTAAATCGAGAAAACTGTGAATGAAGAATCCATACTAAGTTAATATGTGCATATTTTATCATATAATTGAGAAACAGTTTCATGTAGAGATGAAGGCCTCAGAAAGTACACTGTGAACTCTAGTTCCCACCTTAGATGCAAAGCCAGCTAGGTGACTTTGGGTCACTCACTTGATCCAGCCCTAAAAAGAAAACAGTGGCTACATACACACATACACTTTTTCTTAGTCATATTTCTTTCTCACATACATACTTAAAATTGTTTCAAACAAAATATATGTATTGGCTTTCTTTTCAAGGCCACTCTGTGCTCTGACGCTGTGAGAGGAGTACTAGAATTTCAGCCAATGGACACCACCCTTCACATGACCTTGAGTTAAAGGGGAAAGTATTAAGCCAAATAAAATCATCTGAACATTTTTTTTATATCAGACAAATCTTTGTTAGAGTCATTGACCAATTCAAAATAAGAAACAAACCAAGAGAAAAAAACATTGGCACAACTCTATTGGCAAGATCCAGATAAAAGAGATCGAATCGCTAAACCAGTTCTTAAAGAATCAGTTGGTGCACTCAACCAGCCGCATCATAAAATTGGGCCACATTGAGGGCTCATCAACATAATCATTTTGCTGAATTCTCCTCACATGTTAGAGATGAGAGAAGATCATATTGATTTAGACTGTGTGGTTCCCACATCCTGCCTTTAATGTACATTCAAAACAATGCTGTACTCTATTGGGCCAGTTGAATAGAACCAAATTTACATTATTCCAGGGCTTTTCTAAGCATCTTAGATTGTCCTCTTGGGGGCTTTTGTGTCAGGATAATGAGGAAAAACATTTCTTGCATTTCCAAACACCTGAAATGAATCCAGACTCCCTCAGCAGTTGGCTAGCAATGAGATGGAGGCAAAGTTACAAGGAAAATCCTCTGTGAATAGTTAGTGTGGTGTCCTTTTGCTGTGGCAAGCAGGACATGTGGTTGAATCCTAAGAGTAATATTTATCTGACAGTAAGATATGTCTGGTTTGTCAGTGAAGAACAGAGTTCTATGAGTGATACAAATACCTTAACAGAATGAGCAATACAATACATGATAATACAGCATCCCCAGAGACACAAAAGCAAATCCCATCTTCTAAATTATGAAATTCATTCTCCAAGATTGCTGAGGAAAAAACATTAAGAGAAGTTGATGGAAAAGCCCTACACTACCTCAAAGTGATTTGATGTAAAACTTAACTCATAGGTTGGAAAATATTAATCTCCCTCTCCACAGGATCACTGAGCAGACTACAAGTAGTCCGTTGACATCATTGTTCTACAGATCTAGCTTTGTATTGCAACACTGAAAAATTATTAAAAATAAAAGAAAAAATGGATAAGAAAAAGTTAACTTTTAAAAGACGGAGGGGTTGAATGTTCATTGAGAATGTACAACTAGAAAAAATGACTGTCTCAGGCAAGCAGTGTTATAAAATTAGTGAGAAGACAGGATAGAGAAAGGCAAGAACAGAATTTTAACTGCATCAAAATGGATTCCCTGCCCACTGGTGGGTTGGAACCCAGTGAGATGCATATTTGCTCCCCTCAGAAAAGCAGTAGACTTGCTCGAATATAGATGGTCAATTGTAGTTCTTGCTTGTAGCTTGTTATTATTGTAATTATTATTAGGGTTGGTTGCACAGTCACCCAAACATTTAGATTAGATTTGACATTTTTATCTACCTATTGAGTTCTTCCCAAGGACCTGTGATAGGCAGATGTTCTTGTCTGATGATGTTAAAGGTATCATCTCAGGATTATTACTTGTATGCCATCCAACTCTCAATGACTGTGGGTGGCTCACAGCAATCAAAGAAATTATTATAATATCAAAAAAACATTTAAAAATAAATATAAAATTTGTAGTGCTTATGAATATTCTATCTAGGAGTTATGCCTATAAGGCTTTATTCCTAGGCTTATAAATGTCTTAAAAGCTGGTTGGGTCCTGAATAGTTTTAACAGTGTATTTTGCACACCTGCAAGATTTCATTAGTTTCCTATTCCCTTGGGTACCAGGAACACCTGGTTATTATCTCTTTTATAAGTGGGCCTGTGATAATAATATTGCGTCAGATCATTAATCTCTGGTATTGTTGTGCTGGCAAGGAAAAGATTATGTTCTCTACTGAGTTGGGAAATTTAGTGAAATATTTCATTTGGTAATGATTTCTTTTGCCAATTAACCTATATTTCATAATAGGCTTTGCTTGCTCTTATGTAATGCATGTATTATGTAATCATCAAATAATAGCTGGGACTTCTAATAGTATAATATGAGCTGCTTCTATTGGCAGGTATATTTCATTGCTCATTACCAGAAGGCACCATGCAGTGTTCTTGATGAATTTGCCCCTTTACTTATATACTCTTGATCTACAAATAATATTCAGATATCAAACATTAATATTTATGGCTGCTTAATTTATTGAATGGGGTGTACAGGTAGTTCTTGACTTAGCAACAGTTCATTTAGTGATTGTTCAAAGTTATAACCTCACAGAAAAAAAGTGACTTATGACCATTTTTCACACTTATGACTGTTGCAGCATCCTCATGGTCACATGATCGAAATTCAGACACTTGGCAACTGACTCATATTTATGACGGTTGCAGAGTGCCAGGGTCATGTGATCCCCTTTTGCAACCCTCTGACAAGCAAAGTCAGTGGGGAAGACAGATTCACTTAATATCTGTATTACTAACTTAACAATTGAAGTGACTCACTTAACAACTGTGGCAAGAAAGGTTGTAAAATTGAGCAAAACTCACTTAACAACTATCTCACTGAGCAACAGAAATTTTGGCCTCAGTTGTTGTCGTAAGTTAAGGACTACCTATAAATGATAAAATCTGTATGAAATCTCCACTACACAAAACTTCTTTTGGGCCAATGTAATCCTATGATTCCTCCTCCAACTCCATCTTATCCATAGGCACAGGTATGGCAGCAGTCCCCAGATCTTCCATCTTAGACTTCTTCTCCAGATCTTTCTCTCTCCTGGCTTTCATGTTCCCACTGTTTATTTTGACAGGTTAAAAGGTTTTGGGGAGTAGGCCTATGCCTGTCATCCCAAAACTAAAATTTGATGCTTTATCTTGAAGTCCACCAATATCCCAAATTTCACCCTTCTTTTATCATGAATTTCTGGAAGCTTTATAGCTGACCAGATTCTTTTTTGCAGTTTAGTAAGATGGACTACTAGATAGTTAAGGAAGACAGACTTTTTCTAAGTAGCAACTACCCAGAATTGCTGGAAATCTGGCAGCAAATACATTTAAATAATAATAGTAACAATTGTTGATAAGAAAGATAAAAATGTCTGTATAATGGACTTTGCAATACTTGGAGAGAGCAGAATACAAGAGAAAGAACTAAAAAATCACAAAGTATAAAGACCTAAAAGTAGAAGTAAAATGACTTTGGCAAAAGAAAGCAAAGATAGTATCTATAGTAATAACATCTTGGGTGCAATTTTAAAACATCTGGAACACCATCAAATACCATCAGCATTGACAAAACTACTACAAGTCAATTGGAAAAGGCAGCTTTATTTGGAACAGCTTACATCCTGTGATGGTATTTTAAACATCATTGAACAACATCTCCCTATCCTAGTCCTTGGGAGGGACTCAATAGGTGGACAGAAATACCAGATCCAGTCTTAATATCTGGCTACCTGCGTGGCCAGCCATAATAAATATTATTTTAAAAATGTAAAATAAAACAGGTAAAGCAGATAATAACAAGACCTAGCAAAGGCTAAGAGCAGGAATATGGAAGAAAGAAATAAAGGAGCTAATTCTGGCTACATAAGACTAAGCCTTAAGAACAAATGCATACAAAACCAGAATTGAGAAGTCAGCAACAGATAGCACGTGCCGCCTCTACAAAGAAGGTAAAGAAACAGTGGACCACCTGGTTAGCTGCTGTAAGATGATCACACAGACTACTACAAACAACGGTATGACAAAGTAGTAAGAATGGTGCATTGGAAGATGTGGAAGAAATACCATTTGCCTGCAAGCAAGAACTGGTGGGACTATAAAATAGAGAAAATCATAGAAAATGAAGAACCTAAAGTTCTCTGGGACTTCAGAATTCAAACAGACAGGCACTTGCCACATAACACATCAGACTTAACAACTGTCAATAAGAAAAACAAAAAAGTCTGGATAGTGGATGTGGCAGTACCCAGAACAGAACAGAAGAGAAGGAACTGGAGAAGCTAATAAAATACAAAGACCCTACAAATAGAAATAGAACAACTGTGACAGAAGAAAGCAAAGATAGAACCAATATTAATAGTGCCTTGGGTGCAATCTCAAAACTAGAGTATCAATTGAACATTGTCAGCATTGACAAATTCACCATCAGTCAGTTGCAAAAGGCAGTTTTAATTGGAACATCTTGCAACGATACCTCTAATACCATAAAACATCAACAGCTGCCTATACCAGGTTCTTGGGAAAGAGTTGATAGGTGGATTAAAATGTCAAATACAGTCTGAATATCTGGTTGACTATGCGGTGAAGAAAAAATATAAAGCAGCAGCAGTATAATGAAGAATAAGATCTGAATATTAATAATCAACCTTAAAGTTCCAGTCTTTCTAGGTTTGAATCACAGATCAGCCTTGACTTTGGTTGATCCTTAACTCACAATCAGTACAGCTTGTCTTCTGCATGTGCTTCCAGAGCACACATGAATGATTTGATTATGTAAACTATTGAGAAGGAGGAAGAGATATTTAAATTCTACCCTGATTAATCATGCAACTGGATAATGCTAAATTGTGAAGGCAAAAACATGATTCTTAGATTTCTCTAAATAGCTTCATGATCTTTAACATTTAATAGTAAAAATAGAAAGGTGTATCAGAAAAAAAAATCTTATATTCTGGGCATTTAGACAGCAACACAGTTATGAACCTATAAGATTGACTGAAATGTAATACTGCTTTTAAAAAGCTTATTGACCACATTAATCTAGGATTGGCAGCCTAACCAGAACAAAGCATTAGTTAACTTTTGTACCATAACATGATTAGGTAAACAACAAGCATAGCGAATGCTGAACAACTTACATGAATATTGTCATTATCTGCATCAGAATAGGAATACTTCCTTGTTATTCTCATGTCATAATCATATTAGAGAAACATTTAATATTTCTACATTTTAAATGTCTCTAAATATGAAAAGGGAACTTGGAACATTGCCTCTTTCAGAGTGGGGTTAGTACTGCCTGTCTCAAACGAATCAGAAAAGACTCTTTCCAAAAGAACCGTCTGAAAGGACAGTATCTCAGTTTTCCACAATTTTCATCCAAATTTTAGTGTTCATTTTCTGGAAAGGTTTTGGAAAAGGTGGTGGGATTTTAGCTATAGAAAACCCTAAACGGATCATTAAACGGGAAGTCCGGTTTATCAGCCAGTTACAAATCCTTCTGTTGGTGATGCTGTGAATCCCACATTTTCTAGCTTACCAAGCAGTAGGTTGTGGTCTACTTTGTCAAATGCTTTGCTGAAGTCTAAGAATACTATGTCCACAGCATTTGGCTGGTTTACTAATTTAGTCATTTTGTCAAAAAAGGAAATAAGATTGGTTTGGCATGATGTGTTTTTAAGAAACCCGTGCTGGCTACTAGTTATAACTTTATTGTTTATAGATGCTCACAAATCTGGTTTTTGATTATTTTTTCCAGTATCTTCCCAGGTATTGATGTTAGGCTTTATTGATGTTCACTCTGTAAACAACCTGAAAATAGGGGAAAGGCGCAAGGTGTCCCTTTGGCCTGAATTAAACAACCACACTACTGATTAAGTAATATGAGTAGTTAGGAAATTTGCCATCATGTTATTCTCAAGGACACACAAGCCAACAGCTGAGTTGACAAATATATGAGATTGACAGGAAAGAAAGGACACAAGGAACGACAGAAACCTCTACACCAGTGGTTCTCAACCTTTCTAATGCCGCGACCCCATAATACAGTTCCCCATGTTGTGGTGACCCCCAACCACTTATACATCACCGGGTGCCAGGGGCGTGGCCAAAGAAAAGGGGGAAAAAATGGTGGACAGCCTTGTTTGGCGACCCCCGTGAAATGGTCGTTCGACCCCAAATGGGGTCCCGACCCACAGGTTCAGAACCACTGCTCTACACTGTATGACCACATCTAGCTCCACCTCATGAAAAATATAATCTGACCCAGTTTTCTTCAAGGCAAGTCTACCTGTATGCTGTAAATGAGGAAGAGATCTGAGATTTCACTTGCTCATATTAAAAGTTGCCAACATTTGTTTAAGAGAGCTCACATGTCTTTAAGAAGCAGATATTCGTGGAGGGAAACAATGCTTGTCCATTCCAAGAACTTTCCAGGTATAGGGCATTTGTTGCTGTCTCCAATCTGATCCAACGGGAAAACAAAAAGATCTGAACTTTCTGAGGTCTGGGGCCTCTCATCTAAATTTCAAAGCTCAGAGCAGAGCAGAGTGTCTTTCATGATTATGGCTGCCATCTTGACCCCCACACCCGACACAGTTATGATTTTTAAAGTAAAATTGGTTGCCCTGAGAATGTGCCTGAGAAAATGCAGATTTATAGCAGAGAGCAAGTCTGAAGTTTTAGATGCGCAAAATTCTATCCTTTCCACAAACTAGTAATTCAAGTGCAGCCTTGTCTAGAGAAACAAAAAGAATCCAAAAAGGCTGCTTAGGGAAAACAGCTCAAGCTCTACTATCACACCCTTTCGCACTAGCAGCTACTAAAATGTCAGGTGGCCTTTGCTGTCATGCCCTTATGATCTCCAGGTGGAATGGTAGCTCTTTTTCAGAGAGACACCATGCTGTCTCAAGAATTCTGGGAGTGGAAGTCCACGAGTCATAAAAGAGCCAAGGTTGCCTATTCCTGGGCTAGTCATTCTCTCTCAGTCCTAGGAAAGAACCAATGGCAAAGCACTGTTGAAAAACCTTGCCAAGAAAATTGTAGGGCCTCGACCAGGTAGTTTCTAAGATTTGGACACAATTAAACAGAAGGAAAAAAAAAACCCAGTAGTAAATATTAATAGGAAAAATTTCTCTACAACAAATTACTGCTCACAGCTTCTTTCTTCCATCTGAGGGGTGCATTCCTCTTAATTTTACATTCTTGTTAAACAAAATGTCTTTCTTCAAATTACTTTCCTGCTTCATCTCAAGTGTTTTATGTCAGTTATACTGAACATGTTCCTTGTTTGGCACAAGATAATTAAATTGATATTATATTCAGATCCCCTTTCATGCTCTCAGATAAAATCTTGCTTTTTAAAAAAAAACATGGGGATCATCCAATTCATCTGCTGAACTTTCATCTGAAATTGGCATCCATACCATACTTCTTTCCGTACATTTTCAAGTTCAGATTCCAGAATACTCTTAGCATTCATGTACGGTGAACATGGATTGAGAATAGACATGCCAATACTCTATATAGGACACTTGTGGGTTTTTTTTCAAACACAAGATTATTTTATCTTTCTTCAAAATCCTATCTTTATGTAGCATAGCTTTGACTATGTTAGCAGCAGCAGAAACAACAAATCTGCAGGGCGGAGCCCAGAACATAATGTGGAGGCGTTGAACGAGGATAGGGAAGACCCAGGTTTGTGCTTGTCCATTATGGAAACTCACTTGACTAGTCATATTTTCCCAGCCCAACCCACCTCCCAGGTTGTAGCTGTTGTAGAGATAAACTGAAATGAGATTCCCATAGGATATAAATCTAACAAATGTAACTGTTTGACCTTGCTGATCACTATACTTTTGAATTTGAATCTGAAATTGATGTTTATTGTTCCCGTCTCAGGTCCTCTTTGTAGCATTTTGGTGGATCGATTTGGCTGCAGGGTAACAGTCATGGTAGGAGGCCTGCTCAGTGGAGTGGGCATGGTTGCCAGCGCTTTCTCTAACTCACTTAGTGAGCTTTACCTAACAGCTGGATTCATCACTGGTGAGTATAGTAAAAGTACAATGGGATGGTTTGTATGACTTCCTGTTTGGTTCCTTTTCAGAGTTTATAGAACTACATAGCATGAATCCAAGTTGCAAGTGGTGATAGATCCTCTACTGTATGTGTGGATTGTGATGCTGATTTAGATGCTGAGTAACATTTAAAAAGCTCATCTCAGTTATCTGCAGTGTGATGATTACATTATCCATGATTGCTACTTCAAATGTCTTCAAAGGAGTAGTGCTTTTAATAGGAGGAGGGGTAAGATTCTTTCAGAAACCTCTGAGATCTATCAGATACATTCTTATTGGAATTAATATTAAGTAATGTAGATTAAGAATATTGTTCATATCCCGCCTTTGTTCTACGTGGTACCCCAAAATAATTCATTTAATATACTTTAAGCAACGTGGTAGGTGAATTGTGATATTATAAACATACATACAGAGAAATGAATAAAACAAATGTTATCACTGCAGACTCTTATCATTTTTCTTTCTTTTTTAATTTAAAGGCCTGGGATCATCTTTTAGCTTCCAAGCAGGTGTCACCGTACTTGGTTATTATTTTATACAACGGCGAGCATTAGCCAATGCCTTGGCCTCCACTGGAATCTCCATTGGCATGACACTGTGGCCACTAATTTCCCAAAACCTGCTTGATGAGATGGGCTGGAGAAACACATTTCTAATCTTTGGGGGAGTGTTGCTGAACTGCTGCGTGTGTGGGGCTGTGATGAGGCCAGTCCCAGGTAAGCTGTCTGCCCTTTCACTGAAATCTTGTTCTGAACAGTCAGCTGGAGGAATGCCCAATGGAAACACTTCGCATCATAAAGAACCATGTCAGTCAAGATTTACTGTGTGTTCCCAGACCCTGAAGAAGTATCTAGCTTTTGATGTCTTCTGCAAGAACAAAGGCTACCAAATCTATACCCTTGGAGTTACCTGGATGGTGATGGGTTTTGTTCTGCCTCTTGTTTATTTGGTACCCTATGCCATCTTGAATGGAGTAGAGGAACAGAAAGCAGCCCTCCTAATTTCCATTATTGGATTCATCAACATATTTATGCGCCCAATTGCAGGCCTTCTCTCAGGTCTTAGTGTCTTCACTGGCAGGAGGATCTACCTGTTTAGCTCAGCTGTGATGCTCAATGGCCTGAGCAACCTCATCTGTGCTGTGTCAGCTGAGTATAGTATTCTTGTCCTCTACTGCTCGGTCTATAGCGTCTCCATGAGTGTCATCGGTGCACTTCTCTTCCAAGTGTTAATGGATGTAGTGGAAATGGACAGGTTCTCTAGTGCCTTGGGTCTTTTCACCATCTTGGAAAGTATCACCATTCTTATCGGACCTCCTCTTGCAGGTAAGAAGTATACAGCAATTGGGCCAGGAGGTACTGTTGGCACAGATATTGCATGTAATCAGAATTCCTTGTATGGTAGCACTTAGCCATCAATCAGATGGCTATCTAGCCTCCACTTGAACACATCCAGTGAAATGAAGGCCACCGTATTGCTTAGTTCCATGCTCCCTTTAGCATTGGTGTTACAATTCTCTGCAGAATGATTACTACAGCTTTAAATAGCAAGTATTAAGGTTTTAGAGATTTAAGATTACAGCAGTCAGCATAAAAAAGGATTATGTAGGAGTAGCAGCCCAATAATTAGCTAACAACTTTCTTTGATATAAGATCTAGTTTTTATTTCTTTTGCTTTTAGCTCTGATATCCATCTTCTTGTTTTTCATAGTCCTTATCATAGCTAAATTTCTTATTCATCTTTCAATTGTTGCTAAATAATCTAAATCTCACAGTGATCCAGGTTTGGGCATAGATCTGAGGAAAACAAGTTTCAGACCAGCATGGATATGCAGATAGAAAAAAAGTTAAATTGCCTTCTTGCTGCTTCTCTTGTCTCAGTTGCTTGCTTTCTTGAAAAATTAGGATATATTTTAGCTAAAATATAGGCATAAGTAATTAATATATCATCTTAAGTCAAATTTGATACATATGTCTGTATGGGTATTTGCTATAGGGATCGTGTGAATTTCAACAAGATGATTTATCCTTACATATTCCAGGGAGTCTCAGTTAGCCATAGCACCCTGGTGTATATCAAGTGTTTCAACAAAAACAATGGAATCATATGTGTACAAGTTAAAAAATATTGCTTTAATTCTTGAAATTAACATAGCATATTCTGAATGTAAAAATAAAATTCTGATTACTGTGGAATCAGTTGCAACACTGATTTCCTTCCTTCCTTCCTTCCTTCCTTCCTTCCTTCCTTCCTTCCTTCCCTCCCTCCCTCCCTCCCTCCCTCCCTCCCTCCCTCCCTCGCAATTGTATTCTTTGGCTCACCCAAAAATCTTCTAAAAAGGTTTTTGAAAATTTCTACTGGTGAAATTTTAAGCATTTTTACCTACAAGTGAGTCCTGAGGAATTCAGTGAGTTTTTTTCCTTGGTGAGCATGCTGATACTTACAAAATATATCACAGTGCTTAGACAAAAATATTTATTAATTAAATAAGAGATAAAAATTAAAGAACAAATAAAATACATTAGTTTCCTTTCTACCTGTACAGATTAACTCTTGAACACATTTGGTAGCTTAAGTTAGTTTAAATATCTTCTAACATATTCAATTCTGAAATGAATAAATACATAATTTAAGGACTTTTGTACAAAATTTCACAAAGTGGTTAAAGATGAATCGAGCCATTATAATCAGCTGAATCCAAAGGGTTTTGATTCTCTTTAGAAAGTCTGTTAACAGAAGGGGCAGGCACTTTTCATCAATTCTTCCTACCTGTACTATCACCAACACACATCAGGACTCTATCCAAACGCTCTAGAAAAGATTTTGATACTTTATAGTGCACTCAGCCTTCCATCTTTCTGAGGTCGGTAAAATGAGGACCCAGATTGTTGGGGGCAATATGCTGACTCTGTAAACTGCTTAGAGAGGGCTATAAAGTACTGTGAAGCAGTATATAAGTCTAAGTGCTATTGCTACTGCTATTAGTGGACGCTGAGAAACACTTTTTTTGATATCCAGGCAATTTCAATATCTGAAAATCTGAAAGTAGAATTGTAAATCCATATGCTGCAAACCAATTTTTCATTCTTAAAATACAGTTGTCTGTATAATTAGCAAATACTGTATGCTTTTATTAAAATATACTGGAAATGATGGGAAGCAAGTACCGTATTAAATTACCCGCAAGGGATAGATAAACATCTGAAGGGATCTAGAAACTGCTTCAGATAAGAAACAGCTGTAGTTTTTCATCTTATAAGAGGTTGCGAGAGATGGATTGCTATGGAAAGTTGTTGAAGAATTATATTTACCACAGAGAGTTAATAAGTCACATTGATTAAATAGACATTTCCTGTTTCTTTAAATGGGACATAGAATAATTGAACAGCTCAGAATAAATCTAGGTGGCAATTGCAGCTTCATATACTATCAATTAATACTGATAGTACAAGGGTTAGGAATGGCAAAAAGAATGTGAAAGTAGAAAAAAGCAAAGGTAATTAGAATCACAGTGATTTTGGGTCAACAGTTAAATTGAGTTTCTTATCTGTATTGATGCTCTTCTGCCAAATGTAGGAAATCTACTGACTTCATGGGTTGTGCTAGCTCTAGAACAGACTTCCCAAACCTTTTGATCCATTGGTGGCTGAGTATTCAGATATCCTGAATTCTACATTTGATCGCCAAATAGCTTATGTTTTTCTTAATCATGTATCTTTTCTGTTTCAGGTCTTCTTGTGGATGTTACAGGACACTTTAGTTATGTCTTCTATGCTTCCAGCTTCTTCATGGTAACAGCTTCTCTGTTCATGGGTCTTAGCTTTTGCATGTTGGAAGCCAAAAACAAACAGAAAGAGGTTAATAAGCCACTCTCTGAAGATCTCTCCAAAGGAAAATACATAGAGGTGCCAACTGAATTTGTGCCTGTGAAGAACAGTCCTCCTGAAGTAATGTATATAACAAGCATCTGAAGGCAAAGGAGCTGAAGGAATATTGTATTATGCAAAAATGCAAAAGCCGGGGGAAGGGACATCACGCAGAGAAGTGCCTCTTTTTCATGCTCACCTCCTTCCTGCTACAATGGTCTACTCAACTGGGTTCGGTTCAGATTTCTAGAGAAATTATCCAGATAAGAAGAGACACAAGCACTAAGGAGCACTTTAAACAAAATGTATAAGATGCAATTCTTATGACAGCATCTGATATTACTTGAAGTATAGCAAATTATCAGGTTTTCTTACAGACTCTTAGTAAAAACAGGACATTTACCCTTTTGGTTGTTAACTATCTCGTTCTCTAAAACAAGCAAGCCCAGCATATTATTACTTATACAGGACATTTGGTTTTGGAGAAGTCAATTGGTTGCAATTAAGCTTGTATTGAAGTCAACTGGTGGACTTCTTTCCAAGCGTAAGTGCAGAATTCTTATTTATTGATCATTACTGCTAGTTTCTTGAATGTTAAGCAGAATTGTTCATCCCTGTTTTATAATTTGAGGGCATTTTCTAGAGGAATGTATCACGTATAAAGCAGCCTGAGTGGAATTATATGCACTGCTATAACCAAAGTGAATATTTTCTGCATTTCAAAGCCTTTTTATGGAGAGAATAAAGTCTTAATCCCGAAACTGCAACTTGAAGTAAAAGTGGACAGCTCCAAAGTGCCTATGCATTAACCAATAGTGGCTTAAATTTTTCTTCCTCTTTGAATGTATGTCGCTGCATGACACTTTCTAGAGCTGTGGTGGTGCAGTGATTAGAATGCAGTATTGCAGATTAATTCTGCTGACTGCCAGCAGTTCGAGTCTCACCTGCTCAAGGTTGACTCAGCCATCCATCCTTCCGAGGTCAGTAAAATGAGGACCCACATTTTTAGGGGCAATAGGCTGACTCTGTAAACTGCTTAAAGAGGGCTGTAAAACACAGTGAAGTGGTATATAAGTTTAAGTGCTAAGTCATGACCATACAGTGAAGTGGTCATCTTATTTTTGGAGGGACCAGTAGATCCTATCACTTTCAAAATGTCAGTATGGTACAGGAAGTCATTTTTGTTCTTGTTTTTACTGGGGTTTAAAAGGCTTCAAATAGTCTCTGCAGAGCCAACTCTTTACATACATAAAGATACGTATAGGAGTAAAAAGGTAATCTTATTGGTTTAAAGGAAATTAGGTCTTAGAAATGCTGCTTCTCTCAGGCAATAGGTTGAAATAAAGACCATTTCTGCTCTGGACTGGAATTCTCAACAAAACTATATAGTGAAGAGGATGTTATTTCTCTTAAATCTGTTTCTTAAAGGAACTGTTTTACTCTGAACATGATTTGCTTTTCCTAGTTTCTTTTAAAACAGCAGTATTTATATTGGAACATGTATGTTTCAATCCAGGCTGGCTTACTTGCTTTTGACAGTTCAGATTTTCATTTAATATTCTACTCTTCCAATTCTCTGTATCTCTCTGTAAACATTCAGCTTATTTAAGTCTTCTGAAGTCCATAGTGGTTTCTAATGAAATAAAATATTGGCTAGGAACTCAAGCACTTAAGATTCAAAAGAACAGATGTTGAAATGAAATAAGAAGGCAGTCACAGCCCTATTGATCAACCTAAAAGTTGACTTTATGTGAATTGAAATGACAGGAATGTAGGATTGGCCCAAAGCGTATTTGTGTCCGGAAGGATTAAAAGTAGCCCAAGATTACTTTGTGCTTCAAATAACTGGGAGAGGATGGGGGTGGAAGAAGGGGAAAAGGAATTTACTAGAATTGGATGGAAGCTGAACTTCCAAATGTCACGTCCACAAACATGGTTTGGAAAAACCCTACTCTGAAAGTCAGACCTCCAAACTTTTAAAGTCTGGATGGGTTATTTTTCCAGCATGATACAGTGAAAATAAACTTGCGTATGTGAATCTCTATGAACATAGTGTATACAGAACAGAAAGAGGAAAATCTATCTGCATAGGACAAACAAAATGTATTTTCAATCTTAAAACACACTTCAGTTATTAAAAGGCTACTGAGATTACAGTGTGACAAGTCATGAAGGATACTTTGACCTATCTGTAGACTGTCTATAATACTAAGTGGAAATTTTAAAATCAGTAGCAGTGAGGGTTGCTGCTATCTTTATGCCCCCCTTTTTAAGATGTCTAGGGATTATCTAGCTGGCTAATATAGTGGAAACAGAAAACTTTAGTCTAAATTCTTAGGTTTCTTACATTATACAAAACTAAATACCCTGAAGATCTAATGCAAGAATGTAATAAAATTTATTCAATATTAAGTACTCCCCATCCACTGCATGGAATCTTTTCTTTAAAAAAGTGTAAGCTATTTGATAGGCAGGTTGGTTAGATGGTTGTCTTAAAGTAATTTGCAATGCCTTATTTTCATGATTGTGGTCAGTTTATTACTAGATAACTGAATTATTTACTGGAAATTTTATGGGAAGCCTTTCAAATATCTATGTAAGTCAAATGCACTCAGTTACCATTGCAAACTTGGGAGCACTAAAGTGTATCAGTAGAGAAGCTTTTAAAATGCAACAAAAAGCTATTGTGCTTGTTTCAGGATTAAAAGACATCTTGTTATTTCTTTTCTCTGAATACATCATTTGAAAAGGGTCCAAGTCTGCTTTTTTCTATTCTTTTTGAATAAAGCCTCTCTACATAAAGATTTTTGAAGATACTGTTTCAGTTTTGCATATGATCAATAACATATATACTGTGGTGATTGTCTATTGTTTATTTTCTACTGAAATTTCAAACAAAAGTTGATAATTATGTCTCTGGGAAAACACATGCCAGTAAGATACAGTTTTTATTGGAATAGGTCCAATACCCAAACCCTTGTAAGACTTCAGTATTTCCTCACTTGTCAATCATATGCTATTTTTACCCTGTCAAGAATGGGCTCTTTATTTTCCTCGATGATGGTCTCAAGGCCTTTTTAATGAGGTTAATCATTCAATAAATTAAAATTGAGAGTTGGGAGAGGATTCCTAAGGCCAAATTTAGCCCTTCGGAGATATGCCTTTCTTTTCTCTTACAACCATCCTGTAACTAGCTGGAATACTATGCCAGAAACATTATACAGCGCTTTGCATTCATTTACAATTTCCTAGTTATATTTTGCAGTATCATCATTAGCCTTTTTTGTTCATACCTCGGCTCCCTTCTACCTTTAGCACCATGTTGTTTTTAGCTTTCTAGCTCATTGTGGAAGTCTTCTTTTCTACTTGATCACCCAGTCCGAAAGCAGAACTGGTTTCATCTAGCTTTGGAAGTTGGAAGGCAGAAGCACTCTGCTTTAATTCAATTCTGAAGCCAGAGAATACAACACAACTAGTTTTATTATACAAGACAGAACTTGACAAAACTGAAGGAACAACCCTTCCAAGACGCTATTTTTGTGCACCTTGATCTGCTATTTCATAACCCTAGCTAGCAGCTAGATTGCTTTTAGAAAAAATACTTATTAAATGACAGAACTAGTTTCAAATAGAATAAGTGACTCACTCTGTGCTGAGGAGTGCCAAGCCCACCCTCCTCCTGATCCCTTAAGTTGCTGGTCTGCAGAGGAAGAGGATTGATAAATATCCAACTTTTCTCTCTATTGCCAGGCTAAGCCTGTCCTCATGACTGTTCCTTTGGCACAGAAGCTGGTTATTCTTAAAGTTCCTATAATTATTCCATAGAAACATGACACAATAAACCTTCTGATTATTTACCTGCTCCTTTCTAAGGCATTTAGTACTTTTTATTCTGTAAACAACTTGCAAGCTATAGCAACAATTTAACATCGTCAGAAGATAACACTTTTATGATTTTAGCCAGTCCTATAATGCTTCAATTTTCAACAAGGAAGTTCAGAAGAAAATTCCTAGTTATATATCTATTTCTTCCATGGTCACAGTGAATATTTCAATGTTTTCCCTAGTCAAATCTATACTCGTAATTTCTCCTGCAGTCCCAAAGATGCTTTTTTTTTTTTTCAAAAGAAAACTGGACTTTCTTGGTTTTTTTCTTTGAAAATGTTTCACTTCTCATTGAAATATTTTCAAAGAAAAGAATGTTTTCAAAGATGTGAAATTTCTTTGAAATTTTCAAAGAAAAAAACCCAAGAAAGTCCAGTTGCCTTTTGGAAAAAGCATCTTTGGGACAACCATGGCCTGGATGATTAAGAATCTTCAAAGACATTTCTCCTGCAGTCTTAATTTTTTCTCACTCCTGGTTTAAAGTCTTGACCATTGGGAAGATGAAAATACCTATAATTGTAATTAATATACTTGCATGCTATTTGGAACACATGATACATTGAGTCCTTAGCAGTCTATTTCATTTACATTGATGTTTATTTACATATAGCGGTAAAATGCTGTTCAAAACCAAAGGATGCTAGAGGCCTGTATTCCATTCCTTCAGAAAAGAGATTAAAATAATAAAACAACATAATAGCAAATCAAATAAAAATTATTGGTCCTCAGTGACCATAAACACAATACAGGATGTGGATTCCCATTTTATTCCATTTCCTTGCTTTTATGACTTGCCTAAAAGTTAACAGGCTATCATTTGCCGCAATAAAATTTAAAGGAGAAAGAAAAAATAAAGAGTTAAGAACTTCTCATCCCACAACTATGTTTTTTTTGTTTTTTTAGATTTTATGATTTTCACATAATTATAGTAACGCTAGGAATTGTACTATATAAAACGTTACTTAAAATTTTAAAGTAACTTTTTAAATGGTGCAATCCCTAGCATTCCTATAATTATGTGAAAATCTAAAAAAATCTAAAAAAAAAATAAAAAGAAACCATTTTGAAAAATTATAAGGTTAGCAGTAATCCAAATATTTAGTTATTTCCTCGACCAGTTACTGATGGCCCTGCAATGTACCTCCTGGTAGTTCTCATAATAGTGATACTCTGGATCTAGGAGAAAACTCCATGGGCTAAAAACTGTCAGATTTATCCCCTTACGGCTCAGCAGCAAAATATACCTAGTGAGGGAGGAGTGGCGGTAGTGGCGAGCAGGAATAGTTTTAAATAAAGCAAGAAAACGTTTCTATTCCCTCCCCCCCCCCCAATTAAGCTGGGTAGGAGGACCGCAGACCTTGCGGGGGGTGGGGAAGAATACCTAAGCAGGACGGGGACGTAATTAATACAGTGATACAAGCCCACAAGGACATTGTCAGCTAAACTGTTGCCAAGAAAAGGATAGGCATACGAAGTCGCCAGAAGCTAAGCTCTAATTTTCGACCTCCTCCTAGCGCCACCCTATATGCCTTCAGCCCTTTCCGCTACGCCCAGGGGTTCGCTCTCAAACGCCAGCATTGGATGGGCGTCTTTATGCGGACCCTTGCCTAGTCGTGCTCGGAATGAGAAACTCCCAGGGATACGGCCCGGCCAACTTTCCAACGAAAGTTGAGTTTTACTTCGATCTGGAGTATTTAGGTTTACTCCTAAATACGTATGAAACTCTTATTTCAAAACATTGCGGGTCCCCAACTTCCTCCCGCCGGATCGGGCGGCCCTTTGAGACCCGCCAGCCGTGCAGCAAAGCGACTACCCGAGTATCAGCGATGCTTCCCGTAGTATCCGTCATCGAGAGATCGGCCACCTTAAAGCAGAGGCGGCGGCCGCGGGAACTTCAGGGAAGCTCCGCCTACTGAATCTTTCAGAGGGCTCCCGCACCAAACACGGAACTACAGCATGTGGGAACGAGACTTACTCTATGTCGTTGAGAGGGGACCTTTCCCCTTGTCCCTATACGTAACTTCCGGCTTCCTGTTCCGCAAAACTTAACTCTGCCGGTCTTTGCTTTTATTGACTTGATTTATTGATTTTGATTTGATTTATTGACTTGATTTTGTCTTCTCCCCCCCCCTCCCATTTCCCAGGGTTTGTTGGAGAATTCAGGTAATCCATCGGGTGAGGGAAGCGGTGACTCCGTCGCCCTTTTAGGGAGTTTTTCGGGGCGTCATTTGGAGGAAGACCCTGGTACGGTATTAGCATTACACTCACGAATGTAATATTGATGATCACTGTGGTTCCTTTTATATTAAAAAAATATGCAAGCGAAGGTAAATATTTTTATTAGCTAGTTGTCTGTATGAAGAAATAAGATCCTTAAGTCTTAACATAGTTAGGTTGTAACCGAATCCTTTTTTGTTTGTTTTTTGAATGCTTGATTAGAGGGGGCTGTAAAGCACTGAAGCGGTATATAAGTCTTAAGTGCTGTTGCTATTGCTATGTTATTAAAACTTGGAACTGAATATGAAATTTCATTTACCATAGACACCAAAGGAACGCTATTAGAAACCAATACCAATGTTATAGTAAATTTATAGAACCTACCATGTTAACAATATGAGAGCTAGTTTGGTCTAGTAGTGGTTAAGACAACAAGCTAGAAAACAGGAGGCCTTGAGTTCAAGTCCTGCCTTAGCCATGAAAACCAGCTGGGTGATTTTGGGTCACTCATTCTTCAGCCCAATCCACTTCACAGGGATATTGTTGTGGGGAAAATAGGAGGAGGAAGGTATGTTGGATCGAAGTAAAAATAATAAAGGCAGGATACAAATAAATAGAATACGTGACAGTGCTTGCATTTTAAATAGGATATTATTAAAGGAAACATTAATCAGTGGCTATTCCCAGAACAAGTTAATCCTCCTGAAGTCACCCCACATCCTTATAAGATGGATATTGTAAACGGGTATCACTTCCATTCTCAGCTTGTTATGCATTTGGCAGAATAATACTGAAAAAAAAACACCCCATTAAATAAATTGTGCTTTGTTTAAAGTTTATGAGTTTCTTTTTTTAACAGAAGAGAACACTTATTCAGTTTAGGGAAAATGTGCTATATGCTAAGATTTGGCAAATTCAACTTTATTGTGATCCAGGAGGAAGGAAGATTTAATTATTAAATAAATCTTCTAAATCTAAATAAATTAATTAAATTTAGATCCTAAACATAAGCAAAAAGAATTAGAATTAGAAACCCCTACTCTAAAAATAAAATGAAATCAAACAAATGCCATCAGTCAATTGAACTTGCTAAAAAGAGAACTGTTACAATCTTTATGTCAAAATTATTACTGAGTGTTACTGTGCACAGTTACCTAGCAATGTTTTTATATAGCACTCTGGTATGTTTGGAGATGGAACTGAATAACATACACTGGGATAATTGAAATGCATACATTTATAATAAGCATTGACACCTGCCATAACACCAACAGATGTTCTTAATACTGTTTTGTCTTTTATTTATCTAGTATCTATGTCCCAAAATCAGAAGGAGTTGGTAGGCCTGGGTCGGCTTGAATACTTGCAAGCCTTAGTTACTGAATTCCAAGTGACAGATAACTCAGGTGAATGTAATTTATTGGTCAGTTCTTAAGTTTCACATTGGCTTTTACAGGTGCTTTTTTAATATTAAGAGTTCTTTCATTTATGTTGCAGATGCCAAAGAGCAAGTGTTGGCTAATCTGGCCAATTTTGCTTATGACCCTCAAAATTATGAATATCTGCGGCAGCTCAGGGTCTTGGATCTGTTTCTGGACATGCTGACTGAGGACAATGACAATCTTGTGGAATTTGCACTTGGTAAGGTCTGGACTTCAACATTTTCCATGAAATAGAATCATTTTTCAACAGTTATAGCACATAGGAGAAACTAGGATGTTAGCATGTTCCATTGCAGTATTCAACTCTGTCTTCAGTTTAAAATGTGAAGAACCTGTAATTAAGTAATTTGCTGCTAAATTTCCAGAAGCCTTAACCTGCAATGATCAGAGAAGTGGGAGGGCTAGTTTTCTCATCCTTGGCTTAAGAACTCTCTAGCAAAGATATGCAAATAGGCTGAAGAACTGGGTAGGGTATTACAGAGAATAGATTTTGAAAATGATGGGAAGAGGACACTAGCAAAATGCACCAGCAAATATAAGCCAGAGTACAGCTAAGAGCAATAATATAAAGCACAGGTGTCAAACCCGTCACGTGACGTGTCGCAACGTATCGTGACTTTTTTTGCATTGCCGGAGCTGGGGTGGGCGTGGCTTCCGTATGATGCAACCGGCCCGTGGGCCGGCAGTTTGATACCCCTGATATAAAGTGTAACATTCTCTTGTGCAATGACTATTGCAAACTGGATTTTCTAATGTTGAGATTAGCCTGACTAGTTTATTTTAAAGGTTTTCATAACAAAATCAAGTGCAATTGAAACTAAGTATGTAGATTAATTTTTTTAATAAAACTACTATATGTTATCAGATTCCAACTTTAGAAAAATAAGTAGGATTTTTATAAGGGGTGACTATGTATTCAACAATATTTTTTGCACAGAGGAACTATGGTATATTGGCTCTTAGAGTAGAGGTCTCCAACCTTTTGGGCACCAGGGACTGGTTACATGGCAAGAGGTTTTTCCACCGACCAGAGGGGGTGTGGTTTTGTGCTGCCTGCATTCCATGGATGGGGCTTTGCTTGTTTGTGCAGCCCAGTTGCTGGCATGCCGGCAACCCGGTACTGGTCCATGGACTGGGGGCTGGGGACCCCTGACTTAGAGAGTGCTTGTCAACTCTGCATCATTTACCTGTCTTTCCTCTTTTTGGCCCAAAAAATCCAAATGTGTAGGCTATTTTGCAAATAGAATAAAGGTTTTTCCAAATTTGTACAATATTTTATCATAATTCTGGTACTCTAGAGTTTTAATTCATTAGGTGTACTGTTTTATTCTTTCTCCCTAACAGTTGCACAGATTCATAATCTGTATATAAAATCTACAAGCAGTATTTTATGACTTTTAAGTTTCTGAATGTATCTTTGTTATAAGTTGGTGATTTGAACTGAGGAAATTTGGTCCTTCTCTGCTGTGCCTTTGAAAGGACAGTATTTATAACGGGTTTTACTTGTAGGTATGACCATACTATGACCTGTGAGTACAATAATGGTTGTTTCAGTTTAGCTCTCAGCATGCTCACTCAAGTTTTCCAGTGTAAGGATTCTGCAGATGCAGAGATCTGTTTTGCACCTCCTGAAAGCTATTTTTGATGGACAGCATTTATATAAATAGCTTGCATGTTTGCTTATATTATATACAGTCGGTAGACCTCAGGTACCAACTGCAGTTGCGACACAGTTTTAAAGTGAAACATCACATGAATACACCAACTTACAACATCAGTTCTGGCTGCAGCTATTAAGTGAATTACCCAGGGTTGTTAAATACAACATCGTGTGACCATGGCTTGTGACTTTCTGCCAGCTTCCCCGTTGATTTTGCTTGTTTGGCTGGTGATCACACATTTTAAATTATAAATGTGTGATGGTTGTCTAGCACCCAAATTGTGATCGCACATCTTCAGGATTCTGTGATGGTTGCAACTTCCAAGGATCAGTCATAAACCTCCTCTTTCATAGTCATTGTAAGTTTGAATGGTCACCAAATGAGCAGTTCAGTTCTTATATCAGACGTATCCTCAAACTATTTATGGACAGAAACAAGAGACTAAGTTGTCTTAGAGCTACTGAAATGTACATTATTATTAAAATGAAATGGACCAAACAACCCTGTTGTTATCTTTACCACCTCATTCTCTCATTTTTCAGGAGGACTGTGTAATCTCTGCCTGGACAAAATCAACAAAGACTATATACTAGAGGCGGGTGGGGTGTCAGCTGTTGTCAACTGTCTGGCCAGTGCCAACGAAGAGACTGTCCTGTCTGCAGTTACAACTCTGATGTACTTGTCCACACCTCAGTCTCGCCAAGAGATCACCGTCCTCCCTGTGATTGAGTGCATGCTGCGCTTCTCCCTCTCAACCAACAGAAGGCTGAAAAACCTGGCCACTATTTTCCTTGAGGACTATTGCAGTCCCCTTCAGGTGGAGGAGGCCAGGAGCCTCACCAGGCACACAGCCATCGGAATTCCACTGCCCAAGATGGAGGCAGCCCAGGAGGCAGCCAACGAGATCCTCCCTGAATGAGGAGCAGAATTCTTTCCTGTCACACATCCCAGAGGAAAAGAGAAAGAACTCGCTACAGGTATTCTGCTTTAAAAATGACTGTAAATAGTCCTGAGAGTTTCCTTGGGAGGCATACAGTGGATTTTCAGATGGGTTCCTTTCATGTTCTGATGTGCTTTTCAATTCATTTTCAGGTTATTTAGAAATACGAACCAGTTGCTATGAACCAGTTGCTAAAGGGCCTTGATAACTATTCTAGACTGTTTGTAAAAGACAGCTGGGAGAATATATATATATGAACAAAAGAGCTCTGAAAATGTAAGACAGCTCTTTGACTCATTATCTTTTCCCCCTCTGAAGTTTATTTTTCAATAAGTAGCAGGGGGAGAAAAGATAATGAGTCAAAGAGCTGTCTTACATTTTCAGAGCTCTTTTGTTCATTTAATTAATTGGCAAGCATAACAAACATTCCATTAAAATGTTTAATAAGTCAAATCATTCAAGCACATTTAGAATTAGATATAATCCTATTCCCATATGGATCATTTGACTTGAAGAACCTGTTTCTGTTTCCAGTTGGGATTGATGATCAGCAAATACTTTCCAAAGCCTTTGATGGGAGCTGAAATAAATGTTCTTATCTTTATGCTTCACTTGGAGCGTTTACTCTCCAGTATCCCCTTCCAGTCATCAGTCCAAGATTCAAGTCTCCTCCGTGGTGGCTGTAGCTTTAAATGTTTGTTGTGACAGCAAGAGAACAAGATGTGTTCCCAGCTTGGATTTGGCTCTACCCCTGAGAAGAATTAGAAAGGGACATTAAAAATATAACTATATAATACAGCACTTCAATAAAAAGTTGATGTGGTAGCATTCTTGTGGAAAACGAAAGGACTCTTATGAATTCCAGAGGGTTTTAGCAGTGAGATTTATTGCGCAGATTCAGAAGCAGTAACAACAAGCAATTCTGAACCCTGAGGGCGGGTTCAGACTTCAGTTTTATACTTTCCCTTTTCTCAGGAACAAAGGAACACACATTGAAATACACATTGTAATACATTAGGTTCGTTTCTCACGGGTATACAATGGAGAGTTTGCTACATACATTGTATCCCAGTATAATGCACATTAGGTTAGTCACATACTACTAACACAGCACTATTTCAGTAATTATGCAGACACATCATTATTCTAGTGATTGTTCATTATTCCACATTAGCATAGCTCCTCATACCTTTAATGGTGTCCTTGTCATCAATGAGCAGATCAGCCGAAACAACTGTTTTATCTCTAGTCAGAATTAGTCGCCCCACAAAGTTAGGGCCTAAGTGCTGCGCAACCCATCTGTACTGTCAAGTGATAAGAAAGCAGTATTAGAAGAAAGGTATTTACAGCTTTCAAGAAAGCTTTTTTTTTTTTAACTATCAAACATTAGTAGACTTATCCTATGTAGCTTTAAGACAGAATGCTTGGACTGAACCCTCAAACTGCTGATCCTCTCCAAACTTTCAAAGACTAAGTTTCAATGAACACCGTCATGAACACAGTCTATCTTATTTTTGAGTAAATGTGCATAGGCTGGTAATGTGGCTCCAAGAACAAATTTCAGTGATTTGTTTGTTTGTTTACTTACTTATTTGATTTCTATAGCCACCCATCTCAGCAAATGACTGCTCCCAGTTCAGAAACATATATTACAATTAAAGTTGTAAAGCATTTTAAAATAAAAAAAACAGTAAAAGCCATTAATACTCTAAAAATCATTAAAACATCTAATTTGAGTACATTCAGAGCAAGAAATCTGGCCTGTAAACAATATAGCCAGGAGGCAGGGTTCTTGGCGCATGTAGCACCCCAGGCTTGGGAGCATAGCCAGATCTTAAAAGTTTTACGGAAGGTTAATACAGTTGGGGCTATTCTAATCTCCAGAGGGAAGATGTTCCACAGAGCAGGGACTGAAAAAGCTCATCTTCTAGTCCCTGTGAGCTAACATTCTTTGGCTGAGGGGATCTGCAGCATGCCCATCCTATTTCCTTTAAAATTTCCTTTCCTTAAAATTTCCTTTAAAAATGAAAAATTGGCCTGACTGGTGAAAGTACACCAGGTTAGCACTACTTTTTTTTTTTTTTTTTTTTTTACAGAATAAAAATTCTCACTGTATGGTTCACAAAAGTAGAAAATTGCATTGCTAAGAAGCAGGTTTGCTCTCAAATTTGTTATGAGGGTGTTTTGTGACTCTGCAACTGCCTAGCACTGTCCTTCAGGAATATATATGTGTTTATTATCAGAATTGCAACATGCCTTCTATTATCTTTTCCATTGTTTTAGCCTTTAATGTCACTATGTTCTTAACAAGGTTAGGGAATATGTGGCTTCTGGATTCCCCAAACCCTGAAAATCTCTGTTCTACATCACGACTAGGAAGGGATGAGGCTTAGAGCAGAGCAATCAGCCATTTTTAAAGCTCTTACCCAATTGCCTCTTCCATAGGGATGCTCTGGGGTATGGGAGGGGGATATTTTTCTACGGAGACAAGAATCAGGTCAGCCCATTCTTGAATTCAAATTTTCCTTCTGCTCCAGAGGCTGGCCTGCAACTCTTCTAGTCGCTTATAATGGGCTGGGCTGGCTAGAGGTGATGCAGTACAGCAAAAAACTTGGAGGGCAACTTAAAACATTTGCTGCAGTACAGCAGAAAATTGGAGGGCAACATAAACTGGCTTTCCTTGACTTTCCAGATTTTTCAAACTTTGAAAGACAGCTCTTTCAAGACACATTTCCAGACAATAACTATTCCTATATAGCTAGTGTATAATAGTAGTCTGTTATCCTCATAATTTTGATGGAGGGTAGCATAAAACTCTTCATAATAAATTGATAAATATTGTGGAGAGAAAAGAATAAAGCATATCTTTCATATCTAGGTGGCAGCAACAAACTTAGGGAACTACTACACAAATCATAAAATATGCTTTTAAGCTTCAGCATCTTAACTATGCGTATCTCGTAAGATGCATATGTATAATTACATATGTATAAAATATTGGACAACGTACTCCTTCCTAAAATGCCACTTTATAAGTTTTAAAATCAGATAGCAATAGCCTTTGGGGATGACAAGGCCTGTGCTGATTTGAAAGAGCCAACCTTTCTGATTAGTATGTATCATTTAAATATTTTGATGAGTGGAGTACATATTTTGTTTATTATACTTGATATCTTTTTTTCTTTCAAAGCGCTTTTATTGGAATATTCATGAGGAGGAAGAGTCATGTGGTAACTCAGTCAGCCAATGTGAAGAAAGTGCTACTGAGTCTGTGCAAAAGGAGTATTGAGTTAGGAGCTGGATTTCCAGTCTCAAGGTTTTGTCTCTGGTCTGTCTCTGTAAGAAGTCTTCATTAAGCTATGTTGCTGTAAAGAAGAATGGTATTGTAAATATTTTTATATAAAGTTATTTGAATCAGCTAAATGCAGTCAACTGTGAGAGCTTCTGATTTATTTTTTCACCAATAGAGAAATTAAAATTCTCTAACAGCTTTGACTCTTTAGTGGCTTTGTACTGGCAATGGAGGATTTGGATTTTAATGGCTAGTAATCTTCTTAAGAGTTTAGTACCCTGGACTAAGACAGAACTTTTCTGTAATCTCAGAAGAACTAAAGCCAAGGCACGGTATGAAAGCCACCCAAACCTGCTATGACATTGTCTTGTTATTAGTCACTAACCAGGGAGGAGGCAAGGAACGAAAGCCAAAGAAAGAACAGAGTTTTAAAACATACAGAATCTCTCATCTCGATTGATAGGTGGTTTGCATGTTAAGAGTGAAAGAAGGCAGAGTGACACTTGCCAACCTTTTCCGAAATGCAGTATTCATATTTCCGTATAGGACTTGTGCAAATAAAAACGTCAGTGCTGAAAAGACATGATATACTTCATTACAAGAAGAAAACATATGCTGAAGCCAAAATGTTCTTAATGTTGAATGGTCCTTACTTGGGCATTTCATTCATCTCGTGCATCGCTTCAATAGCTCCTGGGATGGGCTGCAGACTCAGAAAAAAGCCGGGTGACTCATAGACACTGGCTATTTTCTCCTAAAAAAAAAGTCACATATTTAGAATTATGGTTAAGACAATTTAATTGTTTAAAATTCAGGTAGCTTTAAAGATCATATAAAGAAATCAGATGTTATGTTTTAAATTAATTTCAAAACCATATTCCAGGGCGTCAGGTAAGTAGCACTAAAGGCCAAGCTGCTTTTTAGAGCAAGAAGAATTGGTCATTGGTGCAAGACATTTTTTGAAATAGCTAGCGTGACTGTCATGCTTATAGTTCTATCTCGTTTGTTTATACTCTTACATTAAGTTTATACTCTTGAATCTGCTCCTTACTCAAAAACTCAGAAAAGTCAGCAACATTGTTGTAATTGAGGGGTGACACTAAAATGATTCTCAAACCTTGCAAAATACTGCTTAGGTAAATAGCCGTAACTGTTTTGTAATTATTAGGCTGAATAAGTAGTGGAAGGCATAGATGACCTGCCGGAACAGTGTTTCTCAAACTTGGTCGCTTGAAGATATGTGGACCAACTTCCAGAACTAAAGCTGGCCGGAGAATTCTGGGAGCTGAAGTCCACATGTCTTCAAGACGCCACGGTTGAGAAACACTGTGCTAGAGATCATTTCTTTTTAGTAACACAAGTATGGGCTTCATTCACACACCAAACCATGATGGGGAAGGGAACTCTTCACACTTCCCTTGCTGTCTAAGTAAGGTCACTTATGCCTGAAAATGCAGAGATTTGGTTCCTGCCCGCCAATTGTTCAACTAATTGCCTAAGCCACTTCTCAGGATTGCAGAGTATCCGTGATCTGCATCAAGGTTATAGGTGAGAAAGGAAACAGTCTGTCTCTTTCTTTTGCCCTTCCTCCAAGAAAACAGCCCAGGACTGCTGGAAGGGAGGGAGAGGGCAGATATTATAAAGGGGAAGGGTATCTCCCAGCAATTTTTGTGGTTCTTGGTACCAAAGGGATGCCCAGCTAAGAAAAAAAACAACATGTATATTCTCCTTTCAAAAGTTTTTGTGTTAAAACATTTGACTTTGAGAGAAGTTGCCATTTGCTCTTCAGGATATGATTTCAAACTCCTTTACTTTGTGGTGTTGGCGGCTTCTGGAAGGAAGTTTACTACAAGCCTGTTCTAGTTTCTCTTCCTATTTCAGTATAAAGGCAAACTGTGCAGCTCCTGGCAGAAATGAAAATATGGGAGACCACCTAAGAACCCATGGTTATGTCTCTCTGGTGACATAAAAGAAAGATAATAAAAAGCAAAGACATCCTCAACTCCTGGACAAGTTTGAAAAGTGGCTTGACATTTCCACCTTTTGGGGTGCGTCTTGACTTCCCAGTTTAGTTACAGCCCTGGGAGCCTCTGATTTAAATCCTAAACAGATGACACTGCTCAGCTTTCAAATCCAGAGGAGAGCCAGAGGCTGCCACCTGCCGAAGTTAGAAGGGAAGGTTTACAGCAGACTAACACCAGCAGTGAAGCAGCAGCTTTTATCAGTTCACATATCCAATACTGTGCTTTTAAAAATTACACATGGCTGCACTCTTAAGCACTCCACCAATTAAACACTCATGACATGAAGCAGATTCAAAATGCTTCAGTTAAAGGTTTATTTTAAAACTTTAAACTTGCAGACATTACTGTAATAGTTGTACAGTACTCATTTATAGGCAGAAGTGCTTTGGGCCTTGTATATTGCAGTAACCTGGAGCTCAACAGAGCAGCTCAAACTTTTGCATTCTTTTGCTGGCTTCAAAAAAAAAGGCTACTCGTTTGATTGATGAATGGTTCCTTAAAACAACTGTATCTTAAAAAAAAAAAGATGTGGGAACCTGACAAAGTTAGCTTCCCCCCTCCCCTCCACCTTAAGGAACAGCAGATCTGCCTTTGGCTTGTGTGAGAACTCTTCCAAATCATTTTCAAAGCAGATAGAGATACATTTTTGTAAAAAGCCTTTTAACATTACTATGTTTATCTCAGCATGAACAGAAACTACGGTTTGAAAAAATTCAAGACGCGCCAACTAAGTGGCAAGGAGAAAACCTGAGATCTGCCCCTCTGCAGCATTTCTGCCCGTTCTCCTTTAGCTTCAGGAATAACAAAAGCGGAGGGAAGGAGATCCAGAATTCCTCCTACCCGGGGATCCAGCTACCAAAAGCTCACCCCTAGGTCTTCCCGCAGGCGCCGGTATTGATCCACCGCTAAAAAGCCCTTTCGTTGCGCCAGTTCCACGTGAGGTTCCTCCGGGTAGGAAGCGACAAAGTCGCGGAGCAGCCCGCCCTCGAAGTCGCTCAAGACTCCATCCATGTCCACCAGCACGCGGAGCGAGGGACGCCCGCCACCGGCCATGTCTTTCAAGAGGCGAAGAGACTGCGGCGCCGCCCCCAAGTCCTCCACTCAGGCCAGCAAGAAGATAGAAGAGGAATCGAGGGTTTTCCGGTGGAATGGAATCGCGGTACGGAAGGGCAAAGGAGCTTTTTAAGTGCGGGGTCGCAAATGAAGGCGGGGAGACCTGAAAGAAGCAGAATAACAAGAGTTGGAAGGGACTTTGGAGGTTTTCTAGTCCAACTCCCTGCTCGGGCAGGAAACGGCCGAGAACCTCGTGGGAAAGGAGTAAATCCGAGCCCCTTCATCGATGACAGAAGAGAATTGGCCTCGCTCCGTTTGCCATGTCTTCAGGACAGGAGTTCCCGTTTGAGATTCATTTACTGAGCCTTTTTAAGATCGGATTATTCCACGAGACGACTTTATACATCGTATATAAAGACCTTAATTCGTTTCAAGCGAACGCAAGGATACTTTGTGTAAATAGCAGCATCAAAAGGTAAAGATTTCCCAGTTTTAATCCTAAAATTTTGTTTAATATTTTTTTCTTACCTAAAAAAATCAGCGGGTATCAACCAGTAAATAACAATTAGATTTAAATCAGATGGTAAACATTTATTCTGTGATATTGCAGTTTTGATTTTGCTAAGGTCTGGGTTTGATCTTTAAAAATCAAACATGTATTTTCCTGATTTTGTATGATTTTTAGATGGGGTGCACCTGAAACCAGTTACCTGAGTTAATACAAAATTTGAAGCAAAAGTCACAAGTTCACAGAGCCACAAACTAATCAATCACATGTGTAAGAATCAGCAAAGTGTCTCAACCTTGGCAACTTGAAGTTGTGCAGACTTCAACTCCCAGAATTCCTCAGCCGGCAAAACTAACTAGGGAATTCTGGGAGTGATCCAGGAACTTCAAATTGTCAGGATTGAGAACACTGCTATATGGTACACAATAGTGCATTATTTTACCGTAATCTCTCTACTGTACAACTTCATTATTGGTCTGTACTTGTTTTTCAAACTTGATAATTTGAAGATATATGGACTTCAATTCCCAGAATTCGTCCTGCTGGCTAAGGAATTCTGGAAGTCAAGTCCACACTAATTAAAGTTGCCAAGTTTGAAAAAAAAAAGTCTATATAATACAGTTTTGTCATATCCAAAGTACATCCACTGCATAATCCAGATATTTGGAGTTTGCACACTCTATGATGGATGCTGTAGCAGTGAACTAATTTTTGCACTGTCTGTGTTAACAGAGGAATAGTATCAAGATCAAGGGAAGTGATAGTACTGTTCTATACTGCAGTGGTGAAGCCACATTTGGAGTACAGTACTGTATCCATTTCTGATCACAGTACAAAAAAGGATACTGAGGCCCTAGAAAGAGTGCAGAGAAGAGCTGAAAGAATTAGGCATGTTTAATTTAACAAAGAGAAGACTGAGGCAGGCAACTATTGACTGCCAGCTAGTCAATCTCAAAACAGCTATTATTGCTTGTTGTTAGCCTCCAGTTATTCAGTTGTACAATATTTTTCTTGCCACATCTTATTTTTTTAGCCTTTTTAAATCGTACAGATTATATTTTATTCAACATTAAAACTTAATTACATTTTAGTTAACCCCTAGCACTTTAGAAATTCTGATTTTATGGACTTCTATTATCTCAACCTTGCAAATCTATAGTCACTTTCCTTACAAATTTTAGACAAAGATTGTTTTAATGTTATAACTCTTAATTTCATAGCTCTTTTTTATATTGCTAATCAAAGATTGAAATAAAGATATTGCAGTGTAAAAGCACACGTATTCAAGTCTGGAGTTCCAGAATACAGTGGACTGTTTATTGAATTTATTGAACTCTAAAGACTGTGGCCATCTTCACAAGTTAAATGAAACATTGTTAAAAAACACCAGTGCGCAAGGGACAACATAATCCCCAACCACATCAACCCCTATCTCATAGCTTGAGAGATGGGAAAAAAAAAAAAGGGATTTTAAAGGCAGGCAAGATGGGGCTGTACTAATCTCTGGAGGCAAGACAGCAGATACTATGACGGCGAAGCCCTGCTTTCTCTAGATCAGTGGTTCTCAACCTTTTTAATGTCATGACCCCCCCAACCGGTCGTAAGTCGAGGACTACTCAACTGGTAGTCTGCAGAATGGGACTTTTGGCGGGCTCAGTTTGCAGAATGGGACTTTTGGCGGGCTCAGCAGGGCAGAGACAGCCTGGACAATTCCTATTGGCTTTTGAAAGCCAATAGAATTAGACTCTATTCAAGAGAGTCTATTCTATTGGCTTTCAAAAGCCAATAGAATAAAAGGGAGTAACACAGCTAAGGAAAAGGGGGAAAAAAATGGTGGACTGCGTTGTTTGACGACCTCCGTGAAATGGTCGTTCGACCCCAAATGGGGTCCCGACCCACAGGTTGAAAACCGCTGCTCTAGATGGCATTGCTTAATTGATGGACCCAAAGCCAACCAAATCAGTCAAAACACAAAGTATTCAGAAATGGTGATATCTTTCTGCTTCAAACCGTGCCATTGGGATACTTACACAATAATTTTCTCCTATAGAATATAACCACTCCACAAAATTTTCTGCATCCCATCAATACTTGAACTGTGTAGCCGGGATATAGGAAAAGAACTTTCTGAATTGCGGAACTTTCATCCTTTTTCCTAGTTTCTTTTCTTTGATACCCTTACAAACTCTGGATTTTTAATATGGTAATAGTACAACATGTGGGTTAAGTTTATTTAATGTTTAAACTTAAACATTAAAGAGAAAAATTGCCATAAAACCCCTCTATTTTCAAGAAAAATGTTTCCTCCACCCTGTATGCAGAGCTATTGTTAGTACAAAATGTAGAGACACATTATTTTGACTATGCCAATAGTTAGAAAGGCTCTAGCTGCACACTAGTGTTACTTCCATCAGTTTGTAGTATAAAACAGTTTAAAATGTCCATGCATTTTCTCTTTTGTGTTTCTGGATTTTTGTTTCAGAAATTATTCAAGCAGAAAACCAAGTAAATTTGAAAATAAGGCTCTGACAGAGATTCAAAATTTCTATATCCTTTATTTTTAAGCAACAATCCAGCTTTCAAGGTACAATACACATTTAGAAGGCTGAGTTTTTCCACCTTCTGTTTAAGCATCAGCATGATCATGCATAGTATTGGAGTTGTTTGGACAGGGAATGTGTCCCCAAAATTTTATTCACCCAATACTTACTTTTGTAAGATGTATCCCCTCATCATTTAAGTTTATCTTTAGCCTCATCCTGTTATGACTGAACCAAGATGCAAGGGAGAATGGTTAATATCTCGCATCACAACTTGATAGTTCTTCAATGCACAACAGGGCTTCAATCATTTACCAATTATTGAATGATGCCTTGGAAAAATATGTTGCAGAGTTGTATACAGAAAGAGAATACATTTGTCACTCATCCACTACCTGTACAATCCCAGTTTCCAACCCTTCTAAGTCAATTAAGACTGTTCTACACATTTTAGGACAAAAATGCCACTTAGCACACTCAGAATTTAATCCAGCTTAGTTTCAGACACTACTATACACCTCAGAAATCTTTTGTCAGCCATAGGCTGTGTAGCAAATACCACTGTCTACCATTACGAAAAAAAAATTACACATGTCACTTCCGTTAGACTCAAGAGAGACAAGACAAGAAGTTTGGGGAAAGATTGGCTGAAAAAAACAAAAAACAAAAAAATATGAAGTACATAAAGTGCTCCTTTAATGGTAGTTTTAGAAGTACAGTCAAGCTCAAGTTGTGCAGTTCACAAGCATGGAAGAAAAACAGATGACAGATACGAGTTCCAAGTGTTAAGGAGTGAAGAAAAATGGAGCTTAACCGAGCACTAGACTAGACTTCCCCCCTGGTGGATTTCTCCTGGATGGTGCAGGTGCTGGAGCTACTGGGCTTGGAACAGGCGCAGCTGGTAGGGGCTTTTCTTCACTTAAGCCTGAAGCAGTTTCTTCTGTGTTTTCTGAGAAAAAAAAAAACACAAGACAATGGCTGTATAGAAATAGAAACATTCATTCTCTAATCTGAGCACATTTCACTTTTGGCAAGACATCTGGAAGCCCTCAGAACTCCTAAAGCAAGTTGGAATCACAGGTTTACTGAATCCTACATATGCTATATGCATGCTTCTTCCCTTTTTCAGAACTCAAATTATTATTCTCTTAAATAATAATTCTTACAGGAATAGGATTATTAATCGAAATCTCTATCCTGAAGATATACACTAGCTCACAGGTCGGCAACCTGCGGCTCCGGAGCCGCATGCGGCTCTTTGAGCCTTCCCCTGTGGCTCCCAGCCTCCTCTGCCTTTGCAGAGAGAGACAGAGACAGAGAGAGGCAATTGTACTTCCCTGCTTCTCTCTCTCTCTCTCTCTGTGTGTGTTTTGTGTGTGTGTGTGCGTAAAAGAGAGCACACTCACAGTGTTCTCCGAGGAGCTGAAAAGCTTACTGGGCGGAGCTCCTCCCTTTGCTGCGTCTCTGCAGGAAGCAGGAAGGGCAGGAGAGAGCTAGCTAGCCCAGCTAGGCTGACTCAGGAATTCTGGGAGTTGAAGTCCATGAGTCATAAAAGAGACAGGTTGCCTACCCTGGAGGTTGTTGGACAACAGCTTGAAGCTTGCCAGGTGAGCAGCAGATAGGAGGGGGGGGGAGAAAGAGAGAGAGAGGGAGAGAGAGAGAGTGGGGGAAGAGGAGTGGCAGATCAAGGGCAGATAGAGAAGGAGGGAGAGAGAGACCCTTTTGACATCTAAAATGAAGATAACACTGCATATATCCTTTTTTTACCTGTGTGTGTATGTAAATTTATTCTCTTAAAGCATTCTCTTGGTGATCATTGTTTTAATAGTATGGATATTCCCAAGAGTCATATTTTTACTTTTATTTTTAATGTGTATATGTGTGTGTGTGTGTGTCTGTGTGTGCGCGTGTGTGTGTATATATATACACATATACACATACACATACACACACACACACACACACACACACCTATAATAAAGGTAAAAAAGGATATATGCAGTGTTATCTTAATTTTAGATATCAAAAGGGTTTTGCGGCTCCCAGTGTTTTGTTTTTGGTGGGAAACGGGTCCAAGTGGCTCTTTAAGTGTTTTGGGTTGCCTACCCCTGCACTAGCTTAACTGCAATAGGAGCTGTGATGGCAAAGTGGTTGGAATGCAGCATTGCAAGCTAACTCCGTCCACTGCCAGGAATTCAATCCTGACTGGCTGAAATTGACTCAGCCTTTTATTCCTCCAAGGTTGGTAAAATGAGAAGCCTGATTGTTGGCAGCAATATGCTGACTCTGTAAACCGCTTAGAGACTGCTACTATATAAACACTATGAAGTTGTATATAAGTCTAAATGCTATTATTTGCTGCTATTGCTATCTTCTGCGAGATTAATTTGTGCAGACACTGTCTGAAAAAAAGCGATGCTGAACTTCGGCTTCTTGTGATCCTCCATTTGTGAATAGATTCACCTTGTCATGGCACTTTTTGTAGAAGAGCCACTTCAGTGCAGATTTTTATTTTGCAGCTACCTAATATTAACCAAGCGAGCATATGCGAGTGTGTGGTATTAATACGATAAACCTTCTTTCTAGCATTTACTTGATTCAGGGAGCTCTTTGTTAAAGATACACCATTGAACAGCATGTAGCAGAGCTTAGCACGGTGTTATGAAACTGAATGCAACCAGCAGGTTTAACATCGACAGCAACAGCTTAAGGAATGAAGGAGGAAGAAAATTGTGGCAACAAATGACAACATCTACTCATTCAAGCTGATGCTTAAAAAACACATTATAGCTGTATGTTTTTCATCATAACAAACTTTTGAAGCTGTACTTGACCGCAGGCAATTTTGGACAGATTTTTACTTGTTAAAGTGGGGTGAATGGCTCACTTCATATTAAAAATCTCTACTAAATTGTGGCACCAATGCAATTCTAGTTGCAATTGCTCTAAGTGAAGATAGATCTACAGAAAATCATTTTTGCTTGTTCATACAAAATAGTGTGGGGGATATAAAAAGAAAGTATACAATATCATCAAGAGAGCAAAAGAATTGAAATGGAAATGTGCTGGTCACATAGCAAGAAGAATTGATGGCAGGTGGACAAAGGCAGTCATACAATGGATCCCACTTGATAAAAAGCGCTTATGAAAGAAACCTAAAAAAAGATGGATTGACAACATCAGCAAGTATTGCGGGTCCAACTGGCAAAAAAAAAAAAAAAAGCTCAGGACCGTATTGGTTAGAAACATGCAGAAGAGGCTTCATCCTGTAGTGGATAGACAATGGCTAAAATGATGATGATAATGACCAAATTATTAACAATTCTTAAAATAATTTTAAGTCATGGGAAAGCCTAAATCATGTCTTAGTTCTCTACAAATAAACTGAGTATGGATAGATGCTGCTTTGCTCCACAACTGTTAAAATGGGACAATGTGGTTAGCTTGTTGAATTGGTTTTTTTTGTTCTGCAAATAAATGTGAAAGAGCACAATGAAAAAAAAAAATGGGACTAAAATTAAATATAAATACCAAGCTAATGACAACAGGTATCACTATCAGCTTTAGAGTTAACAATGAAGACACTGAGGTGGTTGATAGCTTCTGCCTTTTGAATCAACCAAGAACAGTAAAGGGGCAAACAGTGAAGAAATATGTATCACGTGGTAGAGTAGCCATAAACATCTTGGAAAAGGTATTCAGATGCAGGACTTCCAAGTGAAGTTAGACATCTCTGGAAGAAGACTACCAATAGATCTTCTGTTTCAATGGAACCTCTTTCACTTTTCCAGATGCTTGTTCCTCGCAAGGAGACCACAGGATAGCAGCATGTCTGAGTACTTGCAGATGAGAGAAGCCATCAAGTTCTCAATTATGGTGGAGCATTGATGGACACTGACCTCACTTTCTAAACACTTTTGGATAGAGTTCGGTCTAGTGGTCAAGGCATCAGGCTAGAAACTAGGAGATGACGAGATCTAGACCCACCTTAGTCATGAAAGCTGGCTAGATGATTTTGGGACAGTAACTCTCTCTCACCCCAACTTGCCTCACAGGGTTCTTGTTGTGGGGAAAATAGGAGGAAGGTATATTAGCTATGTTCAACTCCTTGAGTTATTTATATAAGTAAAAAATAAATAAAATGTATGTAAGTTTATAGGGATGGTGAAATAATAAATTTGCCTGCACCTGTTGCAAGCAACATTGAAGGTCACTTAAATATTTTTCTTTTCCTTTTTCCTTTCCTTTCCTTTTTGCACGTTATATTTCTTTTCTATTTTATTTCTGATTTCAGTTGTATTATTTTTAGCATTGTTAAACTCTTCAATAAAAAAGTATTCTTTAAAAATGGGTGGAAAAGTAATTCCGATGATATGTCTATATCTACAAAGATCAGAATAGTCCAAGCAACAATATTCCCTGCAACACTCTATGGAAGCTAAAATTAGACTCTGAAGAACTTTGGTGTTGGAAAAGACTCCTATGAAATAGCCAAGAAAACAAACAAATGGATCGGTGAACATATCAATCTAGAGATCTCACACAAGGCATAAACTGTTCTGTTTTGGATACAACATGTGAAAACCTAGCTCTTGGGAAAGGTTTTAACACTGGGGAAAGAGAAGAAAGAAGCTGACAACCAGCAGCAAACAGGATGGACTCAGTTACAATGGTGGCAAGTTCCCTGTTGGAAGACTTGAAGGACCAGGTTAGGGACAGATCATCATGGAGAAAACCTGCCTATGTAGTCATTAAGAATTGACATCAACTTGATGGCACGTAATTCTACCATTCAAGGGCTACAACTACAGACTGCTAAGCAAACTACAAAATGAAGTATTAATATTCCACATTAAAGAATTCTGTAATTAGTTAAGATGATAATTCCACTTTTTTGTTAAGCAGCCTAATCAGACACCAATGACCCAACTTATGATCAAGTCTCTCTCATACTATGCTTTGAAGAAGCAGTTTTTCTTGTCTAAAGAAGCTTCATGAACATGTGAAGAAAAATTATGCCTTTTTCCAGCCCCGAGTTTGCTAGGAGGCTCAAGGAAATCAAAGAGACTAGAAGACATGAATAGCAAACTTTGATATTTATGGATATTTAATAGCTTAGTGAAACAGAAATTACCATAGTAAGTGGATGAACGTTAACAAATAGTCTTCCGTTGGATGGAGGTGGTGTGAATTGCAAGTTCCAGATACTCAGAACATACTATTTTTGAGCTACAATAATGGTAAGCTACATTTACCATTACATTCATATAAAAACAAATTCAATTGTTTGCATCATCATCATCATCATCATCCTCTTTTGCCTTTCAATTTAAAAACAATTTTACCTTTTCACAGTGGAATAGGGTAAGCAGTGTGTATAATTCTTCATAGCCAAGAATTTTGTCAAAAGTTAAGATATTTATTAAGTTTCATTTGGAGGAATCTTCCCAAAACATGTTAAATATTTAAAACTCTTCAGCACATCAGACAGTGCTAATGTCATCTTTAAGGAAGGAAGATTTTTCAAGCAGTAATCTCTTCTGGAATCTAGAACACAATACATTACTACTCCTTTCAGGTTGGCAGTCCATCTTCCTAGCTCTTCCCTGACCATATATTGACTGAATAAATGTTCTCCAAATGTTCTCCTTTCTGTCATCAGCCTTTATGTAATACCTAATGGTCAAATGATATAGACCTGCCCTTCCTATAGCATTTAAAATCACATTCTTGAATTGCAACTATGTCTATGAAATTAATACTGAGATGAGGTATTTCATACTTAAGATGAATTTGATCCTACAAATTTATAACCAAGTGAGGTTACCCTTCTAACCTTGATTTAAAAAACTACATTCAATTGTAAATTTCTGGCTGGTATGCCAGATTATATACAGCTCTGTAAGAAATATTTTGACTTTCGAAACAAAACAAAGTCAAGCGTGTTCGGTTTGAATGAGACAAGTGAAACTGGCCAAATCTCTCTGCTGGAATTTTGAAAACCAGTCATTTTGGAAAGGAATTCATTCATACATACAAAAACCAACTAAGATTAGGCCTGTAGGGGGGACTAAGTGAGTAATGGTAACTGCCTGCCAGAGGAAAGGTGTACTATTTCACGAAGCTCCCAAGTGCCTAAGTCATTACACTTCATAAATAGATGTTCTGCTTGATAGAAAACTGGGCTAATTCAATTCGCTCTACTTTGTCATAAATATGGCTGTGCTGATTTGGATTTAGTACAGCCTACAATCCTTTTCCACTGTGATCAGACTATATATTCTTCTATTTTACCGCTGAAAGCATTGCAGAATTTAAACATCGCTTATTAAACTCCCTAATGGTTCCTTCTTGTAAGAAGGATTCCAATACTGACTGTATTTTAAAATATGCAAACAACCTATTGCATTTCTCCAAACCTTTGATTTCTACCTAATAAAAGACCAAGAGGCCACAGAGTTGACAGGCAGCACCTATCTTTAGAGTTCTTTCCAGACTGTCTTAATATAAGTTATTCTTTGAGCATCACATACAATTCTTGCATTCAGTCAGTGATGCTTCTTCAAGCTGGGAAGAACTTTTAAAAAGCTTAAAGCAAGGGGAAAAAAAGATACTTACCAGGAGCCTCACTTTCCACACTCTGCAAACAAAACAAATTATTTCTTAAGTTTTGTAACCATTAATTATAAGTCACAAAGATTGTTTACAGTTGAATGTCTTAACTTTTAACACAGCACCAAAGATGCAGTTAGAGGGTTCTTTTATGACTCGTGGACTTCAACTCCCAGAATTCCTGAGCCAACATGGCTCAACTTGGAAACCTCTCCTTTTCCCCTCAGCATGGCTGGCTCAGGAATTCTGGGAGTTGAAGTCCACGAGTCATAAAAGAGCCAAGGTTGCCTACCCCTGGTCTATACATACAACATAAAATGGACATATATTTTTCAATTTTAGATTACTAATTCTAAAACTTGAGCCAGACAGGAAAACTGCTTATATTTACAGAATAAATAGTATTTTTGAATACTGACGCTTAGATAATTTGTTGACTTTTGGGCCTCGGTATAATTTATGCATTGGTCTTATCTTCTTAACAGTCAATTGTTTGAGAGCAACCAAAGCTATTAGGAATCAGTGGATCGTTCAATCACTCCCTCAGTACATTACATGTCTTCCTCATTTAATGACAATTATTTAGTGACTGGTAATTTGGTTGTTTCACTCAGTGAAACTGCAATTGTGCTTATGATCTTACTTCAGTCTTCCTTTGCTTTGCAGATCTGTGAAGGTCATAAATGAGAGGATTACTTGTAAAGTTATTTTTGCATCATCACAATTGCAAATGGTTGCTAAATGAAACAGTCACTAAATGAGGGCTACTTGTCCTACATTCAAAGATATGCTCCTCATAGCTATGCAACCACCATCACCACTAGCCGGAAAGGATTTTCTGAAGGGAATTCCTCTGTACTTATAAATTTAATAAAGTGTATTGTCTGGGAAGTACATGAGACAAAATACTAGACTTTTGCTACTTATGGGATCCAACTGAATAGCAAAATTCTAGGCCAGGCCATTTAAGTCACTATACTCAAGGAATCTTAGTGTGCTGCCCTGAAGCTGGAATTGCAAATGTCTCATTTAATGGCAATAATTTAATATTTATAACTTAAGAATAGAGAGAAATCAAGCTATAAATTACATTTTCATAATGTGTTGCTGAAACAGTTTGAATTAGCACATAAAACCATTTTCATAAGATTTAGAAAAAGGAATTACATAATGAAAGCAATCTAGCTTTAAATAAAAGATAAACAAACTTGATTTAATCAACATTTTAAAACTGAACAGGAGAGGAGATAAAGTCTAAATGTATAAATGAGAATGTATTATATAGAGACTCAGTTTAGATAATATTCAATACTCTCCAGCAACCACCCTTCACAGTTTCTGGATGAGTGCATAGGAATAGTGGAAGGAATGATGGCTATTTTTTTTTTACTTTTATGTTAGATGATTCATTAAAGAATTGAAGAGTTCACAGAAATACTAAAATGTATAAATTATAGCAATTGGAAATTGTGATAACCAAAGGGAACACTGATTTCAGAAAAGCTATAGTATCATCGGATAACAGGCCCATGTTCAGATAGCAATGTAACTCAAATTCTCAATTACATGCTCTAATTTGAGGAACATTAAACATGTTGCTAATTGTAATGACTATCAATTCAGATTGCTAAATGTATACTCAACAGGCATGTTGTGCAATGGCATTATCAAACAATAGTTTTAGAAGGATGCAAAGTAATGTTTAACTGACCAATATATTACTTCTACTATTTGTTCCCCAAAGTCAGATCCTAATAAGTCCCAAAACACTTGCTAATGTTAATGTGAGCTATCTGTTTTTTTAGAGCAAAACGTAGCAAGCATTAAAAAGTGCAAGGAGTAATAAATGACTTCATAGATGGGGATATTATTGTATAAATGGCCACCGCTATTAATACAACGCATTCTAGATAAAAACAATTCCTCACAAATTGAAAAGCGTGTATCATTTTAGTTATGCTGCATAGTATATGCAGAACACAGATTTCTTGTTTTACTCCCCCACCTAAAGAGACATTTAAAAAAGGGTGGACCAACTTGTGGTTTCCAGATTTTACAGAACTACAATTCTCAGCAGCAAAGCCTTGCTTACAGTTGTAGTTCAGCAACATCTACTGACCAAAGATTCTCCATCCCTCATCTTGTTGATAAAAGTATTAAAACTCAGTCATAGTAAAAAAAATGTACACTAATTCAAGATGGAACAAGGGATGTGCTACCAGGCACAGTAATTAGTCACTGCAATATATTCATGATAAGGAAAGGAAAGCAATGCTTACTTTTGGAGTTACACAGTCACCAGAGGTTGCATCAGAAGAACCTCTCCTTTCAGAGCCAACTGCTTCAGAATTATCGACTTCAGTGGACTTGGCTGCAAGAGTTATCATTGGATAAGATACGTCAAGTACAGCAAAGCATAATAAAGAGCATTCAGCTATTTATCACTTAAAATAGTGTACGTGAACACATTTTAACAAGGGCATTCTAATAAGGGAAAAATTAGCTTATAACATCTGAAATGCCCCCGGAAATTGAAGCAACTACAATATTGGGAATAGTGATGCTACTATGGACAGACTATGGTCAAAAAATTTAATGAAGCAGTAATAAATGTGAAACAAATTTTGTCTGATGTAGAATATTACAACCAGAAACACAATAATAAAAACAAAATAAGCAACTACAATATTGGGAATAGTGATGCTACTATGGACAGACTATGGTCAAAAAATTTAACAAAGCAGTAATAAATGTGAAACAAATTTTGTCTGATGTAGAAATATTACGACCAGAAACACAATAATAAAAACAAAATGTGTTTTTTTTTTTTTTTTTTGCACAAAGAAGGCTGCTAAAGTGGAAACACAAATGACAGCCAAGAGAATGACACAGATAAGGACTTTCTACTAAATATAGGAAAAAAAGTTGGTTAAAGTTTTGAAAATTAATGTAGAAACACAAATCATAAACCAAGAGAAGAACCAATTAATGACTTTATTGGAAGCTTTTGGGATGGGAGAAAGCAAAATTGAAAAGAGACCAAATTCTACAACAATTGATTGAATTGTTGTAAGGAGTAAAAGGAATAAATGAATATAAATCCTCTGAACCAGTTCAAGTTGTTTAAGCCCATCTCATCTATTATGTCTATTTTTAATAACAGAGCTAAATCCAAATTTAGATATTTAGTTCTCCAAAATTGCCTTAAGAAAGGAACCTTTGGAGCTTCCGGTTCGTGGCGGTGCAGTCAAGTGAAGGGAGTTGTCCCTTTGCAGATCCAGTTTCCCCTACTGGTAGACCCCTTAGAGGATTGAAAAGACGATCTGGAGGATCATCTACCGTTGAGGAGGCTTCTCGGACAGTTGCAGAGGAGCGGCGGCTTCCTCTGTACACCGAGTATCTCCTTTGGGCCGACAGGGTAAAGATCAGCCAGTAAAATGGCCGATCATTTAGCTGCGCCAACCGTAAGCCGTAAGATCATCTAAGCAAGCAGACCCACTGTGGAAGATTCGGTGAGATTTTTTTTTTTACCTCTATTTTCTTCTTTTTCCTGTGAAAAGTTTTTTTTTCTTTTTGGAATTATTTCCCTTTTTGTTGAAGTGGCGTTTTAAATGGGGGAAGAGAAGCTTAAGAAAAATGAAATCCATTTTTGTTTTAATGGCTGATTTTGTCTTTGGATACTTGGGAGCCCCAAGAAAATTCTTTAGAGAGATTTAAGACCCTATGTATTTGGAAAGTATTGTTTTCTTTTATTTTTTATGGCATCTGAAAAGACTGATTATTGGATTAACTTTGATTATTCGTCGGGAGACATTTTCTGTCGAAACTAGGTATTGTTCTTGCTATTTTCTTTCTCTTGGAATTTATACAAAGGAAAAAGACTAAGAAATTTGGGAGGAGATGGATATCAATTGATTGCCTTCAAATATAGTCTCCCTCAAAAAAGTAAATGTCTTCAAATATGATAAAAATGGAGGAAACCCGTCCAGATTTGATTTATAAATATATTTTGGATAAAATTTTAGAAAACACAGAGATGATAATTGCCTGCAAAAAGGAGATTTTTTTTTTTACATCGACAAAGTCAAGCACAAGCTTTAAGTGAAACTGTAGTTTATATTCAAGAGACTTGCTCTCAGTCCACTGAGATGGAAGAAGCAAATGTACAGTTGGATTATCAATTGATACTAGGAAAAAGCCTTGATATAAATGGACAGATGATCTATAATAAGGAAATGGAGGAGTTTATTTCAGAAGGACAAACTGATTTGCAGATACCATTTGACTCTCTGATAGAGGAAAAACTATTGGAAGAAGAGCAAAATTTGATTAAAGAGGACTATACTAAAAAAATGATTTCAACTAAAGTTTATGCAACCTTAAAAAAGATGGGAAATGACGTTTTGGCATGAGCTTTTCAGAATGACTATAACTTTTATATTACCCCAATAAAATAGATAATGGGAGACCTTCTGTTGCTGTGTACAGTGGGGTAGGAGACAATGGGAGAGCTATTTGGAGAACTAGAGGCTCGACTATGGAAACCTATTTGGAATAGAAAGAAACTCAGAATAAGATATAAATATTAAACTTGAGATGATAATCATGGATGGTAAAAGTTTTATAGCGAATTGGACTGTTTGGGATTTGGTTTTTGGTAAATGGGAGGCTACTATGAAATGATTTAGAACTTAATATTGAAGTATAGTAAGAATATGTATTCCTTTTTGTGTGTGTGTGTTTCTTCTTTTTTGTGTTTTCTTTTTGGAATGAGATGGAATTAATAATTGGAGAATTATTGAAAAAGAATAGAAATATAGCTGAGAAATGTAAGAACTTAGCTTTGGAGCTAATGTGTTTAAATAAGAGGAATTTGGGGGCCCTGAACAGTAAAATAAATAGGTTAGTTTAAATTCAAATATTTGAAAAATTAATGAAGTTTAAAACAGGATTTTGGGGATAGATAAGGAGCTTTTGCAAATGTTTATTGATTAATGAAATTTATATTCAGCGATATATTTAATGAAAATGTTAGAAATGTATTAATGAGATTACAATAATTTAAACAGATAGTGTTAGTTTTGATTTAAGCATTTAATTTATATATAGCGATATATTAATGAATTGGTTATAGGATTGTACTAATTTGATTATTATATGGATATTGAGTGGTTGAAACCTTTTATTGATCAAGGAAACTTATATTTCGATATATTAATGAATGATTTGAATCTATTTGATTATGATATTCTACATAGAGGGAGATTTTAAGAAATATTGTGTGAATTGTATATTTATAATATTATTGTTTCTTTTGTAACCGACCACCATATCTCCACACTGGCTCTTAAGCTTCTGTTGGTGTAAAATGGAAAACTAATAAAAATTATTTATAAAGAAGAAAGGAACGTTTTACCTGTTGACTTAGCCCAAGATGGTGGATTTTCTTCTGGAGTCCCAAAGATGGAAGATGCCATCCTATTCCTTTTTCCTCCTTGCTGGTCTTTTGGCAAATCAAATCCTAAATTGAAATTAGAACCACCACCTGGGGGACGAAGGACCCTAGAAAAAAAATAAAGCATTTTAGTTGTATTAAGAGACAATTGTACCAGGGAGAACTTACATATAAGTTACAAAATATGGTGTATTCATTTCTCACTCATTTTAAACCAGATTGCTTCTCAACTTATTAGAAAGATATGGCCAGGAACCATAAATTCCATTTTGCTCCAACCAAATAATTGAAATATTGATGTACAATCACATGTGAAGGACAGAGATAAGGGCCTATGACCCTAATTTTTTTCAGAGAAATCTGAAAAAACAAAAATCAGTTAATAGACTTTCCCACATAAAAATGTATCATTAAGAAGAGTAAGGAGAAAGAACAAATGAAAAGGGGAAACATTTACACAGATTGCTGCAGATCCCAGATTCAGCAGGGTGAACTACTGTAAATGGACAAATAGACCAGGTGTAGCGCTTCCTACATTCTGAAACAGAGCTACATGTGCACATAGTGGGTAATTCCAGCAAACGCAGAGCTAAGCAGACATTGCCCATACTGATAATTATTTTTAGGTTATATGATAAGTCATCCCATAAATAAGGCTTGGTTAAAAACAAATACGTTCCAGAATTATTTTTATTGTGCAGCCTATTAGACAGGCAACTTACAAAAGATAAACAATGAACCCCAGACATTTCCTTAGTGTTTAGTAGACTGTCAATCTCATCTTGACATCTTAATATTTTTTCTTTAAATGAAGTTGGCATGATGTAAAGCAAAGCTTCGCCTCTAGTACCAAAGTTTTGTCCAGGAGTGCCTTTAGCCCCACCTCCCATGGCCTTAGTGGGTGATGGAGATCATCTTGGGAGACAGGGAACTTGCAACTTCTGAAATGTGGACATTTGTAAGTGGACATTCACATTTTGTGAATTCACCCCCACATGCTTTCAACATTCTAGATGGATGCATCAGAATTTTATATTCACTTTTAGCAGCAAATCCAGCCATTCAGATGACATTAATCTCCATTTCCTTCTTGCAGATGAGGCTGTTTGTATAATTACAAAGTTTTGTTACTTAACTTTAAGATTATAGCATGGGATCCACAGGCATTGATTATATGAGTGGAATGTAATGATGGTTCTATCGGCAGAAAGAGATCTTAATCAGAGAGCAAAGGATGGGCAATTCTCACTCTATCCAGTTGGTAAAATTGGATTTTATCATGTCTACAATTGATATGTGTGCCTATTTGCTCACATCATGTCATATGGTGAAAATTTAGGATGCATGGTAGAAACAAAATATTTTCGGACTTTGTTGCCTAGAGTTGTTTTCATCTTATCACCCAATTGCTTTTCACCCCATTATTGCTTCAGTTAGCTCCAATATGACAGCAGCAGTATAGATATAAAGCCTAGCATTCTTCAAAAACCAAGTTGGACCACAAAAATTTGAACATTTGCTCACAATTTACAAGAGCCCATTTATGAGAACATTTCTTACAATTTTCTAGATTCATTTCAATTCATTTCTTAACACCAACCATAGTGAGGTATGCTTGACACCAAGTAATGGTTTGATTCACTATTCAAAAAACTTATAAACAGATGCTTCAGATTTCTGTCTGTTCAAAGTTCTTGCCATTGCACATGGGCATCCCCACCAATACATATGGAAATTTGTACAAACATTCCTCCCTACTCAGGAATCAGTATAGGGAAATCTCTGGTATCCAGTTGTCTCTAGACTTCAATTCTCACCATTCCTGACTACCTTCCATGCCAATTATAATTGTTACTGCTGCACACCATCACCTGGTCAAAGATTCTTCACCTTTGCAATATATTATGGCCTCTTGACAGTATAATAACAGGGGAAGCTAATTTCAAGACAATTCTTTATGAAAACCTGATGTGACCTTTCTTCAGACTAAGCCATTTGGTATGATTATGGTTACTATTACATCCATGATTTGTTGCACACTACTGTAACACAGGAACTCAAAAATATTTCAACCTTTCTTTGTTCCAGAACAAGTCATTAATTGGCTAACTAAAAAAAAAAAAAAAACCAAGCCCAAATTGAAACATTCACTCACCAACTCTCCCACAATCCCAAGGACAAGCACTGCAACATCCACACTATAGCAGTCTATTCTGCATAAGAGACTGACTACAGATAAAAGATTGTATTTCGACGTCAATCCCTTTAAAGTAACACACTATAAGCCTTTAGTACGCCTTTACTCCTTTCTAACAAGTCTTGTTCGAAGTGCCACTGAACTGATTGGCAGAAGTTGGACCCAAGGAGGAAGCCGCTTTTCAAAGAATGCTTGAAGTTGCTGACCTAATCCCAGCCCCCAAAGGCTTGAGTTAACAGGTAGAGGCAGCGATAGATGCAAGACAAAAGAAGTGTGGCTAGCCCCACCCAGCGAGAACACCACTTAGAGGAATCCTAGCCAGACTAAGACATTATTAACAGCAAGAGAAAAACATAAGCCGATAACCGGGCCGGCCTGAGAGAGAAGGGCTGAAAGCCTCTAATTCAACTACCAGGAGTGGCGCCTCCTTTGTTCCAAGGAGAGGCGAAGGCGCTCCGTGCTAAGGAACATCGCCGAGACTTGTAGCACGCCCCAGCATCCCGCAGCTGTGTCACTAAGCAGGAGGAAACCAGGAAAGCTACGACGGCTGGCACAACCCTCCCGAGCCCCCAGAGCAGACGGCCAAAAAGGCCAAGTCCGCCACCGGTTCTCTCTCCCCGCCAGGCCCCGCGGCTCGCTCCCAACTAACGAAACCTACAAAGGGGCGAAAAAGGGAGGCGCGCGGAAAGCCACAGGTTCGGCTGAGTCCCAAGGCCTTAGGGGGAAGCCGAGTGCAGCCTACACTTCGCCTCGCCTGCCTGCCTGCCTGCTTGCCTGGCTTCCCGACGGATACCAGGAAGGAGGCTGCTGTCGCCTCGCCGACTCAACAGATGGAGGCGCCGGGCGTGTGCCAGCAGGCGGGAGCTCCGGTGTGACAATAGCCCCGGCCTTTCCTCTCTGTCTGTCTCGCGGCAGCAGCCCTTCGCGCTCCCCTCCTCGCCTCTTAAGCCCTCGGCGGTGGGGAGGAAGCAGGGCCGGCGGAGGGGGGGAGAAGTGTTTCCGCCGGCCACAATCCCAAGAAAGGGAGCCTTTCCCTGCAGAAGAAATCCCTCCCAGGCTTTGCGGGGTGGGGGTTGAGGGGTTTCTTCGCATCTCTCCCAGCGCCAAGCCGGGAGGAAATCTGAGCCAACCCAACACCGCACCTCCCCGAAATCCAGGGCGCCGTGGAAACAGGGAATTGGGCGAAAACAGCCCCGAGTCTAGGGGAGGCAGGAGAGTGAACGAACAACAACTTCTTGCGGATAGACACTTTCCCACCCACGAACCTGGAGCTACTTCGGCCACTGGGGTCCATCCCCGTGTAAGTTGTCGTGGTGGTCATGGTGGGGAAGAACTTGAAGGAAACCGCCCGGGTGCGAAGCCAGCGGAAGGTGATATTTCCGCACTCAGCTCCTGCCTGCTACAACTGCAGTAGCCACTCGGCGCTGGCAGCTTCTTTTATAGGGTTCGTTCTTTCGATCGCCTCATTGGATAGTTCAAACTCCCTGTCCTGACGTGATTAAGTGAGTCTCGTGCCACTCCAGACACTGCCCCTCCTCCGAGCCCAGCAACATTCACTCGCCAGTCGTTTAAAATGGATTCGTCGAGTTACTGTTACTTCGCGTTCATTGGTCGATACTATCTGTCCCGCCTCTTGGCATATGATTTAACAACGAGGCCGTCATTTAAATAAAATAGGTTAGCATTGGCTAGACTGCACATGAGACAGCAACAACTTCCTCAGTCTTTCTTTATGGAGTAGCAGTTTGAGGAGATCCGGTTAAAGGGAGTGGCAGAGCTCATTGAGCCTAACCGGCGAGTGATCTCCAATCCTTCATGGGATCCGTGTGGGATCAAATGAAAATTAACGCCAGTGTAATAAAATACGAAACGTATCGCAATGGATTTAAAAATATACCACGTAACATCTCTAAAAAATCGCTGCTTTAGCAGGGCACCTCAAATCGTTATTTCCTAGAGAATGTTGCCCTCAGCCCATTAACTATGGTATTTAATACTGTACACCATGAACGACAAAATACACATCTTGTGAAAATACACATCTTGTACTATGTGGATCAAGCTGGATGTGTTATGGAAGAAAAAACCCTTAAGTAAATGGCAAGAGACTCATGAAACAAAAGCAATTTTTCATATAGATATTAGAAATGGCACTTTCAACCAGAGAAAACAATTCTCATTCTACATATGAAGCTGTTTTATAAAAGTCCCTTTTTTAAAAATATGAGGCTGTTAAAGCAAAGCTATTCAAATATTTCTACTTTGCAGAAGCAGAGATTAATTTTTCTACAACTTTTACTTGAGAATTTACATATACAAACATGTTATGCTCTATACCCAAGAATTGATGAGTGTTTAAACAGAAGAGCATCATCACATAAATTTTATTCTATATGCTTATGTGCCTATGTATAATAAAACAATATATTAGCAAAAACTGAAAACAAGTGCATTATACTGCTTCAAAGTCCTGTTACTCAATGTTCTACCACCACACTCAGTGAAACTGAACAATTAGTAAGCTGTTACATGATGGTCTCAAGCTTACTATCTCTAATAAAAAATGTTCCATGAAATTGATTGCAAAAAAAAAGGCAGAGAAATTAGGTAAGACAAAAAATCTCCACATTCATGGACTATCTTTACCAAATTTTCTGTGTTGCCCTTTTGGATACATTTCTATTTACATGAATGATAAAGGAGAAAAAGCGTTGGTAGATGAGAAAGGCAAGATGAATATTATGCTAAGTCACGATTTTCATATTAAACAGTAATCTTTACAAATTATAATAGCCAAATCCACAGAAAGATGAAATCAAACCACACTATGGCAAAATATGAATTCAGTGATAGTCATCTTGAATCATGGCTGTTTCCATAAAGGACAAATATCTGAAATTGCTTATTATATTCTACATTCTTTGAATGTTCATTTTTTTTCAAGTACCATATCTTAAAGTACATTATACTTGGCATTCTTGGCCTTGAAACATGATTTATTGTAGCTTTCTATTTTTGCAACATACAAACCTCTTATTATAATTTATTATTTTCCTTCTGTGCTCAAGAGAACTCAAAACTCAGCAGTGCAGGTGCACGGTTGCAAATTATAAACATAATATAAGTCAGTTGATCCATTATCCAGCAAGTACTTTACTTTGAAGTTATGTTGCACAAACTAATATATTTCTGAAACTTTGTAGAACAGATACTTAAGATTCTAAGCAGTATGTATTTGCTTCCAAGTTCTGAAAACCTGGACTGCACACACGCAGAGTAGGATATGCAGCACCATTTTTGGAACAAAAATATTATTTTATTATTATATTGCAACAAGGAAAGTACATAATTTCATAATGTAGCCATCGCCTCTTATTTGAAGCAATTCAGTAAATTCCTTAAGACTGAGGTATTTTTAAAATATATTGAATGAATTTCTAGGTCCCACCAGGAAAATTTAGAAAATTGGTAAGATTAAACTATCCCCTCAAATTCTGAAATTGTGTTACAGAAGTTAACAATTGATGTATGTTAGAGGGCATTAATAATCCATACATTATGGGGAAGGGTTGTAAAAGACAGATTCTTCTGTTTAAAATTATAATAGAAGCAAGACACGTATCACCTGATGTCTAACTATCAACATATGACAGAAGATTGCTCTAAACTACTGGCTAAATGGCATGTCTCATCTCAGTGACCCTGGCAATGAATTTATGGAAGTACCTCCAAACCAAAAGGAACAAAGCAATTTAACCATAAAGTGCAGCAGAGCTGTACCATAAGGAACTTCTGGCAACTATCGAATTCTCAAATATTAACATAAAATGAATGGGCCTTTCACATTACCGCTAGCATTTTAGACCAGTACTGGACCTACATTACTAATTCTAAGCTTGACAAAAACAATACTCCAATTAGGTATTAAAAAGACACATCCCAATAGATGTGAAGTAATGCTATACACTTAATTAAAAATATAATACATAAGACAGCCAAGAACTGAGAATTTTCAAATGTATCCTTTTATCCTACTGTTAATATAGCACTTTTCTTCACCAGTAGTTAAGCAAGTTCCTCTACTGTAACAAATAGTATTTGTTTTCCACATTACTTTATATTATGATATCTGAAAGAGATATTTGATGTGCCAAACTAGGTAAGATATAGAAATATTGATTTTAGAGTTCTACATTGCTAGTTTGAAAACTCTAGAAGAGTTACATCAAATATTTCTCTCAGACTCTTTCCCTTTAGTCCCTTAAGATTATTAGCTCCATCTATAACCTCAGTACCTTATGCCTCTCTCATCTCCAAATATTAAAACAAGCAGGAATAGGGTTTCCATTTGAACTCCCCTTCTTCGGTCTTTAAAAGTCGTATGTATCAGCTAATCACATAACTTATCTATACATAAGCAGGAGAATCTGCATTGGGCATAGTTTCATCTTGTCTTCCCAAATAACTGCCCAATTTTACATTTACCAGGGAAGAATATGTTGCTTTCAATCCCAAACATTTCCACTAAAAAGGAATCATAGCATTTCAATCTAGCAACTTACATTAGAACCCTCATTTCTTGCCAAGATTTTTTACTGCAAGAAGTGATATTTACTATGCCCTTCACATCCAATCAGCCTCCCTGCTACAATTTAAAACTTGTCTGGACTGTCAGCAAAAATATAAAAACTAAAATTAAAATCTGATGAAACAGCAAGAAAGTTTCTATCTCTTTTTACTAGGTGATTGGTTCTAGGCTGAGCATGATTGCATCACAGAAAAATAAGCTGTTTTATTTTAAACAAGAAGTTTATTTAAACAACAAGACGGAAGGGAAAACTATCCAAGATCAAACTTTGTTTTAGAGTAATTTACCCCTACTTAGACAGATTGCTCTACATGTAACAGCTACGTACAAAAAAGTTATAAAATTGTCCTTGGTTGTACAACGATAAAAGAAAAACAATGAAATTGTCCAATCAAACAAAGTATGTAAGGATTTTTGTTTTTTCCAACAATGAGAGCAAAAATAACTTACTGGAATATAAAGATAAAAGTTAGAGGAGCATGCCACTAGTGGAGAAATGGGATGTTTTCACAGACCAGTTTGTTTTTATCACCCTTTCTCCATTCCATATGATGTTGATCAAAACATACAATTGGCTATTTAGTTAAAAAAAATATGCATGTCTGTGCACATACACCAGTTACTTTATGTACAATAGAAGGAATAAGAAAAGAAATCAAAGAAGAGAGAAAGCTATACTGCAGTAGTCAAGATGTGGCTGAATCAGATCTCTTTTTTTCTAACTGTGAATATGTTGCCTGTGGGAAAGGAAGTTTGGTTCTTTCTTTTAGTACATGCCTCCTGTTTGCTGCTGGAACACATCAATTGTATCTTCATCCTCCATTTCCAACTGTATTGAAAAAAATTAAATGTCAGTTCAAAGTATGACAAGTGATATAATCATGTCATCACATGACAAGTCAAGTAAGTGACATAAGTGTGACAAGTTTTCTTTAGTTTTTCATACACTCCCAAGAGTATAGAAACAAAAAAAAGGATAACTAGAGATCAGCTTGTTATTGGATTGCTAAGTAATGCAAATCTAATACTCCATTTTCTTCTGCTCATTTTCACACACACACCCATTCAACTCTATTTGGAAAGAGGCATTTTATTATGAAGTAAGATTTTGTTCAGCTTGTCCCTTAGTAGCCTGAATTCAAGAAAGCACAAGTGTAAAATCTCTATTCAGTCAGTGGGGCTTTCTTCAATCTTACTCTTAACTGAAGCCCTTATAAACCTCCAAAGCTGTTTCTTTCAGTTAAAAGCCTCCTTGGAATAGCCAGCAATAATACCTCTACTATAAGCAGGGCAGAGGAACTGACAGAATTTAAACCAGGCTTCTTTCTTTAAATAAAAGCGTTTTTAGATACAAATCAATAGATTTTTTTATTATTATTCAGAGTCAATTTTAGTACTTCACTTGGTAGATATTACAAAAATTAATATTACTTTTTACGCTTAAACTAATTGGGATCTTCAGCTATTAACAGGAAGAAATAATATCCCATTCCCAACCAGAAAGCCATATTGCAAGAGGAAACCTGAGTATTCAAACTGTTTTTAAAGACACTGCACTATTGCTGTTTTTTAACTGCTGCAGCAAGTCTTTAGTGGTACAAATATTTTACATGCATTTGTACTTCAATATCTTTCAGACATAAGCAATGTTTAGGTACAAAGAAATATGTAAGGATTACTTTTAAAAGATTTCTTGGGATTTATACTTCTAACCAAATTTTACTTTTTCATATCAACAAGTATTTTAATGATCCTTTTTACCTGTGCAGGTGTATCTGTTTCATTGATTGGCTGCCCATCAAACCGGAATCTGATTTGCCTCATTGACAAACCCTACATAAATTCAAAAATAAGAAAAATATGCAG